GGGGGGGGACGGGCGGTGACAATCACGATGGCGTGAGACGGTGCTTTCCCTTGCGAAGTCTGCGCCGCTTGATCGCGGGAAATGAGTGAGTGATTGCCGAGTTCTGAGCAGTGCCGAGAAGACCAAGGGGGACGCTCTGGAGGGTTTGTAGTTGAGTAATGTCGACGTGTCCGCGAGGTTTCAGTCCGTCCTTGGTCGGCCAAGTGGGGCACGCAGGCCACGGCATGGCATCTTCAGCCACATGATAATGATACATGACACATCCCTGCTACGTACTTGATTACACTTGACAAGAAAGCGGCGAGTAAGTTGATGTTTATCTGGTCAGCCAGGCCAGAGCGTCAGGCATGGTCACTCATGCATACATGTGCGCTTGGACTCTCTTGTCCCTTCGTGTTGACGTGAGAAAAGGCCAACGATGGCCACGATTTCATCACAAAGAAGATTCTGCCGTCTCATCGTGAAACGCTGCGTCTCTTGTTCTATGCCTGTGCTGTGTTCAACTACTTTTATTATTCAAGCCTCCCGACCCCGCTTGGAGAATCTCTTCTTCCTCGAGGCCTTTCATTAAGTCCAGGGCAGTGACTGCCGGCGAGTTCTTGTACTCGCTCCCCCACTGCTGCTCCATGATACACAGGGCAGCCAGAATGCCAATGACCTGCAATAATCCATCTCGTCCCGAAGAGGAGAAAGAAACAAGAGGGTCTAAAACGGTCTCAGGCCACATGGGCCCACCAAGGGGCAGTTAGAGAGAGAGAGAAAAAAAGGAAGAAACAAAAAAAAGAGACAATGTAAAGAAAAAAAAAAGCCTCCAACGTCTAAGTTTGTTGTTGCTAAACCCGATCAGAAAGTCCTGTACCTGCCGCTGTACTAAAACCCACCCACCCTTCTCCCCCAATCACAACCCCCCCTTCTCCCCCAATCACACGGCACAAATGTGGACATGTCTGCGTGGCAACAGCAACACATGCCACCAAGCCATGAATCGTAGTCGTACAAACAATGCTCGGCATGTTGCCGCCATTTGATTGATCAGGGTATCCGCGAATATGTGATACAACAATCCCGTCTCCAAAAAATTGCCCCCGTGTGTCGCTGATGATGTATTTGCAGTTGTCTAGTGGTTTGCCTTTTTTGCAACAGACCATTTGCTCCGCGGCCAAACGTCCTGTCGTAACAACGCTCGATGTGGTAAAGACTGTGAGTTCGCCAGAAGATTGGATAATTGATTATATGCTAGACGCGAGCAAGAACATGAATTCCGTTCCCAATGCAATATTACCTGAATTTATACCAGTCTCTTGTTTTGAGTTTCAAACATTCCCACGCTTTATGTACGGGACTCATCCAGTCCGCTCAAGGAAACTATTAACGCGCCAGTGTTCCAATGATAGTCCAAGTTGACTCTGAACCGCATGACGTATCGTTTTTTTTTTAATTCGCTTCGCCGATGCCGTGCGACGTACTAAAAGGAAAAAACCATGAGGTGTCTCAACCGTGTAACGAGACGCAGAATAGAATGACATGTGTAGCTGTGCAGAGGTCGGTGAACAGTCGTAAATTTGAGAATGTTGGCGCGCATTCAAGGCGCATTCAGCTGCCGGGACACGCCCTTTTCGAATAGTTGAGCACGAGTTTCTCGGCAGGTTCGAACGACTGCTGGTGGGCAGGGCCACTCAACGCACTCCAATCGACGCAGCATTCTGGAAACTGCTCTGACTGCTATGTGCAGATTGTTCCGAGTCGAGTTCACCACTGCCCACGCTGGCGCTCGCACTACCAGTCAGACTACGAACATTTCTGGGCTTAGGTGGATGGAGGGCGCTCACCCCTATATGCTGCTCCACCTGCTGGGGGGCAACAGAGGTACCGTGCCCCGGCGGGTAGCGAGGAATAGGTTGTCGAACCCCGTCTGGTGGTGAGGGCCTGCCGTTCATCGAAGGTGCATAGCCGTTGGGGGGCGAAGGGCGGCCACCGCGCAGTGGTGGGCCGTAAGGGTTTCCAGGGGATTGGCTTGCACGACGTGGGAATGCGCCATTCATCCCTGGCGGACCGCCTGGCCCAGGTCCGTACGGAATATCCTCCAGCCTTGAAGCTGTCAGCGAGTTCGCGCGTGAGCTTCCACCCATTGCACCTCTGTCGACGTTGCCGTATCGGTTCGATGTAAAGGATAGCATAGGGTCGTCCAGGATGTTGTCGTTCATCGCCGGGAGGTGGTTAACCTGGCTGGCGCGGTTTCGACCAAAGCTAGGGCGGAATCGGCTGCCTCGGGATGTGGGAGCACCATCGCTTTCCGGATTACGGCGAAATTGGGACGCAGACTGGCCTGAAGCTTTACGGTTTTTTCTTGACGTTACACTCATCATGTCAAAATTATCAGGGTCAATGGTTGGCGCTCCGGTAGGCGCTGCAGGGTCGAAGAAGTCGTCATCGTCGTCGTCGTCGTCGAAAACTTGTTGGCTGTTGCGCATGGGATGAGGACCTCGACGGGGGCCAGGAGGTCCACGTCTCATTCTCATTTCCTGTTCCCGCAGAGCAAGCTCGCGTTGACGGAGCTGGAGCTCCCGTTCGCGTAAAGCAAGATCGGCTTCGCCATCAAATGATGGTTCCTGGCCCTCCGGGATGTCATCATACAATACTAGATGCGAGAACTCTTCCAAATCGTTGCCATCTATTGAGCCTCGTCGGGACGGAGCCCTTGAGCCGCCGTTCACCGAAGGTGGAGGACGAGGATAACCATTTGGGGGTCCTCCATTCATCTGGGGCGGCCGCCTCATTCCTGGAGGCCCGAAGTTGGAAGAATTTCTAGGTCGGGGTTGTCGAGGTGGCATTCCATTTCCGTTCGGCATACCGCCCATCATAGGACGATGACCCACTTGAGAGACAGATCGAGACTGTGGGGATGAGATTGGAGAGCCTGGGGGCATGTTTGGCGGGAGACCGTCGCCAGGTTTGGATCTGGAGCGATTCACAATATTGAGATTGTGAAGAATGGCGTATAAAGTCTCAATTCGTGGAATGGGTATCTGTGATTCGCGAGCCAATTTAATGGGCGAGCCGAGATACGTCTCAATTTCCATCGGACGCCTGGCAGTGTAGTCTTGCCACATTATACTTTCGGGTAGATTCGATTTCGTCATCTCATCCATTGTTCGTTGCTTGAAGTCGGGGGCGAGCTTGCAGCCGTTGGCATCAGCGAGGCGCAACAGTTCATCAATGACGTCCGAAACCATGTCCTTCACCCCGACCTTCTCCAACAAAGCAGCGTGATTTGGCGTGTCAAAGAGGACGGAAGCGGGATGGAACGCGATAGGACTGGAAGTTTAGTCAGCTCAGGAAGGACGTGGACAATGCACAGCTCAGGGGATACCGGATACTTACCCAATGACTCTTTCGTATTGCTGTTGGCGAATGTTGGAAGAGACTTTGCAATCCACTTGGCCGGTGCTCAGTGTCATGGCTAATGCCTGAGCCATGTCCTCCTGGATAACCTGGGGTATGTTGCTGTTCCTACTGGCAGGCCCGACCCATATCTCTGTTGAGCCTTTGTGCTCAAACTCGCTTTGGCCAAGTTGTGTAAGCTCTGCGCCGGAAACAAGTGACAAAACGACGTTTGTAGGGAACCGTTCCTCAAGCGCGGCTTCAATGCCCAACGTATGAGTAGTGTTTACAAGAATGCACGTATGCTGAGGCGTAACGACGGGAGCAATGACGGCAGCAAGATCGTAGACATCAGGGAGTGCCTTGACGCATAAAACGACGTAATCGAATGCGCCTTCTCGAGAATGAGCAGCATCTTCCGGATTCCGAACAACTGCGAAGCGAAAGAATCTCCAAGTTAGTTGATTGCATTGGACAGAATGAGGGGTGATCCAGCAAGGCAGCAAGGGAATAGTCCTAGACGTCTTACCGTGACGAGGTTTGAACCGTTCGTTACCAAAAACCGGTGATCTGCAAACATTGCGATTAGGTTCCACCAATTTACGCCGCGCTCTCCTCTCAGGGATTCAACGATAACGTACTTGAATGAAATGCCGTACTGAGCAACGTGTTCGTATCCCGACTTCCATACCAATGTCACGTCGCAGGCGTTGGTGGCCTGTAGCCTCCACGATAAGAAGGCAGAGACGGGATTCCCGCCAACTGAGCATATATTCATTAGCTGGCTGTCGCCCATCTCGAACGGAGTGAATAGAGCGCCGCTGAAGCAACTGTCTTCTCCAGTGATTGAGGGAAAAGAACGGCTTGGCAACAGAAATGCAAACGAGCGAGGATGGGTTGTAGGAGCGGGAAAAGGGCGGCGGCAGGGCCGGAAGGGCGAGCAAAAGATAGGGAACAACGGATAGCAGAACTAAAATGCCGGACCGGCGCGACAGGGCAGCATTTTCAGGCGCCAACAAAACAGGGACGAGTCGTGCGGTAGCGTGCACAGAGAGCGACAGGACAATGACGGGAGGTGGGACAACATACCTGATAGAATCTTGAGACGGGGCTGTATGGGTGCCATGGTTTCTGTTCGTGATCCCCAATGGGGATTAGTGAGCTGGACGAGATCTTAATCGTGGCGTTGTTACAACGAGCGGCTTGTTGCGATAGCCCTGGTCACCCCGTCCCACGAGGTGTCTGGCTTGACCCCAGGCTTCCTCAGAATGGTGAGAGGCCGGGCTCGAAAAGCTATGTGTGAATGCGTATGTGGACGGCTCGACGGGCGAGCGGGCGTGCAATTGACCGGAAGCAGGTGAGACTTGTCGAGCTGAGCGATGGTGGGTGACGGATAGTGTAGTTGGTCGGCACGCAGGAGAGGAGAGAGCGGCAGAGCCAGGGCCAGGACCAGGACCAGAGAGAAAGGGGGTCCGCGGGGGGAGGGGGCGGGGGGGTGTCGAGATACGACCGGCGAACCCCCAGAGTTGGCGGAAGCCGGATCGTCAGGAGGGCGGGCAGCAACGAGGAAGTCGGGGCGTGCGGTCAGTGATGACGGTATTCTTGGGAGCGACGACGATAACCAGCGAATGCGGATGGTTGGCCAGGTCCAGGTTCGCAAGTCCAGGGGTTAGTTTCAGTAGTGACGACGGCACACGCTGAGGAACGGACGCCGGCTGGACCAGCAATTGTTGACTGGTGTGACGAATAAAGACGAAAAGTGCCAGTGGTGGTGGGACGTGAGAGAGGACAGTGGACGGGACGGGCGTGGGAAATTATCTGGGGTTCGTGGGACAAATCGTTGAACCTTGTCGGGCTGGGCACGCAAGCGCAGCCGCCAACGCACACACGCACGCGCACGCACGCACGCACGCACGCACGAGATGGGAGGGGGAGGGGGCTGCGTTTGGAGGCCTGGAGGAGCCCGAGTGCCCTTGAGCAGGCCTCTAAAAGCAGGCCTGTGGAACGATGGCGACCGATTGACCGATGTCAACTGGTCTGGTGCCTGCGCGTGTTGGCCGGCCGATGTCACTGCTGCTTCTTCGGCCACCGTCGCTGTTGAGCAAAAAGACGTCGTCAATCGAGGACGTGGGCCTTGCCTGCCTCGTGGATCCGCTGCATGAACGAGATGAAAACAATGACGAGAAAGGGAGAAGCGGAAAAAGAGGGGAGGGGGGTGGTTGGTGGCCGGCAACGACGGAAATGCGTGTCGTCGTTGAGACAGAAGAATTCGACGGAATGGGCGCTTGGAGGATTGTCGACAAGCACAGGCAACCGAAGGGCCTGGAGAGCTAGAGCCTGCGGGAAAAAACAATTTAGACAAGAAAAAGGAAGTAAAAAAATTGTGCAAAAATGTCCGCTTGCGTGGGCGGCTCAGTGGCGAAGGTAGCATCATGTATGCAACTCTTCATGTACCACTACCCGCCTCGCCGTGCACGCATTGCGCACCCGGTGGTGCGGGATTTCCACCTAGTGATGATGTGAAAGAACGTACCTTGAGCCCTCGGGGCCCTGTTTCCAGTGTTTCCGGCGCGTTCCCAGCGCGTTCCTGGCGCAAAATCTGCAAGTCCTTGCAAAATGGCCCTATTCAGTGCGTGGGGCCCGAGGCTTTGGTCAGTCAGACACCCGGTACTTCATGCGCCACCGAATAACACGCTAGCTCGATGTACTGCTATTCTACTTCCGGCGCTCTTTCCACCCGCAGGTCGAAAAATTTTTGGTGCCAGATTGTACACGCTGACATGTGGCTGGGCTGGGGGGTCAAGCAGAAAGTTCGGTCGCTGCCGTTCACCCAAGAACAGGGACTCCTTGAACAGACAGAGTTTGGCCCGGCCCTATTACTCAAACACCCAGTTAGCAATCGACATGGCGGTCTCAGTAACGTACTAAGGGGGACGTGACGCAGGCCAAGGGGAGAAGACGAAGAAGAAAAACCTTGAACTCTCAAGGTCCCAAAGCCCCAGAGGCCCCTGGCCAGCTACCATGACGAGTCAGGCCAAGTGCTCGACCTATTGCCAACGGTCAAAGGCGAAGCTTAAACTTAGCATTGCGAAGCCTGAACGGTTCCCAAACCGTTATACTACTGGCGAGAATTTTCGTGTACGATGGTTGTGCCAAGGCGTTTCTTCTTTGGCTGTTCCATGTCAAGTTTCCCGCACTTGAGGATGACATACCGTAGTAACAGATTGTGTCTCCTTGCCCCACGAGTCTAGGACTCCAGAATGCTGATGATTGTATTCGGCAAGGGGAACACGAGCAATGCCGGCTGTCGAGGAGACAGAGACGTGATTCTCGCCGAACCACGCAAGGATAGCACCTCCCGTTCGACTGGTGCCGAGCAACTTCACCAGGGACGTGGACCTGTGGTAATCTTGTTCAGCCGCCCCTTCCAAATTACATTCTCCCAACGCAAGACTCCGTGCTCCGTTCACGATCGTAGTTGCTTCCGAAAGAGTGTCGACAAAAACGCCTCTTGCCCCCGAATTGGAAACAATGTGACCCTGGAGCGAATCGAAATGACGGCCTGAGCGTGGGGTGCCGCGTTGGGAAGTGCAATTGGCGCCTCTAGCTATTAGAGGCCTGCTGGCTGAGTTAGCCTGCCGACGCCTGTCGTGCTCGGACTGTGCTTGAATACTGCTACTAGTTCTAGTAAGCAAGTAACGTTATTTATCAGCTGGAAGACTCGCCCGGCCGGGATCGAGAACTGGGCAGACACTGTGCGCAGACGCCCGTCGGTCAGGCTGGTGTGATGAAGGAGCAACCGCAACTCACTCTGATGATGGGCGAGCAACGGGAGAGCAGGAAGGTGTGGTAGAAGGGGGAAAGCTGCAAATGCGACGAAGAAAAGGGTTTGCTCGGGCAGAGACACGCAGTCGGCACCTTAAGTCAATGACTTCTCTGCCAAGCGGACGGGCCACGTCTAGGGCAAGGCGTTTGGACGAGACACAAGACTGACTGCATCGAGACGAGGTCAACGTCCGAGTATGGAGTACTAATCGTGCCCGCCCCACTTTATGTGGTTCGGCTAGCAAAAGCCCTCACCACCAAAGGTGGTGCTCGACAGCAAGGCGGGCCGGACACCAAGGCGGGCCAATTTTCAACCTAATAACGCTATTAACCTCTTCGCCTATAATGTACACCCTTCTCGTCCCAAATTTCTACAGTACGACAGGGAGAGTGGCGAAAAAGGCATGTGGCGCCTGAAGCCAAGCGAGATCTTGCCCGACGAAAATGCGATTCGCGCCATGATCAAGCCTGAGGAGGTCAGTCTTCTGGATGCCATGCAGCTGGGAATCAAGGAGCTCGAGGACGCCGGCTACGATCCCCGAAATGCCAACATTGACGATGACGTCATGGACATGGATGCTGAAGAAGACGACGAGGATGAGGGCGGAAGCAAGGCGCCCAAGGGCGCCAAGAAGCCTGGCGAAAAGCAGGAAGAGACACTTGCCGACAAGATGGCACCTTGGAAAACTACAAAGGCCTTCATCGACGCCTGTGCGCAAAAGGCCATGCTCCAGCTGCACGGCGAGGGTGACCCGACTGGACACGGCCTCGGCTTCAGTTTCATCCGAACGTCCATGAAGGGAGGGTACATTGAGGCTGTTCAGGGCCCGTTGGCCACGTCGGCCGACGCCATGGAGCGTGAGAAGCGCGCTAACGGCGGCCACGCCTATAACGTCAAGAAGCAACAAGCAATGTACGAGGAGGGCATCAAGGAGATTTGGGAGAAGCAAAAGGCAACGCTGTCCGACGCCCGGGAGCACGACGACAAGGACGTGGCAGTCACGGAAGACGAGGATGATCGATTCAACGTTCACGCCGCCGCGACGCCGGCGCAATTCGACGACGGCACCAGCCAAATTAGTGGCTTCACATCGGCTAGTCGCCATGTCAAGAAAGCCATCCGCATCACGAGAGAGGTCCGCCTGCAGGACGGGTCGACGCAGACGCGAACCGAGGTCGTCCACGATCCCGTCGTCATCTCGCAGTATATGAAGCGGCGAACCGAGGCAGACTTGGAACTTAAGGAGTATGTACTCAAGACGATGCGATGCAGGCCCCGCGGGGAGGCCCCCCGGGTCTGGAAGCGGCTGCCGTCACGTGTCAGGGCGCTTCACAAGTGGGCGTGCCTGGGTCACACGCATCTCGGCCCCAAGAGACGACAAGTGCCGTCTCCAGGCGCTGTTGCCGACTACGTTGGGTTGGAGTTACGAGCACCTGCTTACGTCTACCTCTCCACAGCATCTACAGCTCCCGGCCTACGGGCAATGCCGACCATGACCGCCTTGCGGGCATTAGGTATGTGGATTGACGACCTGCCCTCGGGTCGCGCCAGAGACGGTGTGCTTACACGCAGCTCGATGCAGAATCAAAAAGGAACTCGAGAGACTCGAAAAGAACAAGGCCCGACGACAGGCCCGAGAGCAGCAAAAAGAGCTGCACCAAAAGGCCAGCGCTGGCGAGGCCGGATCACCCGGCGCCATTGACAAGCTGCCCACTGGAACAACCCGCAAGTGTGCCAACTGCGGGCAAGTTGGACACATCAAGACAAAACCAGACCTAATCGTCAATTGAAACCCTGTGGAAGTAACTCCTGGGCACGGGAACATCGTCGGGGCGCGATAAGCTCCGTACGTGATGTCAGCTTGCAATCCCAAAATAGATCCCACAATAGAGAACAGATGGGAAAAAAAAAAGAGAAAAAAGAGAAAAAAATCGAGCCACCAGTGAAGCCTACTCATGAACGAGACTTTCGGACGAACACATCCCCGTCACAGGCGGCGCCAAACGGTCACATCCCCCCCAGGCTTTATTTAACGCGGCCAATGGCCTCGGCGCAACTTGCACCTTTCTCTCCCAAGGCCTGTTCGATACCCCACGCTGCTTGCAACATCAAGCAGGGGACAAAACATTTCTCATCTAGACATTTCCAGCCCGGGCAGGCATTCTATGCGCCACGCCGACGTGCCTCGCAGAGAGGTCAGTCGACCTCCAGAACACCGCCCACCCACCAAACCACCATCACCATCACCATCATGCCCTCCGTCCCAGGCAAGCACACGGGCATCCTGCGCGAGGAAAACATTGCCCTGCGCCAAGTCCTGGGATACCGCCTCGAATCCCTCCGCCCCGTCCCGCCATACAGCCCACCCCCCATCAGCCACTCCCTCCCGGGGACACGCATCAAAGACGTCCTCCTCGTCGCCGTGGACGTCGATACCGGCGGAGGCTACGAAGTCATTTCCCCGGGACAAAGCTTCCACATTGGCGTCTCCATCCTCGACACCCGCCGCCTGGTAACGGCGCAGCCTCCCGATCCCGGGGCCGCCATCACCTCTCACCAGTTCGTCAACACGGACTCGCGCCCATGCAGGTGGGCCGCCAAGTCGTTCCTCTTCGGGGACACGGAGCGCATCGCCCTCCCCGACTTCCCGTCGCGATTCGCCCGCCTCACCGCGGGCAGGGCGTACGTGCTCGTCGCCCACGGCGCGCGCGAGGAGGTCAAGTTCCTCAACAACCTGGACCCCGGAATCGCCAGCCGAGCCGCGTACATCATGGACACGGTCAAGGCGGCGCAGCACCCGCTGCAGCTCTACTACCGCTACAGCATGGAGAAGCTCCTGGACGAGCTCGCCATTCCCTACGCGAACCTCCACGCTGCCGGGAACGACGCACACTTCGCCCTCAAGGCGCTGCTGATGATTGCCGTTCGTGACGGCCGCATGACGTCCGGGGCTGCCGCCGACGAGGAGCTGCTCCGCACCCTCGAGGCGATTGCGCATGCCCCCGTCGCGCTCCCGGTGTGGATTGACAAGCCGCCGGCAGCTTCAAATCCGAAGGCGAAGACGAGGCTGGGTGTCAAGGCGAAGCGACGGCTGCGGCAGGCGAGAAGAGCGGCCGGACGGATGTTGCAGGAACTGCCCTACGCCGACGAACTAGACGGACTAGATATCCACGACCGTGAGGAATGGCATGACCCCCTTCCACCGTGACGCGAGACTTTACCTGTCCCGAGGCAACACCGACGGACAGGCCTGGGAATTCAGTGACCTGTGCAATGGACTCGAGCTGCAAGCTCAAGTCTATGCAGGGCGCTGTGGCGGTGCCTCGTCGGGTACTCTTCAGCTGCACACTGGAGGGAGAATGTATATAGCTGTGCGGAAAGTGAGGAGAGATACCTCTTCTCTTTTGTCTTCCTCTCTAAGTTTTAGTAAACACTAGTAATGCTTGTAGATAGTTACTTGCAAGGCCACTTCTTCACATCTTGTAATTAGCGTGTCGGTGCCTAGTCGGATGCTTTCCGGATGCGCATTGGGACACATGTATATAATAGTTAGTGTAAGAAGGGGGGGACAGGGAACTTCTCCTTTACTCTCCAAGTTTATAGTTAGTTAATACTGGTAACGCTTACACGCAGTTGCCTGTAAGGCCGGTCCTTGACAGAAGCGGCAAATTTACCTGCTTCTTGTACTAGCGCTTAAATGGATTAAGCCAAGACCCCCTTGTTACCTAGCCCTCCAGTCTATCCTGTTTAATTCAGCTGTTCACATTCAAATAGAGCTCTGATACTTTTTCTTCTTCCTTCTCCATTACTCAACCCTCTTTTCAAGCATGCGCTTCACACCAAGCATGGTCACCGGGGCCGTGTTCCTGGCTACCATTGCGTGGGCTCGGCTAATGACTATTGAGTCTTGACGATGCTTGGCCGCAGCGCCTGTCCTGTCATGCAACCACTTACTTTTCGTGGCCCCGGTACGGAGTACTCCGCAATGAGTCGAATCCGATGAACCAGGAGCCGGGGTTTCAGCAGTAGAACAAACAAGTACTATTCCATCAACTACTTTGCATTATTGCACCGCCCGCCTCTGCCTCGCGTTGCCAAGACGCGCCCCGCCCCGTCGTCTTCCAAACCACTGGTAAAAAGGTAACGAGAGCAAGGACAGGCCAGGCAAGAGACAAGGCCAGGTCCGCGCCATCACCTCCCTTCCCATATTGATACCGAGGGCAAGGGGACTGCCAAGGGCGTGCGGACCTTGACCTTGGACCAGGCGCAGTTGGTCGTTGGCGATGCGGCACAGGGCGGTTCAGAGTGTTCAGGGCCGGCCGGGGGTGGATATTATCCGTAGTACCGTGTCGTGTCTCGAGTTCTCGATCGTGCAATCATTGAGACACGGCTCCCTCCCTCCCCAGGCGCCCCTCAGCCCGCAGCATTCCTTGCCTCACCTCATGTACCCCAGCAGCAGTGGTGGTGCGGTCGTGGGTGGTAATTACCTGGAATGGGTCGGATCTCACCTCGTGAACGACGAACCCTTGGGGCAACGAACAGGTTGATTCATGACCACGACGCTGTGAAACGTGGCGTTGGCGGCCCTTTTTTTTTTTTTTTTTGGGGGGGGCGCGGCCGCAGTTGGGGGAGATGCGCGGGTAGATTGTAGATGACGTGACGCTTTGGGCTCGTCGAGGCTGAGACGGCCCCCCGTGCCGACGCAGAGATACCTCGAGGCAAGGCGGTGATTCTGGAGACAATGTAACTAATCCGTAGGTCTACGGGCGAGTTACTCCCGGGTGCAACGTCTCCATGCCGGCTACGGCTGATGGCCACTAACTGGAGGCGGGATCGTCGAGTATTTTTGCCAGGACTCAGAAAGCGCCCGCTCCGTGCACGGTGCGCGTGTGATCCAGGCCGCTTGCAAGTTGCACAAGACGCTCGGTGCTTGACATGCAGTCGGATAGCGCGAGGACGGCTCTTGTTTGCCGTGGTTGTTGGAGTACAAGATGCGGCATGTAACACGTTGGCTGTTGACCGGGGACGGGAGGGTTGTGGGATCTGCAGCGCATAAGTACCAGCCCTTGTCTGTTTGTGTCTGTCGAAGCTGTCAAAGCGGTATGAGCCGTTCGTGTTAGTCTCTCTGTTGGAGTTGTATTGCATGGATGCCGGCCGTTGGGTGCATGGGTGGCATGGGCAAGTCTGACATGACAGCACGGGAAGCGGCAGAAGAAAGAGGCGTGGATGACATCTGGGCGCTTGGTGCCGGCAAGTGCGTCGTCCAGATTTGTCTTCTCGTCGCCGAGGTTTGTTGAGGCTTGTTGGGAGCATCACTCTTCTCTTCTGTGCCGGATGGGCTTTGTTGAGAGGGAGCTGGAGCTGCTTACTGTGGAGAAGAGAGCATGTTGCTTTTGACCCAGGGTTCTATGTATGCTTAGAATAGTTGATCCTCTTTGTGACGAGGAGGCCACACGTACACGTCTCTGCTCACGACTTACATGCCTTTGGCGTGGGAATAGATGGATGCTGCGGGTGCCTGCTGAGACCGGCAACGAGCCTGCCCAGCTGCTGGCCATGGCGGGCAGGTTGTAAGAAGATTCTAGATTCTGGCGACGTGCACGGTTTCATTATACACATAGTGGCTCGTATAAGACCAGTGCGTGATGGGAGGTGGGGAAACAGAGGAAAGGGGAATCGACATTGTTCGTGGGCTGCGGTTGTTGTATGCCGTATGCTTGGCGCTCGAGATGCAGTTCAAGAGCCATGACAGAGATACATGCATTCGTAAGAGATGCTCTGCATGGTTGCAGCGCCTGATGTGTGAAGTTGATATCGTAGTACGGGTCAGTAGCCTTGAACCTGTTGCAGGCGTCATCGTAGGGTCGATGTCGACTCTCGTGTGAACTTGAAGGATAGTTGACAAGACCTTGCCATACATCCAGGGAACGCATCAACGGATATCCCAGCATGAATATGTTGCACGTACATCATGGTTGCACCTCCTGATGAGTCCCAAGACATGTCTGCAACCTCGCCTTGGTCTTCTTCCATTACGAGTATGCGCAACGCAAGCTATCGTGCAAGGGACGGCTTGTGTAGGGTAGGCAAGACATTGCGTTTCCACGTACGGGAAATCGAAGCTGCAAAATACTGAAAAAAAGCTCACGATACTCAGAACTATTGAATTAGGCCAGGGTGATGGAGGCAGCAGGGGTTAATGAATTGGAAACTTGACCAGAATCTTGACTACACACCTGGACATCCGCATGTATTTCAGGTCGCGGACGTGCCAGCAAGAATAAACTACCATCCGCCTCATCCAGTGCTGTACCGATAGAAAAAGCAGAACTTGGACACTTGACTCGGAATCTAGGCGTGCTTTGTGCCTCACAAGTGAGTCCAGTAAATCAGCTAATGACTTTCTCGCCCGACAGTGAATGAAGAATGTCATGTCACAAACTATGACCAAAGGCATATTCTCGTCTTGGAACCAGACACATTGCCTGCTTGAAAAAACAAGACGACGTCCTAAGTATGGATCATTGTGCAGACTTGCCAAAGAAACATGATGGCTGAGGCAAAACATGGACCGCCGGGGATCAAATGACCATGGGGTTCAAATGCCGCGTTTTCCTGCAAAGCCGATGATTTCAAGATGTTTTGATATCAGCAGCAGTCGTGAATCTATACGGATCGGTGGCGATGAGGCATCGGGGCGTGAAACCAGCAGAACTCTCATGCGAATGGATGCAACGGTGCGACCAGTCAGCAAATCGAGGATGAAGAATTGCAGAGGGCAGAGCGCTTTCCCACCGTGGTTCGCGCTGGGAGAACTTCAGAGTGCCCGCCCGAATGCGGCGGCAAATGTCAGGAGCAAAGAACAAAAGAAAAGTAAACAAGACCCAGCATCGCAAAAGATCCCTAACCTTGCGAGAATGCGACAGATGTTTGAGGTGAAGAATCTGGTCTCGAGGGACTTCTGCATGGCACAGAGCTGCAGGGACAAAAGTCCCCCAACGCGACCAGGCAGTGCTCGCTGGTACGAATCACACGCACGTTTTCGACGTGACGCGATGTACGGAGTACGACTCTCGCACTGTGAAATCTTTGATATGCGCTTTGGTGAGGTAACAAACGTGGACATACTCTAGAGTGCAGTGCGTGAACGGACGCGCCGCACCGAGAACAGGCGAAAGAGTGACATGTATACGGAGTAGTAAGAAATGAGTGGATCCCCGGCACTACAAGCCTTTCAACAGGTGAGCCGACGGCAGGATGAATCTTGATCCCGAGGACCGATAAGTCCATGAATAGCTGTGCGGAAATATGCCACACCTATGATGTATCCAAACAGGACCTGGACCTGGTTTCAAGCTCTCATGGCTCGGAAGTCGCCGTGATATCACTAGCCGTGCATAATACCGTGCCTTGGATAATCTTGATACCGACAGAGTGGTCCATGTTGACGGGCGAGCAAGTCCATGCTTACCAGTAACCAGCCAGGCGTGAAATGGCGGCGATCCAATGCTGATTCAGCAAATCGCCGGGTCAATCTTCGTCATGATGCGAATAAGCGACGGGAAAATGGAAGGCGGCGCAGAGAGCCATGCCGTTTGAGAAGAGCATCCATTGTTACTCCGTATGATGATGGGAACTGGGCTTGGAGAAGAATGGAAGAAGAAAGTCTGGAGGAAGGAGAGGAAGGAGTGTGAGGCGGCGGCGTGTGAGGCCACACACTCTCCAACGTTCAGCACTCGGCAGCCTGTCAGCCGTAGCTCAGAGAATAACGGGCTGGGCGTTGCAGGGGCAGGCAGGCGAGCCACGACCAAGCCTCTTTGGGAAGGTGAGAGGGCCACGGAGCAAGCCAAAGCTGCGAGACTGACCAATGGAAGCCAGTCATGGCCAGTCATGCCCATCTTCTCGAAGGAGAGTTGTCGGGAGTACGGAGCACTCCGTACAAGTTCGCCAGTCACCAGCCAGCGAAAATGGAGCCTGAGCCTGGCAACTGGCCCCGGTCTTTGCTGCTTGGCCGGGACTTCATGCTGATGGCGACACCGTGTGTTGCATGCCTGCATCGTGTGTGCCTGCATAGTGTGATTACGCGTCAATGGCACTGTACAGACTACTCAAGACTTCTTGCGCATGTACCCGCTACAGTCATCAGCCAAGTCTAGACATTGGACGGAGCAACTCGTAACTCGACCAGACATCTAATAACTCGCTCGAGGCGGAGCGCCTACCTCTGCCACCAGAACAAAAGAACCAGACCATCTTATCCACCCTCTGCCCCCAGATGTCTGTCAGTCCGTGTGCGCCCGGTTCCCTGTAGCGCAATCACGGCCACCGGACAGACGGCCGCTCTCGTTGGACTCTGTTCTCAAGGACACCATCTGGCGACTTGAGGACAGACGACGGTAAATGCGAAGCAGGACCAAGGCAGCAGCAGCAGCTCGTGGGACACCAGGCGTCAAACACAAAGACGACCGAGTCGAGCTACACCAACCAACCCGTCGAGAGCCCAACCGACAAGCCCGACTGCGACTCGAATCCCGCGCTGGCCCCTCGTTGTTCCTCCGTCGGGAGGACGCTTCAGAAAAATCACCATGCCGCTCTCAATCTTCCGCAAGCGTCATGAGGTTGAGGAGATCATGCCCGTCCCCGAGCCTGTTGAGGGTAATTCGTCGGGCGTCGACCACCTCAAGCACCTGGCAGCCTTCGAGAAAGCGCACAAGCTGGACCCTAATCTGCCCATTGACGAGTTGAACGACGTGGATGCCGCCCTGGCCACTGGCAATGCCGAAAAGGGCCTCGAGATTGAGCACGCACTCATGGAGGATAACAGCCCATACCCGGAGGTATTGTTTTTTTTTTTTTTTTCCCTCGGTCTCTCCTTCGCTAGTTGCCAGGAATGACATGTGTGTGAGCGACCACACGAGAGGCCCTTGCTCGAGAGATGTCGACGCACGACTCCCCTCTCATCAAACATCTGGCGCATGGGACTGGAAGTGGTTGAATACATGCCCGCTCGCCCCCCAATTGATTTCCGTCCAGCGCATAAATGCCTGATGCTGACGCGTTTGCAATGCCTATATAGGTCCGAGCTGTAGTCAGGAATTACGACGTAGATGTTCCTGCCAACACGATACGAGCATGGGTCATCGGTTTGCTGCTCTGCACCGTTGGCTCTGGTGTCAACATGCTCTTCTCCTTGCGCAATCCCACAGTCGCCATTACTACTTATGTTGTTCAGCTGGTGGCCTATCCCATCGGTCGCGGATGGGACATGATTTTCCCCGACAAGGTGTGGAATGTGTGCGGTGTCAAGTTCAACCTGCGACCGGGCAAGTTCAATTTCAAGGAACATGTTGTCATTGTTGCCATGTCCAATGTAGGTCACTGATCTTGCTTGTTGGCCTGGCCACTGGCCACGAGTCATTCCCCCAACTCCCCGGAACGTGCTCGGTATTGACGACTCGAGTAGGCTGCGTATGGCGGTGGTGCTCTCTACGCTACTGATGTTCTCCTCACCCAGAAGGTCTTTTACAAGCAGGAATTCGGCCTGGCTTTTCAGCTCCTCTTCGGCATCACCACACTCTGCACTGGTTATGGCATGGCCGGCTTGGCTCGTCGTTTCCTTGTTTGGCCCGCAGCCATGATTTGGCCTGCCGATCTGGTCAATTGCGCCCTGTTCTACACCCTGCACGACCATTCGCGATCAGACCCGTCCAAGACCAACGGTTGGACCATCGGCCGCTACAAGCTCTTCCTCATCGTCAGCTGCGCAGCCTTTGTGTGGTATTGGTTTCCGGGTTGGATTTTCAGAGGTCTTTCATACTTCGCCATTGCCTGTTGGATCGCCCCCAACAGCGTCGTCGTCAACAAGATATTTGGCAACAATCATGGATATGGCCTTATCCCCATCACTTTTGACTGGACAGTTGCGACCGGCTTTATTGGATCGCCTCTTATTCCGCCGTTCTACGCCATCGTCAACGTGTTGGGAGGCATAATATTCTTCTTCGTCATCGTCTCCATGGGTATTCACTTTAGCGGTAGCTGGTACGCCGACTACATGCCTGTCCAGTCCTCAAAGTCCTACGACAACACTGGAGCGCCCTACAACGTATCTCGCATCCTGGATGCCAACTTCAACTTCAACGAGACCGCCTACAAAGAGTACTCTCCTCTGTATCTGTCTACGCAATTCATCATGGCGTACGGCATGTCCTTTGCTGCCATGTCTGCAGTTCTGGTTCATGTTGCCTTATACCACGGTAAGGAACTTTGGAGACAGTTCAGAATGGCGCGCCATCAAGAAGATGACGTCCACATGCGTCTGATGAAGAAATACCGCGATGCCGAGGACTGGTGGTATGCCGGTGAGTGTTTCATCGTGATCCCTTGACGTGCGCAGACATTACTGATGTGTAGCAAACGCTGACGGGGTTTGTAAGCTTTGTTCATTGTCATGGTTGGCACCTCTTTCGGTGTCGTCACCGGCTGGCCAACTGGATTCCCTGCCTGGGCGTTTGTCGTCTGCCTCCTTCTTCCCATCATTTGGCTTATCCCCATTGGTCTGATCCAGGGCATTTCCAACATACAGCTCGGTTTAAACGTCCTGACCGAGTTTATCATTGGCTATATGGTTCCTGGCAGACCCTTGGCAATGATGATGTTCAAAAACTACGGTTACATTTCCATGTCTCAGGCGTTGTACTTCGCGCAAGATCTCAAACTCGGCCACTATATGAAGGTGCCCCCCAGGGTCATGTTCTCGTCACAGCTCATCGCATCGATTTGGTCCGCCATAATTCAAATTGCGGTCATGAACTGGGCCCTGGCGAAGATCCCGGATATCTGCAACGACGACCAAAAGGACAGCTACACCTGCCCCAGCGGACATGTCTACTACACCGCGTCGGTGATATGGGGTGCCATTGGACCAGCCCGCATTTTCAGTCATGGCGCTACCTATGCGAACCTGCAATGGTTCTGGCTTGTTGGTGCTGCCACCCCCATTCTGACCTGGCTCCTTGCCAGACGATGGCCCAGGTCGTTCTGGAGATATGTCTGCACCCCCGTCATCTACGGCGGCACTGGGCTGCTTCCTCCCGCGACTGTCCACATCTTCCTCTGCTGGGGCGTGGTCGGCATCATGTTCAACTACTTTGTCAAGCGCCGCTACACTGGTTGGTGGCTGCAGTACAACTACATTGTGTCTGCCGCACTAGACTGCGGTCTCATCATCAGCACTCTCGTCATTTTCTTCACTCTGTATCTGACCAGCGCAAGTGCTCCAGCATGGTGGGGGAACGACGGCATGACGGAAACCCTTGACTGGCATGCGCAGGCAATTACGAAGCACGTGGCACCTGGCGAAATTTTCGGACCTGCAGTCTTCCCTTAGCCGCCTAGACATGGCATTGCGTACAGGAGCAGACGAAGAAGCATTGAAAATTTTCGAAGCCATGTTTTGGTTAAATGAATGACGAAAAGGCGAGCGAGCAAGCAAGCAAGCAACATCTGCATCAATACCTGGAGGAGGTCACATATCATGGATCTTCATATTTGAACGTTGTTGCGGATGCTTTTATACGTGTATGCATGACGTTTGGATGTTTGTTCTGACGGCGTTCAGGATCATGGGAGGCTAGGCTCGCATTGGATTGTAACAAGTCGTTCTGGGGTCCAGAAGCACAGCCTTTGCAGAGATGCCAAGGTCATTAATGGATTGCACAACAGGTCGAGATGTGGAAAGTATGCAGCAAATATAGAGCTTTGTACACGCACGGCCTTGACTAGACAGTTGGAGTCGCGGGTGGTGATGAAGACAGGCAGCCAGTGGGACCAGCTTATCCCTCTCGACTCGATCCAAACGGCCACGGAGACAAGGAAACAGGGCGGGACTGATTCTTTGGACACCCATCTGCATCTGCCCGGTGACTGGCCGTCGAGGCCACAGCCAGCTCAGTTGGAGATTGGACGTCGTAGATGGTGGTTAGGGTCAGGGATACTCCGGCGAAACGTGGAGCCACCCTCGGATCCGTCCTCCAAATCCAGTGAGCGTCACGTGCACCGCTCAGGGTTCCATCACATGACCCAGCTTGCAATTCTCGCCAAACGGTATTGTGCGCCCCACGGCAAATTAGGGCTAAGCAGCCGCCCCGGTGCCCACTCGACCGAAAAAGCAGTTCACCTCCCCTTGGAGAATTTCCTCGATCGTCACTAACCACAGGTCAAACCACCACCGCCAAAATGAGTACGTTTCTGCTCCCCGGGCCACTGACGTGGCGTTCAATCTCCTCGATTCTCTTCTCCACCACGAAAAGAACGAGGGGACCAAGTGCTAAGATAGCAAAGCAATGTCGGAATGCTAACGGGCCTGGCGTCGTGCAGCGAAGGGTACCTCCAGTTTCGGCAAACGTCACAACAAGACGCACACTCTGTGCCGACGATGCGGTCAGTGATGCCCCGAGCCTCTTTGCTTCCTACAAGTCTGTCTGCGAGATTGGAAAGAGGGGGAAAAATTGCCGGGCCTCCCGGAAAGACGCAAATGACGGCGACGAGATGGGCACGTCCCCGCGGACAGCACAGGGATCGTTCGGCAAGCGAGCATGTTGAAAAAGAGAGAAAAAAAGAAAATCCAGCCGACTACAATCAACGCGAGACCCGGGAAGAAGCTAACTGGCGACTTGTAGGACGCCGCTCCATGCACATCCAGAAGCACGAGTGCTCTTCTTGCGGCTACCCTTCCGCCAAGACCCGCAAGTGTACGTCTCCCTCCCCCTCCTCCTCCTCCTCCTCGTGTCCCGTCCTGGGGCCAACACCTCCCAAGCTGCCCGGGAGGGGCCTCCCGCAGCGCAGGACCATGAGCACCGAGAAGCGCCCGAAACAAATGGCGCAACGAGTCGTGGCTAACGTGGAGGGGAAAACAGACAACTGGGGCGAGAAGGCTAAGCGAAGAAAGACCGTCGGCACCGGCCGCTGTCGCTACCTCAAGGACGTCTCTCGCCTGTTCAAGAACGGCTTCCGGACCGGCACTCCCAAGGGTGCCCGTGGCCCTTCCTCCAAGGCGGAGTAGATTGCAAACAGACGCCGTCGACACCATGGCTGTAATTGGCCACACATGAGCGATCCCTCTCAACGACTTGACGAAACCATGGTGGAGACTCCGAGGAAGATGTTGCAACGACGCGTGCGAGGCCAACGTTACAGAGAGAAAAGAGGAAACAGTACGGAAGCACTGTCTGCATGGAAGCGAGAGTCGGTAAAGAGATCGATCCCGTTCCGGAGACGACATGTCGGTGTGGAGATGGAGGGAGATGGAGGGAGAAGGAGCCCATGTACTAGCCTGACGTTGGTTGAGAGCGGCCAGATTCATGCTGGGGCAGGAGGGGATGCCTTTTTTGTTTGTTTGTGGAAAAAGAAGAAACTATCTCGTCGAGGCGGTTGTGGGACTGGACGGAGCATGGCGACCACGGTGTTAGCTATTGAAACGTGTTTGGCACCACGGGGACTCGCCTCTGCCTTTGTGCCCTCCCCATTTCGTCGAGACAAGAGCAAAGTTCAACAACGGGACTTGCGTGCCATGCTGCGCCGTGCGTGCCCCGCGATGATGGACCGCGGTGCCGCTGCGCCGCGAGAGAGACACGGCCTGTCCCAGATGTCACGTAGACGGTTGTTTTGGCCCGGGAACTGCTCGCGCCTGACGAGTAGAAACATGGACCCTTGACAACTCGGCATCACCTCGCCCTCACCCGTTGTCAGGTAGTTTGAGCATGCTGCCTGCTGGTTGGTAACGTGTTCCCGTGCGCCAACTCCGCGGTGCTGCCCCTACCGGTAGGGCTTCCGCGATCGGTGCTTGTCTACGCTTGCGTCACTCCCATTCTACTGTTTACTACGCTTGCCTGCAAGACACGACACGGCGGGACATGCAAGGGGACATGGATTAAAGCGTGTTTTTGTCGTTGCAAAATTGGTGAATCTGCGCTCAACTGGACAGCTCCCGGCTCCAAGTCCAACCGCGCCCTCGAACCCCCCGATGCTTCAGCGACCATGGCGTGTACCTTTTTGTCGCGGCGCCGAGCATCTCCAACTCAGAAGACACCTGATGAAGCGGGCCGAGTACGAGCCGTAGCCAGACGCCGGCGTCATCATCATTGAGGGCACGAGGCAATCATCTCGTAGGCAGGCGCACTTTCTGAGAACGAAGATGAGGAGAGGGAGAGAGAACAGAGAAACCTTTGTGCGTGGGAATCGCCAACGCCAATCCCAGGTTCGGCAGCACCACGACCAGTCCTCAAAAATCCTCGTCGGACGGCTTGCGCCTTTTCGACGCGGTATACTGGGGACTGCTAGGCCGACAGCTCACTTGGGTGATGGTATAAGTGTAGTCAGTGGTGTTGGTCACCGTAACCGCAGGCACATATTCGGAGAGGGACGTTGTCCAGTAGAAGGCGCAGGTCCCGCAATCGTGCCAGTATACGTCGGTCTGGGTGTCGTAGGTCGGCGTCTCGTCGGGCGATGATGACGGCGGTGCCAGTTGCAGCCCGTAAGTGCTTCGGTCATTGTCGTAAGGGGTTGCCGTGGGCGTGGGCGTCGTCATGACCGGGTGTCTCGCTCCGGGGAGCGCTCCCGTCTCCGTGCAAAGCGGCAAGGGGAGGTCTGGCGGGAAGGCTGTTCCGGGGCCCAAGTCCAGGACCGTGAGCAGCTCCTGGTCCTGGTCCTGGTCCGGGGCACTGCTGAGAAGCGTCGAGCTTGTCCCCGTCCCCGTCCCCGTCTTCGTCGTGGAGCTGGAGCTGGGCCCTCCGGTCTGCAAGGTTGGGCCGCGCATGGCGTGGGAGGTCTTGCAGGCATCGTTGCACGGCGCGAAGGGCTGCTTGGCTGCTGCGACGGCCACGAGGGCCGACACGGCAACAGAGACCTTCATCTTTGCAGCGTCTGGTTTCGGGACAGAGACGTGGATTGGAGGCGAGGGGGGCAGCGACGGTCAAAGGCAAAAGGAGAGCCGTGGGCCGGGCGTGTCGCCATTTATACACCGTCGCCATCTCATCGTGACTTTGCATGCGTAATCGAGAGGGCCTAGGCGCGTGTTAGTGGTTTTATTTGACACGGACTCGCGCCAATACTCGAGGTCAGGGGCAAACACACTGGATGGGCGAAACCTTGTTAGGAGCCGTCGAGAGCCAGCGCCTAGTGATGTGATGATGGCGCACATGGTTTGGAACAAGGAATTTTTGTTGAAGAGCAGCAACTCACTCCGTGAAGCGCGCTGATAATCGGCATCGTCACGATACGTACCAAACGATGCCTCGGGAGCAGGTTCCGTCATCCTCGGCGTGCGGCTCTTCGACCCCGATCACCAGGAACCGTGCAGACATCAGGCCTCAGTCAGACCTTCGCCTCCCGTACGTGACGGTCCTGGCCCAACACGCAGCCCACGTCCCGGAATCACGTCCCCCTCTCAAAGACCTTGACACCGCCATCCCCGCCGACAAAATACAGGAACTCGCCCTCTCCGCCTCCGCTCCCGTCGTCATGCCCGTCCGCCTTGCCACCGCCCGTCACCCTCACGACGCCGCTGACGTCCCTCGCCGTCCCCGTGTCCAGCAGTCGCAACGACATGACTATACTCGCTTCATGCGCGAGACCCAGCGCAAATGCCGCGTGGTCCCTTTCCAGCGTCGTGTTCTGTGCGTGAATGAGAGCGTCGTCCGCCGAAACGGCCACCACGGCAGCGTGAACCCTCTGTGCCTCGTTAGCTCCGCCTCCACCGTCTGCGAGTCGACAACAGCCTTCCCTTGCCCTGGGAATCGGAACATTTGACAAAAGGCAGACACTCGGACTCACCTCCCTCCAGCAGTTCAACACATTCACCGCCCCCAACGCGCCGACCCCCCCCATCGCCAACCACGCATCCATGCCGTCCACCAAGAGCACGACCTTGCTCCCCTCCTTGGAAACCTCGTCAATGGCCCTCTCAACTCCTTTCCTCACATCGTCCATCTTCCCGCCGCGCAAGACGTGGTCCCTCCCGCCACCGGTAGCCGGTTCCGCAGTCGCATTGGCCACATATAACCCCGTAAGCCCGTCGACGAAGACGAACCTCTTGCATCTGTTCATGGCATCGAGGTCCAGACCCTGAGGCCACGATTAGCGTCGTCCGGTCCGGAACAAAACCAGCTGGGCAAGGACTGCGAAAGGAAAAGAATAAATTACCATTTTGCCTGCCCCCTCTCTCCAAAATGCCCCGTCCCTCAAAAAGCTGCACAAGACGACCACCGTCGTAGCACCCTCGTCCTCACCCACCCGCTGCCCGTTCTTCAGCAGACCATACACCCATCTCAGAAGTAGCCAGTTTGCACTGGCTCCCAGCACACTGGTGACAACTGCGAGGGCCGCTTCCCGAGGCAGATTGAGGTACGGCTCTAGCAGGGGCGGAACTTTGGTCGATGCTGTGGAGGCCATGCGGACCGCCGGCTTTTTCGAATTTGGAAATGCGTTTTGGACAAGGCCAAAAGGTTGTGCCTGCGACGAATAGTGATGCCGTCAGACGACGACAGAACGGCGTGGAAAGATGCTGCCTTGTCTTGGCCTTCCTCTAGCAACGACGGGAACTCGAAACCAAGTGGACGGTTGTGGATGACGAGTTGCAAGACGAGAGAGATGTGAAGGATGTGGTTGAAAGTCGACGCTATTCTCTTGGTGGGGCACGTCAAACTCACCAACTCCTCGTCTCATCAGACTCCACCAACTCTTCACAACCGGCTTCACATGGAACCTCCAGTCTGGGAGAAACGTCGAATCAACAATATTCATATCGTCTATTGTCACGCCGTTCGTGGCATCTACTCTAACCAAATGTAGCGTCTAATTCTTCGCCGGTAACAACACCCCGAGACTCCAGTAAATAAACGCCAGATGCCCACAAACAACCTTGCAAAAACAAATGATATCCAATTTGACGCTGCAACGACAAAAGGCCTCCCGAATCTCAACACCCAAGGCCTCATGTTCCCTTGTATGAAGATGCTGCCGCCTGGAAATACACACGCTCAAGTCACATCATGTAATTGCCTCTGTTCCACAAACATCAAATGACTCACCAAACGCCAAACTGTACTCAAAACTTCTCCATGAGGTTCATTCTCACCGTCCACATGCGAGCTCTCTTGCCGAATATGAATAAGGGGATTGTGGTGAGGTGAATGAGGAGTTGCATGATTCCCAACCACATATAGACTTGCTTCGGCCCGTCACTAGCCATCCAGTGAGTCACAAACAGACTAAAGACGAGCCCATGCAACACGTTCTTGGAAAAGTTTAGTGTGACCAGTGCCTCTCCTGCGTACTGACGATAGCTATCAACGCAAAACGTGATGGCTGTCGTTGATCCTAGAGAGCACCCAAACGACAGTATGCCGAAGAAGGCTGTCGGGATCATCCAATGGTCCTTCTCTTGAGCAGACCAGCCGAAGCCCATGAGACCAATACAGGTTGTAAGCATGATGGGAATGGCCATGACCAGTCGGAACTCAGGCTCATACATGCCGCCATTCCGACGCGACATGGCTCGAACGATGAGGTCACTAATCTTCCCTGCGACGCCGGTGCCAAGCACGCCGCCAACGAATGGGGACACGTACACCAGACCAGTTTGGAGCGCATTAAAGTTGTAACTCGCGGGGTCTCGGTAGATCACGGCCATTGTCTCCGAAATGACGATTAGCCAACCGATCGAGCAGGAATATACCGCAGCAGACCACAAAACGGCCGGGTAGGAAAACAAGACGAAGGGCCGGATCATAACTTTGAACCACTTGTCGTTGTTGAGCCGGCCATGGTAGGGTTTCAGCTGCTGGGTAAACGTTTGGGCAGGCTGGTGTCGCAAGTTATGCGTATACGCCTTGATCCTAGGAGGCGACCTGAGTATCGACGCGGGAATTCTTTCATTGTCAAGGTTTGGCCCGTGAGAGAAGTATTCCACATGGGCGTCACTTTGGTTTGCACTGTGGAGGTATGGCGAGCGCCCACCTGGTCCGCCAGGTGACTGACCGAGGTTGGACCTTGGTGATCGAATCGGGCTGTGCACAGAGCTCGTTTCATCCATCACACAGTGCTCTTCAGGCACGTGTACAAGTGGTGCATTGGTGCCCAGCTGACTAGGCTCTGCTTCGATATGTTCCGGCGTCTCTCTAGAAGGGGACGGGACGATGGCAGGCATCTGGCCGTGCGCGTTGCCGGATAAATCTTGGCGGTGTGTGATATCCTGCACATCGTTCTTCCTAGACGAAGCGAATCCAACATGGTGGCCAGCGGAGTCGGGGTGCAGATGACCTATACTGTCCGGAACATGATGTTGAGATTCGCCGGTGCCTGCTGTCTCATAGGCGAAGCCAACATGGAGTCCCCTTTGACGAGTCTCGGCGCCAAGCGAAGGTGGCCTTTCCGGGGCCTCCGAGTTTCTCGCAGATTGGGTCGCTTGGTGAGGGATATGTACGTTTCTACGTGAAGAAAGGCGTCGAAGAAAGCTGGGGCGTTTTGAGGGTTTCCGCCTGGGTGTGCGATCCCAGAAGGTTTCGGGTACGAAAAGAAAGAGGAGAATAAAGCCTGAGCCGGCCACCATTGCGACAATACTACAAGGACTGTTAGTCAAGGGCTCGAGGTAGAGACGGTGTACCGGGAAGAAAGTAAACGCAACGTTGAGAGGGCACATACAAGAACACCCAGCGCCATCCGTACCGCCCAATGATGGCGGCGCTCACGAGAGGAATCAAGTTTTTTCCGCCTAACAGTAGTAATGTGTAGATGCCAATGCGGTAGGCCCGCTCATGGAGGAAGAAGATCTCTGCAATTGTAGCTGAAGGAAGGCATTCCACAGGGCTGATAGCTACTCCTTGGAAAACCCTGGCTGCGAGCAGAGAAGGGAAACTGGGAGAGTAGCCTCCCCAAATGCACGTTGCAATGAAGAGGATGACACTAGCAAGGTACACAGGCCGCTTGCCGAAAAGGATGGCGGTTGGAGAAGCGAAGACTGAGCCTACACCAAGGCCCATCATGTATAGACCGACCGTGAGAGACACAGTTTCAACTTCGACATCCATATCATGGGCAATGTCTGTGAAACCAGCGGCCATGATGGATGTAATGCCGCCGCCGATCATGCAATAAAAGCCCAGTGACAACAAGGCAGTATCTCGTCGCCAGGCAGGCCAGTTCAACGGGTCGTTGACGGAGTCTTCTGGCTGGGGGTCGAGAATGATGGCACCGTCCTGTGTTTTCTTCTTCCCTTCATTGGGATCAACGTGTTTCGTGGCAGGCGGGCCCTGAGCGACGGGACGAGAACCGCCTGGCGTCAATGGCATGTCAACAAAGAAGCCTGTTGGGATAGATGAATGGGAGGTCCTGGCATGCACCTCACGCAGACCAAGGGGCTCATTGCGGTTAGCGGCCAGAAGTAAAACGGAACCTGGCCGTGGGAGTCAGCAGTGTGAATATAAAAAAAAGGATTGAGCGTAGATCCAAGGGGGTATTCCTACCCGGGACCTCGACAGTCTGCCTGTCGTTGAGCACACCAAAACTCCACCTTGAGTGACTAGACGCTTGCTTTTCTTGTTGGCGACCGTCGCCGGCCCTCACCCCAAACAATCGTTTCCAAGGGGAGGCAGTGCCCTTCAAGTCTTCTGAGGTAGACGACATGGTGTCTACTGCCTGGGAGCGAGACGGTTATGACCCGTTCTTTGCGTGCGCCGCGTCGCGGGGCGAGCGAGGTGCTGGAAGTAGTGTGTGAGCTTTATGATGGAAGAAGGAACGCTGGATTTCAAACGTAGGCGAAACAGGTGTTATTCTGGAGTCGGGGTAGAGGAGAGGTGAAGCCGGGCTCGCTGGGGTTCCAAGGACGGAGGAGGCCGAAAGAAAAACAACAAATGCCGGATAGGTAAGATTAGGAACTGCGGTGACGGTCAAGAACCGGATAATGGCAAAGGAGTGAAAGAGCGGAGAGGGATAGAGGGAGATGAAGACGTAGGTAGTCGGGCAATATAAATGTAATGATGAATATAGAAGCCGCGTGAGGGCCGGGAAACCGGCGTCAAGGATGGGCCGAGATTCATGTCTTAGGATAGATGACCGAGATGTTTGACGCGGAAGCACAAGTCGAGACAGGGTCCAGCCTTGGCCTGGGGAACAATGGTGCAGGAAGGCAAGAGCATGACGGGCGCACGCCAGGCGCACATGACGGACATGCATTAGGGGAATGCAGAATGCACGATTGATGCAACGTTGAGGGGGAGGAAGGCGCGGGTGGGGGAGAGTTGCGGACTAGGCAGTAGGCAATTAATTGGCATGGCAGGCAGTTCTCACCAGGTGGGGGACGGGTTGCTGTTGATGTTGTCGCCGCCAAGTTGGCTCGGATATCGAGCTCAGCACCGGGATGATGCCCGGCTGCCCGTGGCCTTGTTGTGCGACGGGATGTGATGGAATGGATAAGTGGATGGTTACACGATCAAGATTAGGAGATCTGGTGACATCAGAGGAGTGGTTCTGCTGGTGAGGCACTTGCGGGGTGAATTGCTCAGCAGGCCCTCGCCCCACCGCGCCGGCTGCTTCACATGCAGCCCTGACCCCTGTAGACTTGAGTACTAGTATATTTTTAGTCCAACTACCTGGTTGTACTAGTACTCAAGCACATGCTTAGATAATGGCGTTCCTTGATACTTTGAGAACAACCACAAAGCAGCAGCTCGACATACGCTGCAGTGTCAAGAGATGCCGCTGGATCGATAAAACAAGCACACATAGTCCGCCATATTTTTCTTTGCATTTCAATCTCGAGACATCGACGGCATCAAACAGCGCACAGTCACCATCGCGTCAACGCTTTACGGAGTAAAAGTAGAATATATTCCCCGCCTGCTAATACATTACCCACCTCATACACACACGTCATGTCTCGTAATCGATACCAACCGCACCGACGTCCTCCCCACGAAAAGGACCCATCCTCTGATGCGTCTAATCTTCGTTTCCTTTCCAGGAGAATAAAAAAAAACGCCATAGACTCCTGCCTTGGACCATGTCCCCGCCGTCCCCTCTTCATGAAACCTTTCCTAGACGACTACAGCTCAGCACTCATCCTCTCTTCACATGACCGTACATTCCCCATCTTGTCGTTCCTTCTCAATCCTGCTGCGTGAAAGTCGTTCTCGAGGTTTAAAAGGTGCGCCCTTGCCTACACGCTTGAGGTCTTCCAGACGATCTCTTGCTTTGGGGAAGTCTTGGGCTAAGAACACAAAGCGTCAGTATTGCGACATCGGTAGCTTGGTTGTGAAACGTGTCAAGCAATTTCGAGACCTACCAGCCGCTCTCCAATACCATCGTTTTGCATCTTCCATGTTGGCAGGGACGCCTATGCCGACCTCGGTGAAATATCCCATCGCGTATTCGGCCTTCGCCAGACCGGCCACCGCCGCTTTTCTCGCCCAGAGATACGCCTCTGTGTCGCTTTGGTTCAGAACTCCCGGGCTTCCCGTCAGGTACCACCCACTAAGCGCCAGCTCTGACTGGTGTTCTTCCTGCTGAGCTGCCTGCGAGTACCAATAGATAGACTGCCGCGAATCGATGGGGCAGCCGAGTGCTCCATGCTCGAAAGCACAGCCAAGTCGATACTGTGAGAACTTGTAGCCTAAATCTGCAGCCTGCTTGAACAAGTCCAGAGCGTAGCCTTCGTCTCGGACAATGGCGTCATTGGGCTGTGCCGACTCGTAGAGCAGTCCCAGCTCGTGCAGAGCGTGCGGATTCTCTGCATCCGCCCTCTCCGCGGCACGCTTCAGCCATCCCACCGCCTCACGCGGATTCCTAGGCTGACCCAACAGTCCCTTGAGGAGAATCATGCCTACCTTGTACATGGCTGGGGGGTCGCCCAATGTGGCTGCGCGCTTGTACCACTGCATCGCCTTCAGGGGATCTTTGCGCGTGCCACCGCCGTCTTCATGTCCTATCTCGCAACACACTGCGGTTCGGTACGCAGCAGCAGCGTGCCCTACTTTGGCCGCCGACTGATAAAGAGTAAAGGCCTCCTTGTTATCCGGCTCATTGCCAAACAGACCCTTGCCGAGGCTATCGGCCAAAACGAACATGGCCTCCGAGTTTTGTGCGTTGGAGAGCTTTTTGAGAACCTTGTGCGAGTCCATGAGGTATCGTTCACGGGCTTTCATTCGCTGTTTAGGGTCGGGCAGCTTGGGTGCCAGGATATCAGCAGCTTGGATCAGTCGCTTTGCTAAACGCAGAGCTGATTCCTGGTCGTTTGCGTTCACTTTGATAACCATACGCAGACGTTCGAGTTCGTGCGGTGTTACTGGCTCCTCGAATGGCCCTGTTTCTAGAGGAGCGGAATATCCCCCACCTCCATACGCAGACTGTTGTTGCTGTTGCTGAGGTGGTTGGTATTGATTGTACTGTTGCGGCGGTGGCTGCTGTTGCTGCTGCTGCTGCTGCCCGTAGTTTCGGACAGGAGGGGGCCGGTTGTTCATATTGACCATGGAGTTAGCCATTAGCCCTGGACGGACGGGCGTAGGATGTGAAGGAAGTGTGTCGGCGTTCGCGTGGCTCGACGACGTCGTGCCGTGAATGGCAGCTCCCGCAGCGATACCCCCAGCCCTCGCATCTTGAATGGGACCCGGAGGCGCACTGGGACCTCGCGGCGGCAGCTGATCGTGACCAGCGGGTGGTGCACTGTACCCTTGGCCGAATTCCGGCCGGTAAGGCTTCACCTGTGGCATAGGAGGCACAGAGGGGATATCGCCGGCCATCTCGAAGACCGCAGCTTGCGGTTCGTGGAAATTCGCCTCGGATTGTGCATGATGCAGTCTCGGCATCCCATGAGCACCAGGCTGCGTCTGCTCCAGTGCGGGATGCGTTGACTGGTCGAAGGACCCACGGCCTTGGTCGGCAGGCGCAGATTCAAAATTCGGGTAACCAGGCCTGGCGGGCTGAGCTCCGTACTGATTCCCAGTATCGTGACCGCCGGCCTGGTGACCGTCATAATACGCATCGTACACATCGTTGACTGTCGGTGATGGATCTGTGAGAGGAGCCTGTCCGGGTGACGCTGTAACGCTGCCGTAACCCCCTCGGCCATTGCCGTATGCACCGCCAGCATAGGGGTCTGGAGCCGAGGTGTGTAGATCTGCCGGGTATATCCTTTGTGGAGGAGGGCGATGGCCGCCAGCTGTTGCAGGTCTCGGCGGCATGGCTGCTGCTGCAGCGTGTCCATTGAGAGGCACTGTGCCTACTCGACGCGGCGCGAGCATGTTTTGTGAAGAATCGAAATCGCGGACAGGCATTGTCATGCTCCTGGTTGGAGGGCCAAATTCGTTTTCTGGAGGTCGCTGAAGCGCACCACTGTATGCATCATCGTAACGGCCGAAATTACCACCAATCTGTCCCGCAAGCAGGCCTTGTTGCGGACCCCCATAGCCTTGGTCTTGACTTGGTGCTGTTTCATGGCTTGATCTTCCATCGGCTCTAGACCGTTGCCGATTCAAGTCCATGGCTGACATTTGGTCAGTCAGCTGATGTTCCTGGTCGTAGCTGCCATACCCGGCATCTGGATGGTTCAGAGGTGGTTTTCGGCCTACATCAAAGGCAAAAGAAACGCGGAAGAGTCAGCAGAGATGGTTTCAGGTGCGCACGAGCTTCTCAAGCGTGCAGTATTCTTACCACTGTAATCTCCTGGAGGATACTGGCCAGGTCGCCATCCAGGAGGGCCACCTCGTGGCGGCATTCCACGGCTAGGCCCCCGTCCCATGCCTCTACCACGAGGATGAGGACCTCCGCGGACGCCGTCAGCAGTCCCAGGACGAGGTATAGGACCGCCTTCCCTGGCGTACGGAGGCATTGGGCGCCCCCTTCCCGGGCCAGGCGCATAACTGTCCTGATATTGATGAGCTCCCTCGTCTCTGTATCCTCCTCTCTGGCCGTCGTAAGCTTGTCCATTTTGAAAATCGTTCACGGGTTGTCGACCGCCAACTTGGTGCTGGGGGTGGGCTTCGTGATACCCTCCCGGGGGGGCAGGACGGCGCGCTGCCGGACCAGCATACGGTCGCTGGCCTCCATCTCCGCCGTAGCCTCCCTGATAGGCCATGTCAATTGTTCCGTGTCCAAGACCGACCTGATCAAAAGCGGCGGCACGGTGCGCGCGGGACAGTTTCTCGCTGGGCGTTGAAGATGGGTAGCAGTTGTCGGCCTGCAAAGCTATATGCGGACGTGGAAGAACACGACGAGATGCCCCATGTCCTATATCCGAGACAACGGGCACACACACACCGCCAACGCAAATGCCACGGCGCCAAGGGGGTGTTGTGGCGCGGCAAACGCCAACAGATGGCGCAAGATAAACAGAGTAAAGCGAGCAGAAAATATACAAGTAAAAGGGAGGCAGTGTTGGTCGTTTTTCTGCTTCACAGTGGCCGGCTTAACAATGCATTGGGAAGCGATTTGTGGCCAAGGCAACGATAGTGGCACGGTCGAGCGTCAGTCTGTGGCTCGCGGTGTTTCGACTTGGTCCACACGGAATCGACAATTTCGACAGAGACCTCGCCCTTGTGTCGGCAGACACCGGACGGAACAGACGTGTTGAAGTGATGGGTCCAGATCTGTCGCCGTCAAACGGGGAGATGTCTGCTCTCGTCGGTGGGCGCGCACGAGAAGGAGGTGCCAAAACTTGAGGGTACTTGAGCCGCGTCAAAGTGGGTGGAGTCGCCAGTCTTGAATGCTCCTTGCATGCAGTCTCAACGTGTATGCCGGGGACCGAACGTTTGGACAATAATAAGACGCCTCTGACGGAGGAGAGCGCACAGGGAGCGACGTGCGCGAGTTATTGTACTGTATCTGGAACTTGGGAAGCATGCACTATGCAGAAGGGAGAGGCGTGGAATTGGGCCAAAGTGGAGGTCAAGATCGTGGACAAACGAGTGTTTGGTACATGTCACCGTGTCTCGTGCTGGTGCGTGTGTGGGGTCTGTTTGTCAGTGAATAAATCAACCCGACAATCAATAATAAAGGAATGAGGACGCATACGGCGTACATTGCATGCTGAGCAAAGGATGATTGATGCCAGCAAAGTTCCAACCCCAGCTAGCTGCTGCTGCTGCTGCTGCTGCTGTTCTTGCCGCCTCACTTGACCCCCCTCCGCAGATCAAAGGAGCGCCCGACTCTGGAGTCCGCAGCCACGTCCCTCATCAGCTTGCCAAATGACGGCGGATGGTTGGCAGCGCCAACGTCAGAAATGCCAACGCCAGTGAGAGGCGGGAACCTGCAGGGGGGGGGGGGCCGAAAAAGCGCATGTAGAGGTACATGCGCCGTCTGGTTGACAGTGGCAGCCGCAGGTACCAGATACGGCGCTCGGAGTTCGGCGCAGTGCAAGGGACCTCCAGCGGCCAGCTCCATCGCTGCGCGACGCTGACTGGCCAGCCACCGGTCCTCGCTTCTAGTCTCGGTACCGGTACCTGCAGCTGTTGCTCACAATCCAACAATCCGACAGACCAGGTCTGCTTCATTTGATGACAGGGAGCCGACAACCTGTTCAACAATGGCACGCCGATCCAGCAGGTCAGTTACTCCGTAGTCCATGGTCAATTCATCCTCTCTCATGTCCTCCGACCCCCGTGAACCCTGCTCGGACTGTTCTCCACGACGTCTCCCTGTCACCATCCCGTCTGCGCGATTGGCCATTGCATCATCCCATTCATGCTGGCCCGTCCAACGACAAAATCACCATCAACCCACGCAGTCGCGCAACATGGTACGCTTACACGCCAGAGCTAGAGCTTAAGCTTGGCGTACTGGCACTGCAACCTCACCGTGTGAGGAGGGCCGGGTCACAGACTCACAGCTGACCGCAGTGTTACATATAATTTCGTACTAGGTCAAGGTCATCATGCAGTCGTCCAATAAGTTGTTGCCCCGAAACGAAAGCCTCAGAGCCCTCGCGCTGCCGAATCCGATCTATCGCTACTCCGTACTCGGCTGTTTACTCACATCCAAGCAGCATCGAGTAGAAATGCCAAAGTAAGCATGGACCCAGCCCCGTGCTGGATTGACAGAGAGGCCGGGATCAAATGTGTCCAACGAGTTTGTGCACTCCGTTTATGCGGCCAAAGACTCATCATTTCTGTCGCCCATGATTAGCATTACGTAAGGTAAAAGGACATGGTCGATGGAATGGATTGACAGTGGGTGATGCGCCACCAAGTTCCGTACCGCTGGATCCTGGGTCTCTGCCGGTGTAGTTTGATCGACCGAAACTTACTTATGAAAGGACAAACGGTCTACCTATATACAGCCAGCCATCCCCAGCCCACGAGAGGCCCCCTCCAAGCTGTCCTGCGATGCCGTTCGGTACTATCAGAAAGCGATGGTATGACTGCTACCTCAGTACTGGGGCTTTCAGCATAGGTCATTCCAGTCCGTTGGCTCCTGACGTCCGCGAGCGCCATGACTCTGAATGCTTCACGTGCACACGCCGACATGACAGCTGGCGCATGATTTTCGAGGCCTCGTCTCCAAGGCCATGCGCTGGAAACTCGGCTTTGTATCCAGCTCCATTTTGAAGTAGCCATCTTCGTACTCATCTTTTGACACACAAATCAGTCCTTAGAACCCATTTCTCGCCTGCCTTTACCTCTCGCCCTTCGTGCTATGCGAAATAGATTTAGTTGTTGGACGTACAAACATAGGCCGAGCACAGACGTACCAGTAAACAGTCATCGCCATGCTTGTGTAGCAGTAGAGTACCAGTTTCCAACGACACGGCAATTTCCTCTGAGCGCAGCTTCCGATCATTCGGGTAAAACACCGTCTCTCCGCCGACACAGCCCTCGGCGGAGGACGTGAGATACAGAAGTAGAGTCCACGTGGTGCGCACAGGCACGGGTAGTTCCGCGTTAAGAATCAAGTTGCTGGAGTCGTCATCTGCGCCGGCGAGTGATTAACAGCGAACAAGCTCCAACAGTAACATAGAAAAAGAAAAAAAAAGGGGGGGGGACTAGACAACAGAAAACACACCTACAATGACAGTCGAAGTACTGGCCCTTGGAGTACCGATAGACGCGTATGTTGGGATTCAAGCCCACCGGCTCTCCACCCCTATAGAATGTCGTCAGCATTGCCAGGCATCTCAAACTCGGCCAGTCCGCGTATGCGGTAAACTCATCATGCAATGGGGAAACCGTACCAGAGGCTTCTGGCGTCTTCATTACCAACCAATGCCTCTTTCAACCCTGTCGATTCCCAGAGTCTGCTCGCAAAGACCGCATCGTCGACCTGGAAGCGATCATTTACTCGAACAGCCTCCCCGCGCTTGGGCCTTCCGGGGGTCGTCTGCAGTGGCAGCGTTTTGAAAAACGTCACGTACTCTCTGCAGAGCGATTTGGGGAAGAAAGAGGCGATTGTTGCAATTTTGGGCGTTGAGGGATGTAATTCAGGTGTCAGCTCGACCACGGGCAACGGCGGCTTGAATTGTGGCCAGGCGGGAAGGCTGTCAGCCTTGGCCGGTGTCGACGCTGCATGAGGTCCTCTTGGCGGCTTTGCTGCCTTTGGCTTCGGCATCGTGGAAAACCTGATGCTTGTACAGCAATCGTTCGCGTGATGCAGGTTCGACAGTCCTGACGTTGTTCCTCTTGCCATTTTGTGGGAAGTCGTTGGTTCGTTATTCGAGACCAAAGCACCAATCAGCTTCCGTTCCGGCCGCGGCTCGACAGTTCAACCGCATCGCTTCTTCAACTCAACTCTATTTTTTTTTTCCCGACTCGACCACACCTCCATTCATGTCGAAGCATCGCTGCGGAGAGGCGTAACGCGATCCTCCTTCACTCGCTTCGTCCATCCATCGACCCGGTTTGCGATCCCCAATGGCCTGCGCTTCCACAATCATGTCCCAAGGACCGGGCTCGTCAACACCACCACCCCAGTTGGGGCCATCGTCGAGGCAACATGTCCCGGCGTCGCCATCTCCGTCGGAGCGTAAAATGAAGCAATTGGGTCTTCTGTTTGCCGGCGCCGGGTTCATGGCCGCCTCTGTCGCCGTGACGCGCAGGGCTGTGCTGCGGCGCCAACTCGAGAGCTACCCCAGGTTCTACTCATCCAACCGGGCATCGCTTCACATCGACTCGGGGGAGAGGTCGCTCATGGCCGTGCAAGCGCTCGGGCTGGCGACGCTCAACGTCACGAGCTTTGGGATCATGCTGACTGGCGGGCTTGCCTATTCCTTTGACTTGTGCAACATTGGAGAATTAAGAGAGCGGACGCAGGCCGCGCTACGGAGACCGGGCAACTTCTCACCAGAGGACGAGAAGGAGCTGGAGAAGATGATGGGCCCGATCCTAGAGCGGCTGGGGATGCAGAAGACCCAAGAGGCGCAGAAAGTAGAGCCAGCGGCCAAGGCGACGCCATCCAAGAAGTAGACCGCGGGCCTCTCCTCCGAGCTTTGCATCTACGCTCCCTGCACACCTCGAACCTGTCGACTCGTGCACAACTTTCAGTCCCGCATGACGCAAACTGATGCGCATCTACAACCGCAAAATATCCGGGCCCGAGGCGTGCCGCACACCGGGCACATCACTACAGAGCACACCACCGCGGACCAAATCCCTCCGTCTACACAGCCCCGTCAAACATGGAAGACGTGTACGGTCTCGTATGTATATAGGCAACGTCAAGATATAGCACAACCCCGCCACTCACCAATATGATCCCCGTCGAGACATACCATGACACGCGTCACTCCCAAAGCATCGTCATCATCGCCGTCCCAAAGTTGCCAAGCCACAAACCAAATACTCGAATGCAAATGCCAAGCTGGCAGTCAATGCCGGCATCACACGAGCACACGCCCATTTACAGACCGTCAACAGGATCTGTAGCTATCCGGCATGATGCTGCAAGAACCCGCACCGAGCCGAGCCAAGGCAACGCAGCATGTCGTGCTCGTTGGGAGAATCGCAAGAAACTGTGCTTTCGAAATAGAATGCAGCGCTCGCGGTTGCAAACGAGCAATGGTGCCCTGCTCGAGAGTTTTGGGCACAAGCAGACGCTCGCATGGCGCAGCTGGCGCCGCAGCGGAGGAGGCGCCAAGTCAGAGATGGCAAGTCATAGACGACAACGTTGCTCCAACGCACAGGAATTCCAACACGACACATCCCTGGCTGCCAGGCCAAAGCAGCAAAGACGCCGGCAAGACGTGGCCCCCAAAATGTCTTGCACAAGCTAGAAGAGAGGCGAGCGGGAGCGCCCGAAGGGTAGATGCGTCAAAAACAGTCAAGAGAATAAACAGTGAGCGTAAAACAGCAGTGGTATTACAATGCTATGCTTCGTGTTCCAATCCAGTGTTGAACCGCATCTATATGGTTTCCCTGCCAAAAGGTACATACTCTCGGCAGCGCGCCCCTGAATCTGCGTCAACGTAGATCCATCCCTTTGCCCGTCTTGTATGTACATGTTTTCCGGCGATTGACGAGCCACAAATGACAATGACAGACAGACATGTGTGGATCCTTCCACCGCGCGATGCAAGTTTAGTGCCCTCGCGTCGGTGCTGCCGCTGGAGATGCTTTGTTTCCAAAGGGCGCGCGGGGAATCAAAGCTGCCCAGGTCGATCAAGCTTGGACAGCCATGTCCGAGAAGGAGAAAAAATGACAAAGCGACGGCCGAAATGGCAGTCACAATGCCAAGGCTTCTTTGACCTTGCCGCTCTTCCTCAGTTCGAGCATTTCCTCCATACCCTCGAGGCTGTTCCGGCGCCCCCAGTTCTTCGGCTGCCGCTTCAAGAATGCGCCCACGGCGCCAAGATAGCCCTCGTGGCGCAAAAAGTAGGCCTGCTTCTCGCCCCTGCTCCAAAACTTGAGACCGTAACTGAGGGTGTTCATTGTCTGTCGGTGGCCGCGGATGAAGGAGCCGCCAAAGTAGATATCCGATACATTGTGTATTTGCGACTGCAAATATGCAATCTGTCCAATGTTGTTGGACACGGCGTACAGTAGCGACCTCGATATGTCGCCTTCTGTGAATCCCAACTGAATCGGACCAGCCTCTTCATTTGACCCATCTTTGTGCGCGGTAGCGGCAGCGGCAGCGTCCGCCAAGCTCTTCTTGCGAAACACTTTGCCAAAAGATGATGCGATGGTGGTGCTCTTGAGCCCAATCTTGCCGTAGTCTGTGCCGTAAATGTCGCCAACAAGCATATCTACATTGGCATTGTCGCCGTGGCCGGCCTGCTCCAGCATCTCGTCAAAGTTTTGCGCGCCCGTCAATAATGACAGCAGACCCCATAATGTGCCCCCTCCAAGTGACGTGCCGCCAACTCGTTGGTAGGATCGAGGGCCGTCGACTTTCAGGATGGAAACTCCAGATCCGATGTTGACCAAAAGGTAGGGATATATCCTTTCCCTCGGACTCACAAAGTGCATAGGATCCGTCTCGGAGTACGTAAACACCTCGCGGGGAATCTCTGTGATGAAGAAATCGAGACCTGTTGCAGAACCTGCTTGTTAGCCCTTGACGTGGGAACTCAACATAGCATTGCGCGCAAGGCTCTCACCAATAATGAGACACTCCATTTCGTCTTCTCTCAACACATCAACGCCGAGCGCATCTCGAATCATGTCGTAAAATTTGTATGCGCCGCCGCCAGTGGCCATGACACACAGCTCTCCGGGCTTTGAGCCATTGAGGGCCAATTGCTCGTCGCGCAGGTGCTTCATGAACTCGACGCAGTCATCGATTCGGTCAGTCTCGAAGATTTGAAAGTTGAGTCGGCCTCCGGGTTCCATGGAATGCACCTCCCGGGAGAAGTACACCAGCTTAATGAGCGATCCGCCAATCTTTTCAAGGAAGGGTCAGGTTAGCGCGCAAGTTTTCTTTTCAAACTCATCCCCGGTTCCAATCCGTCCTCGATGCGTATTCAGGGATGGGGATTTGCAGATACTGACATCGACGGCAATATGGCTGACCACGGCGGTGTGGTTCGGTAATCGGATATCGCTCGTCTCGTGATGAGTCGGACTTCCGCGGCCATTGCCTTGGGAGTTGGTGCTGTCCACCGCTGGGGTGGATGTATCTGGATCGACGATGAAAGCTCCCTGGACATTGATCTTGACACTGCCCGGCCTGGTAATGGTGTTGTTGATCTCCTCAGTCGAAGTCGCAGTCCTGGCCGCCTCTGTCTCGGTCACTGTCTGCCGCGTTGTACCAGCAGCGGTAGCGGCCATGGCCGCGTCCCGATGCTTCACGGCAGGCATCGTCTGGATGCGCAAAAAGTTGAGGAGTCGGTGGCGTCGTGCTGTTGTGGACGTCACAAGGCAAGTCGGTCGATTTCAACCATGTGCTGTCATGCTCACGTCTGACCAGCGAAGTATTGTTGAGATCTCCACAGGTACTGTAGAGGCGCAACTCCTAAGCTGTTGGCCCCTCCAAGAAACTACCGGGTACCGACGTGACCGCAAGCCAGTTCAATGTTCAATCACTGATAAGAATCATTCATACTGCACATGTCAGAGAGGACGTTGAGGGGACGAAGTGGGTGGACAAGGCGCAGGCTAGGAAGCTCGGCGAGTTGAATCACTGGTTTTACCAATGTGAGTACTTATCGATAAGGAACCGACCCGGTTGGCCGAGGTCCACGCGATACGGAGCCCCATTAGTCATAAATTATGAGGTACCTAGGTATCTATCTAGGGAGTACGGAGTAGTTCGCGGAATCAGAGTTATATTATAAGCACATCTTTTTATAATACAATTCAAGGATTACAATCCGTGGCTTCCGTGGCAGCCACCCTCTCCGAGTACGTACGGGTAGATACACGTTTTCTCCCCCAACCACCATTTGTTCGCACTGCACTCCTCGACACTTTTTATTAGAAAAAGTTTCCCCCAGGAACGGCCACAAAAATAGCAGTCAAGGCACCCCCAAGAAGAACAGATGCAAGAAGCGCCTGAACAAAAATGGTATCCTGAATCTGTCTCAACGCGGGTTCCTGGATCCAAACCTCGCGGTCAAAGACTTTGCGCACTACATTTCGCTTCTCGTACTTGACGACCCAAGGCTCATCTTCGTAGCTGTTTTCGCTTCCCAACGAGTCGAAGCTGCGCTTGTTCGGTTCCTCAGCATCGTCTTGTAGGAAAAGCTCCCAAGGTCGCACATGGCGGTGATGCATGCCATGCAAGACGACACACATGCCCTTGTACGCGGCAACTAAAGTACTGATGCCTAGAACCCACGCAACAGCAGCAAAGGCACGGTATCCGCGCCCGAGCTTGCTTAGAGTGATTGGGATGGCAATGGCAAAGCCAGCGACGATGAGGAATACCCCGAGAAAGCGCGCAAAGAAGACACGTGCAGGGTTGCCGTTGCAAATTGACCAACGGACAAAGTTGGGGTGAGCTTGTCGTCGCAGAGACGCATCCACAGTCTTGATCAAGCCACGAAACGCAGTAGGGTGTGTAGTGTGCGACAAGGCCTGGACAGCCGCCTTCTGTTCCCAGGACGCGAGATTGAGCTGCCGAGGGGCTTCGTCCATGATGTATGTCGCAATGACTCGATTGATCTCCTCCCTAAAAGGCTGGATGGTGACTGTCTGGTATTAGCACATTGGACTCTACCGGGATGCGGCACGTAATCTTGTCAGAAACTTACAAGGCAATCTAGCCCCCGCAGACTGAAAAGCGTCAGCAGCTTGCGAGTTGTACGACGTGGCGGTTGGCAAGCTATGTGATGCCGCGTCTATTGAGCCTTTATCGCTGCCCCCATTGGAGGATTGGGGAGGAGTGTTGAAAGGGTTGACGGCCTTTTCAGGCATCCCTGGGGCCTTCTTCTCAAAGTCTGTGCCACGAAATATTGAAGCAGCATCTGGAGATGAACGCATCTTCCTGGCTTGCTCCTTTCGAATCTTGGCAACGGCTTTGTCCTCCATGGCCTGTGTCCACTCTGGGGCAAGAGAGATGTCGGCAGTATTTGCTTCATGGAATCGCTTGACATAGTCCTTGTACCAGAGATAGAATTGAAGGTTTTCGGCACCGTGCTCAACGTAGATCAGATAGTTCATAAAGTCGCGAACAGTCATGGGCTAGCAACATTGACAGGTCAGGATCAAGTCCACTATGGACAAGGTGAATTTCACTCTGCTTGGAGGCTTACCGGGCATGTTCCACCGTTCATCATGTTATCAAAACCTAGCGAATCCGGTATACCGGCAGAGCACCCAGATCGACCGGACTTGACAGAGCCATCAGTCTTCTCGTCAGACAGCTCCCCTCGCTGCTCCACATATTTTGGGCGTGTGTAAGTAAGGGAGTAAAGACCCATATTGAATATCAAGGCTGGTTCTGGGAAATATGAGAGAGTCGGCGCTCAGCACGAACAATTCATGAATGATGAAGATAGAGGGAAATGAGCAACAGGCATGCACGGAACTTCCAGCCGCAAGAGATTGGGACTACGCGTCCTTATGTACCAAACCAAGAGACTGGTTGGTTGGACAGACGGTTGGAAGACAAGGCCGTTGTCTTGTTGTTCAGGCGTGGCCTAGAAGGGAAAAGCCAAGCCCGCGGGAGTCAGCCTCTGGCCAACGTAAGCCAGACCAACGGAAAAATATGTTGACGCCAGAATTTGCTAGGAGTAGCTAGCAAACGCTTTAGCTCTCAAAAGGGAGGCCATGCCGCTATTCCAGTTCCACAGTTCCAAATATAGTTGCACTGGCAGCTGCCAGGACCAGAACTGAAGCTAAGAACGGTGGCACATCTAGGCCAGTCAAGGGGTAAGTTGGTCGGAGACAGACTTGGGATGGTCAATCCATAACCAAATGGATATGCAGGGATTTACCAGCGTTTGGGTGTAATGTGCCCAGTTTATCTCAGGCACGAGATGTAGGCCGTGGGTATTGGGTCTCGTGCCTGGAGTCTGGGACCAAACGGGTCGAGAATCGAGATACCGAGCGAACTGGGACGGGTGATGCAGGTTTGGCAATCAAAATCCCCGTCGTAGCTGTATCTATCTCATCCATGGCCTTGCTCAGAACGGTGCCTTCGTCGTTCGCTCACGGGTACAATGCATTCTGTGAAATGATTAGTGGACGAGACACGTACTCAGTACTCGAGGATGGCATTCGCAACGGGCGAGTCAAGTAGCGCATTGGCTGCCGACATCTGTCCGATATATTAGTTATCTGTCAACGACGAATACGTAAAAGCAAGCAACGTCTGTGCGCGCTCGATGACTGAGTGGGCATAACAAAGGAGTTCGCCGGCTAAATCATTGGACCAGCCCGATGCTTTGCTTTTGCCAGGCTTACATGCACCCTTACGGATGGAGTCCAAAACGGGGCGAACAAAAGAAAGGGATGTGGTCCACGGCCCACTTGGACTCGGCTAGCAAACCGAGCAAAAGAGATCGATCGTCTTGACTCTCAGCCTTGTTGTGGAAGAGAATTGCCTTTCTTGTCATCAACGAACAACGCATGATGAAGGTCAAAGTGCGGCGTCATCAGTGTGACTCCCCGCTCAGACCAGAGAGAGCCGAGTCGCTCCTGCCCTTTTCTGTTTGCGTTTGAATGCATCAAGTCTCCCAGGACATCAATTGACGTTTCACAACTGACGCTTTATTAGCCCATGACTATCGCCGTATGCCTCAATCTCACCATTTCTGCTGCATAAAAATCCGCCAAGGAAGCAAAGACACGACAACAGCGACGACTGCAAAGTGAGAAGCCTCACCCACAAAACTCGCATCCCATTTGCGGAAGTAGCTTTCGATCTGGTTGAATTCTCCAGTCTCCCCAGTCTCCCGTGGGGAATTCCGGGTCACATCTTGGAAAAAGAAAAAAAAAACTCATCAGCCGCAACGCGAGGGAGGCCGGGCCGGGGGCTGTTCTTGTCCATGGCGGCGTCAAAACAAGAAGCAAAGAAACGGTCGGACAAACCCGTAGGACCTCAAGATTGCCTTGAACAGACTACACTGCTCCGCAAAGAACCGCCCTTGGAAAAGTTTCTGGCGGAGGAGGCCCGGGAATCGGGATACATCCTCGGGTCTTTTTGCTTGATTGACTCTCCCTCCGCAACTGTCATCCAGATCAGTCGTTCCAGATCCGACTAGAAGAGTCCAGAATTCGCCCAAGACTCTACCACCTAGATATGTAGACACGTTTCTCTTCTGATGATAATCAGTCGTCAGCTGGCGGACCGTTCCGATTGATCGACGTGACACCTCGCCAGCAAAGCACAGCATGAACCAGTTCGCGGCTCCCCAACTGGCACCGCGCGATACCGCAGGAATCTTAATTGTCCTATTCAACTCACTATCGGGGTTTCTCGCCCTCAATTCCTCAGCCAAATAAAGACAGGTCATCTGAGGATGGAGCGACGCCTTCCGGGCGGAACACCAAACCCCGGGAGAGGTCGATCGGCGACTGATATTTCAGCTCTCCCTTTTCGAGCATGCCAACAAAGTGGGAAACAGCAGCATCCAGATTCCAAAAGAGAATGTGACATTTATATAAGCCAATTTGCAGTGTACGTTTTCGTTCAAGTCTAGCAAAAAGGAGTATAGTTTGCCGAACATGTCGTTGGCAGCGGCGCCGGCCGCCCGAACTCACTCACTTCGCAAAGCGACCGGCCGTGAAGAGGCTTGCAGAGCCCATCATGGGCCAGGCGTCGAGCTGCGTGAACAAGGTGCTTCAAGTAAATTCAGTTCTTTTTCATATCTTACATCATGTCGAAGCGCCTGTTTACGAGTTAGGCGTGTCGAAGGGGTCTCGGGGGATTCCGAATGCGAACAAAATCCGTCGCGACGAAACTTGAACGAACCAAACCGGCGGCTTGGACCCATTCAGGAAAACGCCTGTGATCTGTAGTCGACTCTGTTCGGAGCCAAGATCACTGCTTGGCGGACGTTCCGCGGTTTCTGAAGGGCCAGATTCCTCGGCCTCAGAATGCTCTGTAGAGCCTCCCACGACTTTAGGGTCAGCGCAACTCGGACATTACCTCTCTTATGGACAAAGGTCCTTGGAATCAAATCTCGGTTGTCTCTAGATACACCACAGTACTTTGTGCAGCCTTCCGTCAGCCGTCGATTTTGCCCTTGTCGATCCTCCGGTTCTTGTGCGTGGCGACACTTACGCAGACCAGCTGGCGCCTTGGCACCTGAGCTTGACATCCTCGCCGCAGTTGACGATGGCGCAGGCCGTGATGCCTGGTACTTCTATCTTCGAGTGAACACCAGGTACTCCGTATGAATCGGGCCAATATGACAAACAGCACATGGAGTCTCGATAACGAATTGATTGGATCACAAGCGCGGCAAACTGAGAGGAGCGTCAGCTTGGCCGTCTTGTAATACATGACAAGATCCTGGGGAGCGGGGTTGACTGCGAGACGTACGCAGTCAGCATATCCCCATGACGCATTCACGCCTGCAGTCTTGAGGAAGCGCGCAAGAACGATGAGATGATGATGCTACCAGACTTTTTCTACCTCCATGGTTCCTTGTGCGCATGTAGTCATCTGCTGCTCGCATAGTCGTACGTGTACCGCTCTCCGGTACCTCGTATTAGTGTCTCAAAGTGACAAGTCGCGCCAGTGAGTGTCTGGCGTGGACAGACAACATCGCAGGTGACCGTCACATCATTGGGCCAACATGATTAACAAATATGAGATAATGCTACCTGGAAAGCTCAGTAAAGGTCCCAAACTATGATTTTCTTGACTCCTAGTCGCCAGACCCCACATCTGAATGTCGTGTTTGCTTTCAGTTCTTGTCCTCATCGTATCCATCTCGCCACATGATGAGCCTTGCTTATCTCGTTCACAAATGTACGATTCCAACAGAAACAATCTACTCGAAACACGCAACCCATGATATCAGATGGCTGGTTTTCCATTACCGCTCAGCAAGTCAGTGCATCGCAGAGTCCGTTGCGGGACCATCTCCGTTTTGGCTTTGCGTGTGCTTTGCCAGCTCCAACAGCGACGCTGCATGCTCTGATGCGGGGACTTCCGTCGTCTCTTCAACTGAAGCTTTCTCCGAAGGGCTGATCGGCGTCTTTAGCCTTCTGTCTCCTATAACCCCGAAATCCTGATAAGCCTCGGGCCTGCTTCGGGGAAGGGGTGTACTCTCGAAAAGTAGTGCACTCTCGGAGAGTGTACTCTGAGGTCTCATTCTTTCGCGTCTGTTGTTGACTCCCGAGAGCCAACATTCTTCCACCTTGTCATTGTGAGCTGCCATCGCTTCATCGGTAAATCTATCGGTGCCAGGCTTGTAAAGAGCTCGAACCTCCGGAGAGGGGTCTCGCCAACTTTTTGTCTGGATGAGTTTTTCATTTGGGTCCCATACCTTCATGCGCTCCAGAGGACCTACAATGTCCCGGAATTGGAGCTGCATCTCTTCGTCATAGCCAGTCGCCCCCGGTAGCACAGGTCGCAGCTGTTCCGTATGCCCGCCAGCGCCTTGGCTGGTTAGATAGGACGAAGCACTGTTCGAGTTTTCAGCAAATAAAGATCCAAGCGATTCAATGCAGACATCCTCAATGCCGGCTTCAACCAGAACTCGATTGGCAATTTGTAGCGTATCGTCATCCGCTGGGTTGTATGGGGGTGGCGAAGAGGGTCCTGCGGTTGCCGATGCATTGATTGTCGACTCAACAGCCAAGGGACGATATTGTCGCTGCCCTGGTGGCCCGGCAGTCAGAGGTAACAGTGCGCCGCTTGCAGATGCAGAAGAAGTTGCGACCAAATTTGGGAGCTCGCTGACCGCTCGGTTCCGGGGAGTGTTGGAAAAAGTTGGTGTCGATGTGCCATTTCTCCTACTAGTCCATGACTCCATCCTGGAAGCATCAAGCCGAGCCCGTCTAAAGGCCAAGAGATCTGTCTGTTCTTGAAGAGCCAGGTTGGAGGGGCCTCCCACCTCACTTGAACTATACGGGGGGTTGAATCCTGGCATTAGTGGTGGTGGGCTGGTCGACGTGGTACTTCCCGTGTACGATGAGCCCATCCCGAGTGGCCTTGACCTCCTTCCTCGCAGAAGCGCCCTCTGAGCATACTTCTGGCTTGGATTCTGGTAAGAAGCCAGATTGTGAAGTGACTTGACCGGCATATTTGAGAGCAAAGTTATCTTGGCTTCGCTCCCCTCGCTGTCATCGTCGCTCGCGTCGGCACAGCGATGCTCGCCCTCCTCCGTGACGGGCTTATCCTGGACAGCTTCTTCAGACAACGGGGCAGAAAGGTCCCTTGGGGTGTTCCCCGAACGTAGACGAGGCGTCTCCATCGGCATCCTGGCAAGAAGGTGATCGGGCTCACTGAAGGGGCTGACGGCCCGATGATTGTTCTGCTGCAAAGGCGTGTACAGCTGGAGGGCCGAGTTGGGACGACCAGCAGGGGTTTTCATGGACAGGCCTGCCAGGACTGACTTGGGGAAAAGGGCAAGATCGGAACTAATACCGCCAGCCGACCACTTGGACAAGCGTCCGCGACGAGTAGGCGGCTGAAGGGGCTGGGACGAACTTGGCTTGTATATAGTTCCGGCAGTAGTGTAAGTCGGCTGGGGGAATGACACAACAGGAGAATCGACCGGCGCAGAAAAACTAGACTCGGCATCGGAAAGAGGTGTAGCGTCCATAGTGCCAAGAGGAACGGTGCCGTATGTCGTATACACAAACTGAATCTACCACTCCTCGTACCTTCGTTTTGATAGTTGACGGAAGAGATCTGGCGGCAAGTCCAAGTTAGAAGAACTCGTAGTTTCGATTACAAATTATGCAGACGAGACGGCACTGCAATTTTTCCAAGGTTACTAGTTTCCGACTTTGCGCGAAGAAAGAGAGAGAGAGATAAAGAGAGAGGAAAGACGAAAAACGCAAGGGACTTGTTGATTTGTAGATGCAAATTTTTTCCCCTGGGCACCAACTTGTACTCTCGAGATCCAAATGAACGTCTGTCCTCAAAGACGGCGTGTGTAGTCAGCCGCAGTTAACAAAAATAAGAAAACTTTAAAGAGCAGAAGCCTTCAAGCACCAAGCCAAGGGGGAAGTTAAAAAGCAGCGGTCGAGTAAAGAGGACAGAGAGACAGATCAAGAAGAAGGTAGTGGCCCCTGGGCAAAGGCATCGTGGCTCACGCCTCAAGACGGTCAGAGACGCGGCTTCTGCCCGGCTCCTTCCTGCAAGACCAAGGCGCAAGGAGGGAAGGTGCGGTGCCGCGTGTGCAGGCCTCCCAAATGATGCCACCACTTGAGCACTTTGCCGCACCGGCGAAAGGGAGAAGCGCTACTTACGCAAGACCAAGAACTAGCTTTCTTACGCGCGGCGTCTAGACAAAGAAAAGAAGGAATAGAAATGTGCTTAGGTCGGCATGAGAACGCAGGTAGGTAGGTGGTGGTGATGTAGCCGATCCCGCGACATCGAGTCTTCGGGTCTTCGAGCTGAAGCTTCAGATCCTTCAGCCTTGGAGCGCATATAAATAAGTAATCCAAAATGACGATGTCGGCGAGACGAATCGAGGACATGTTGCGGAGAGAGGTTGAAGGCCCGTCTCGATGCAAAGCGGTACTTTGTTGTGACTCGTGAGTTTGCAGCAATTGCCAGCTGCGAGACACTTGAAGGCTGTGAACTTCACCTGTCGACAGCTGACGATAGCCTTGAGCCTTGAGCCGCCGGACGCTCAAAGCCGTCGATAAAAAGAAGCCACCGCGCAGAATGTGCGCAACTACATGGCACGTCAAATCTCACACTGAACAAAGGGTGGTTTACCAAAACACATGGCATGCTTTTGCCATTGATGCGGCGCGTCGGGATGAACCCTTTTCTTAGAGCCTCTACTTGAACACTTGGTTCGCCCGGGCCCAAACACCATTCTGTGGCTGACTAGACATGAAACGAGATAACCCATCTCTCTCATCGTGACTTCTCGTCCAAGACCAACGACACATGATGTCAGCAAAACTGATGACAGTGGCTTCGTGTTACAACAGCGATGCCACGTTGCGACAATATCAGCTAGTAATATGCAAAAGAGTAGTTCCGCGTCATGACAGTAGCCGCTACCCATACATTTCCCTATTTCTCATTAGAAGCCAGCTTGAGCTCGTGCCCAAAAGAAAATGAAGCAGAAAATAACTCTGACGTTGTCGTTTCAGTGTTACCGAACAGGGAATCGCGTTGCCAGCATATCTCCTTGTGAAAAGGCCAGATGAGGGTGAAAAAAAAAATAGCTGAAGAAAAAAAATTATCCCAAGGCCCAGCCAAACTGCAAAGGAACCGCAGCTGTCCTCTGTAGAAAGTTCAGCGGTTGTTTGTGTCCCTTTGTATGTCAGAGTCGACAATTAAAGGATCTTAATGAAGTGCGGAGCCAGAAGGAATGAATATTCAATCTCGCTATGCGAGAATTAATAAAACGGCTTGGCCTTTCTGGATTAAGCTGAAAATCGGGAAATCTTCTGCTCTGATCTGCTTTGCTCTGCTATGCTCGATTGTGAAATTTTCGCAAGTAGTGACGAATGGGTTTGAAAGGATCCAATATTTTGAGACTCGATAGGACATTATTTACAATAGTCGGTTTTGAAACCTAAATGGCGCCTCCGGGATAAGCACTTCCGGGAATCATCCCAGTGCCAGTTCGTTTCGGTCCTGGCCCACGTAAACTTGGTAACTGGAAGTCGGGATTGTTGCTCAAGAGCACATCCTGACGCTGCTGCTTCATCTGGGCCGCTCGACCGCTCTGGGGTCCCTGATTGGGCAAAGGTGGATGTGGTTCCCATCGAGGATTGACCCCTCGTTGGGAAATAGACGTGAAATTGGATCGTTCTGATCCAGCCGGGCTTCGTGCTCTGACGCCCGTAGCAGGAGCCTCCTCGTACAGTGGCGCCGGGTAGAGAGATGGGTGGCTTTGTACGGATCCAGAAGGCGGCGCAGGGTTATATCGAGGATTGGTGTCTTCATAGTAGTCCCTACGCGATCCTGGCATCCCACCTGGAGAAGCAGCTCTGGGCGAGTTATTTCCAGAGATCTGGTTCCACGCAGCCCGGGGCGGAACATATTGTTGCGGCCTGTCGACCATTAGCAAAGAGGACCAACTACAAGATTGATGTGGATGAAGTTGGAGCCACACATACTCGTCGGTGCTGTACTTGCTTGCCTCGGTCATCATCGTCTCGCGCCCTCCTCCGGGAATTGGACGACCTTGCTGCAAGCCAACCATGCCAACGACATCCACATCGCTATCACGAAGTTGGTTATGGTGGCCATAGAAATTTTCCGGAGGCTGGAGAGGAGTATTATTCATCTCCAGAGCTCGAAAACCACCCGGGACTTGTCCTGGCAAAGGCGGCGGGGACTCGGCCCGGGGAAGATCAATGGTATCCGTTGCTGAGCCGTGTTGGCTCCCGTTCCACCCACGATCTAATCAAGTTAGCGATGGGCGAGTCCGTCCGCATGGTCCGTGTTCGTTACCTGGCGGTTTCTGATCATATTGCCCCTGAGGCATATGAGCGTAGGCACCCATTGGAGGCGGCCCGCGTCCCCCTCTCGGCCCGTACGCTCCTCGGGAAGGCCCGTAACCACCTCGCCCACGGGCTCCCCCTCTGTCAGGCGAGGGACCATAGCCTCCTCTTCCTCCACCACGTCCTCGACCTGCTACACCATTGGTGTCGAAACCTCCGCGACCATAAGCACCACCACGTCCACCGCGGTAGCCCCCAACAGGTCCATGGATGGGGTTTCCATAGCGATCCCGTGGCGGCGATTGCCTTGAATTGGCCAGGCTACTGGCGTCCCCCATATTTGTCATGTCGCTGTAAACAGCCGTCGCTGACCTCTCCACGGGACTTCGCTGTGTCAGGGGGATTCTCTCGTCGCTAACTTGGTCGTCCTTTCGCTGATTCCGGCTTTCAAACGTCGCATATGCGGGGAGGCCATCTCTTCCGGAATTTCCTCCGCTCACAACAGGAACAGTGGGCTGGCTAGCAATGATGGGAGCCGGCTTCACCTGGCCTTCTCTGTTGTAGTAGTTCTCGCCACTCATCTCTGCATTCTCTGCAATGCGCTTCTTGCGAGCCTTCCTGCTAACAATAGTACGTCGCATAGCGAAAGATCCAAAGGTGCAAATGGCAAGAACGATGGCCGCGGCCAACACCATATAGGAGCCCCATGCTAGGTGAGGGATGAAGAGGACCACATCTATGACAAAAGCGGCAACACAAACCACAAAGGTGATGAGGATGAAAATGCAAAGAACAAGGAGATATCTCGAGGAATGGGATGTAGTATGTAGGTGAGCAGCGATAGCCAGACACAGCATGATGAGAGTTAGGAGTGCCGCCACCGGGTGAATGACAAGAATGGCGGACAGAGTATGGCGGACTGAGCTAGGCAGGTTGAATTTTTGAGTTTCATCGGTCAATGCTCCATCTACCAAGGGGGTTCGAAATTGTCAGCACATCGTTCGTCACGTCGGCATGTTATCGATGAAGCGTACCTCGCGGATATCCTATAGCAATACCGGTACAGGTATCGCCCTGGCAGTAGCCAAAGACGCCGTACTTGGTATCTTCGGACGACCCGAGCGGCACGAATTTGGTGACGGGAATTGAAATGACGGAAAAGATGAGAAGAACGAAGGCTACAAAGAGCATCACCGACAAGGGCGTTGCTGGCCGTATCATGACGACAGCGGCCGGCTACGCCGACCGACGAGCTTTGGCTGGAAGGTTGATATTGCGCAAGTCGAGGCACAAGTGTGTGTAGTCGTCGGGGAACGGTTGAGCAATTGAAATGAGCAGGTGTGTCGGTGGTTCATGGGTTGTGTCGCGCATACTCGGTAGAAGAAGACAAAAGCCGACTCTGCTGGTTTCGGCAGGAAAGGAACGGGACCTGACGAAAGCCTGCCCGTCGTTCAATGGCGTTTATGATGCAACGGATCATGAAGCCAAACTCAATCGTCCCCGATTCGGGTCTCCGCGGCGATCAACAGCGACGGCGTAAAAGCAAGATGGCCCGGCAGTCGAATGAGCGAATGAAGGAACCGAGACGGCGAACTAGAGTCACGCCAGCACGATTGAGGTCCAGCAACATCTGCTTTCCGCGCGAGGGGGATCGCGAACAGATGACGGTCGATTGAGCGCGGACAATCTGTCGCGGGAGGGCCCCGACCTTGTCAACGTGGTTCACCTCGAAGGCCGGAACCAAAGTGGCCAGTCAGCGCAACTGGTCGAGTTGACTCGTCAACCTCTCGCAGCCATGGAGACGTGGGAGACATGGGAGACATGGGAGACATGGGAGACATGGCAGCCGGGTTGTCGGGGCACTTGGAGACTCGAGACGCCAACGGCGGCGGTGCTTGCAGCGGCTTCAGGGCCAACCGGGCCAAGGTCCATGGACCATTGTCTCATCAAGAGCCAAGGATGGAATTGGTTAGTGGGGCCGAGGCGGCACGACGATGCTCATTGGGGGGCTGGGGCCTCGGAGACGTGGGGCTCGCTGATGCCCTGCTAGTGCAGGCTCCTTTGCAGGCCCCAAGCATGCACAAGCCCGCAGCCTGCACATGCAGCCCACAAACATGACTTGCTCCCAATCAGACCAGACCGCAACCACAGTCGTTAACCCCAACCCTAATCAGTGCCTTTTAAAATTATGTCTCCACCAATGGTCACGTCACGTCACGTCCAGTCGCTGAGCAATGGACGGGTCATCTACTTAATGTAGTTACGTACGGAACACCCTTGGCCAGAGAAACGAAGCGTCCCGTCGGTCCGTAGCCAGCGGATACAGGCGATGGGAGGTACTCCGTAGTTACCAGTGGGTGGGGGACAACGTTGAGCGTTGAATCTGGGCTCGACGACAACGTCCACGACTAGCCAAGGTGAGCCACTTCGGTTGCATTTATGTACTCCGCGCCAAGTTTTCAAAAAAAAAAAAAAAAAAAAAATCCAACCATCTGCGCATGATTGAAGTGGCAAATTTAGGTTACCATCACCCACGGGAGGTGCAACCGCGGTGTTGTGAAATTGCAACCGACGACGCGAATTGTTTGCTCGGCTTGGCTGGTCAGATCCGCCGTGGCACGAACACAACAGACCTGCATCATCACCACGATACGATAACCTTGCTGCAACCACCAACGACCTACGGAGTAGGCATGATCTCGATTTACCATCATCGTACTCCTTACAAGCCGGCGCAAGGACTAGAGCTCGTCGTCTCACGTTCGTCCAGCGCCGGCCCGTGTCTCCGCGCCTCTCCAGGTTCTAACTTCCGACCACGCATCCAGTCATCAACAAACATGGCGGCGGACGCCATTTATGAGCCTCGGCCTTAAACTCCACTAGCCTCGCCGGCCTAGTGAAATATCCCCAGAAGACGGGTGGATGATGCGCTCCGCTCCGTCGACAAGAATTAAGCACACACAAGGCCGCGACAGCTTGTTTTTTATACGTCATTTGGAGGCATTGGACAACCATTGCACTCTGGTACACAACATTGCGTGATCACCTGATACGCAGCTAGGCTCATGGATGAATACGTGCAGCGGGTGCAAATCGTCCGTCGTGCATCCACTGATTACTTGAATCGATTGTCTGTACACGTAAACGCTTGAGTACTCTCGACAGGGGGTGTTTCGCACTTGCGTTGTTGATACCTACCTGGGTACCTAGGTAGTCTTTACTCAAGGATCTCCTTCTGTATACAACACACTTGGCGCGGTACCGAGTCCCTGCTGCAAGGGAAGAAATCCAACATGTTTCTATTGAGTCCCTCACATGCGAAGGGCAGCCCGCAAATAATCTGTCGGCGCTCAACGCCCACGGCGGCAAGGTCCCGGCCCCCCGAGTCTGGATCATATAATTTCGATTCATCTTCGATTACCCGTGCGCCGCAACCGGTTGTCAGAATGGAGGTGCCGGCTTCCATAATAATGACAGGTCACCGAAGCAAGACACATGCCTCAGTCAGTTGGTTGATCGAGGATGACCGCGCTGGAAATTGGACGTACCTTCCGCATCCATCTGCGACAAATAAGCCACGCAATGGTATGAGACTATAACTTGTAAGTGAGAAGTGCTACTGGTGGGTCGGGTTTACTGCACTCGGTTACGGAGTACTAGTACTGGTAACGCTGCGAGCGGCTTGTCTTTATCCACTGGGCAATTCTACTCCGAGTCCTACTCCGGAGTACTCCGTACGATCCACGGATCACGGCTTTGGGGGGGGTGCCTCGCACGGAGTAGCAATATGATGCTCGCCGTCCTTGACTCCAGGTTACCATCCCCCAGGCGGGAGAAGCAGAAAACACGGAATTTGCACCACTCACAAATTACCGGTCCCCTTGCGATGATGCCTCGCTTATGCCCCTTCAACATGCGGCGCAGGGGGCCTGAGCGGACCGGATCCACATGGTTCCTGGCCGTCCCTGCTTCTGCACGTGTTTGGTGTTTGCTTCTGCCCGTACGATCTGGTGAGACGCAGACGCAGACCGTGTACGAACTACTACTCAGTACTTACATAAGCCACATTTCGAATGCACATGCAAAAGACGTCCATCTCAGCAATCGTGCCCCCCGCAATAAACCCCAACGTCTCAACAGCATCGGTCAGGACGTTTCCTGCATCGAATTTGATTTCCAGCGAGAGAACCCCGGAGCCAAACATGTTCGTATCCAACGGCCTCCGCGGCACCTTCATTTCGGCACCGTTCTACGGAGTACGGTGTACTCTGTTGAATTCTCGGTTAGATGCTGCCTCATGGCGAAACTCGAGCCTAGCAGACGAGTCAATCTTTGAACTCGGCCCCAGAACCATCACGGTGGCGTCCGGCAAGATCGTAGGGCTGTTTGAAGCAGGATTCAGATGCGGTCCCCGACGTGTGGATCTCGCTCGTCCTTGTGTGGAGCTTGATAGCGACCATTGCTACATGCGGGGTTGCAGAATATGGGAAATGAGCGTTTCTTCTTTTTTGCTTGTTCGGTTGCTGGAATCATGCGTGAATGTCTCTGCCTGGGTCAACATGATCGTCAGATGGTCTGCCGTGAAGCAGAATAAGCACAAGACTTCAGCAGCCCATCGCCTGCACGGACGAGTATTGGAGACTTTGCGGCAATTAACTAACTTACTTCCTACAGCCATGGAGTGTCCCATCTACCACGGTGGCCAGCAGGCTACTCACCACTGACCCAAGGGGACAAAGTAGGGGGCTGCCTGGTCTTGAGGTTTTCTTCCGCGCTACCCTATAGTAGAGTCGACATGTTACACTTTCGAGTCCTGCTGTTGTTACCGAATCGTGGACGGCTACAAGGTTTGTTTGAGGGTGCCCGACCATCACGTGCAGGGGTACGCAATGGAACAAGTGCGCGTCTCGGTGCCTGACAAGAGGTTAGCGGTGGTGGCATCGGCGGGCTTCTTCGTTTGCGTCATTACTTCCTGCGGAGCACGAGTTGGAGTACAATCTCGAAGACAGGTGCTCCGTCATAGATCAAGCCTTCAACACCAAGCCAAGCAAAACCACACACTACGTAACCATGAAAGGCCCGCATGAACGTCACCGATCGAGTCATACCTCGGACGTAGGAGCAGTTGACTCGACCGAAGGCCGGGCCGGAACCCCAATCGGAACTGAACGTTGAGGGTTCTCGGGGATTTTGTTCGGCCCGCAAAAAAAAGCAAGAGAAGAAAAAAAAAGGTGAAGGTCCCCTCGCTGTCTCCCACGTCCGGCCGAGCCGTCACCGCCAAGCTCCTCCCCAGACCTCGTCGAGTCCTCACAACCGCCGTCCAAGCCATCTTCAATGCTCGCGTGCACCTAGGACCGCAAAGCAGGCGACATTCATCAGCCGGGCCGGCAGCAACTACCCGGCATGTTCCGCCGCCTCAGCACGCCCATGCTCGCGAGGGCCATTTGTCGTGTGCCTCGCCGCGGCCTCGTCCCCGTCCCCAATGAGGTCGTCGCCGCCTCCGGCCGAAGCATCCAGAGCGCAAGCGGCTTCTCGCCCCTCCGGCCACCGTCGCCAGAAGAGCTGGGCGCGCCGAGGGCAGCGAAGCAGTACAGGAGGGGGAGGAGATGGACGCGCTGGCTCGTCGTCGGCCTCGTCACGGGCGGCACGGTATACGTGGCAGACCGCCAGGTTTACGCGTCGGGATTTGCCAGGACGCTGCGGACGTTTACGACGACGCTCCTCGTCGCGCTGGACTACAAGATCAACTTCAGACCGGAGCCGCTGACGGCTGGTTCTGTGCCGGAGCTGCACGCTCGGAATGCGGAGCGGCTGTTTGAGCTGCTCCGTGCGAACGGCGGACTGTATCTCAAGATTGGACAGGCCATTGCCATGCAGAGCGCCGTGCTGCCGCCCGAGTTCCAGAAGATGTTTGGCCGGATGTTCGACGACGCGCCCCAGGATGACTGGAAGGACGTGGAGGCGGTCATCCGGAGGGACTTTGGGAAGAGCGTCGAGGACGTGTTCGGCGTCAGCTTCACGGGCAAGGAGGGCATGGGGGTCATGGAGCGCAAGGCGAGGGCGAGCGCCAGCGTTGCGCAGGTCCACTGGGCGAGACTGCCGGATGGCCGAGAGGTGGCCGTCAAGATCCAGAAGAGGGAGATTGCCAAGCAGATTGCCTGGGATCTGTGGGCTTTCAGGTACGTCGTCCGGCCGCGAATCGCACATCACGCCAGCCACGGTGCTTTTCTTAAAACCTGACGGATGCACAACAGGTCCATCACGTGGATTTACTCCAAGTGGTTCGACCTCCCGCTCTACACCCTCGTTCCCTTCATCACGGAGCGTCTTGAGCTGGAGACGGATTTCCTCAACGAGGCCGAGAACTCGGAGAGGATGAGGAACCTGGTCAACTCGGAAGGGAGCCTCAGGGGCCGCGTCTACGTGCCCGTCGTCTACTCGGACCTCACGACCAGGCGCGTCCTGACGACGGAGTGGATCGAGGGCGTGCGGCTCTGGGACAAGAAGGCCCTCACGTCCCGCTGGCTGGGCGGCCACGGGAAAGGCTCGCCGGGGGCCAAGACACCGCTGCCGCCCGTGGACATGGCCGCCGCCCGCCGCGAGCTCCGAGCGAACCCGCACGACGAAAGGATCAAACCCGAGCGCCAGGAGTGGAAGGGCGTCCGCGGCCGCGGCGGCCTCGGCCTGTCCACCAAGGAGGTCATGACCACCATGGTCGACCTGTTCTCGGCGCAAATCTTCAAATGGGGCGTCGTCCACTGCGACCCTCACCCGGGCAACATCTTCATCCGGCGCCTCCCCAGCGGGCGCGCGGAGCTGGTCCTCATCGACCACGGCCTCTACGTGTACATGTCGCCCGCGTTCCGACACCAGTACAGCGCCTTCTGGAAGGCCCTCATGACGTTTGACAACAAGACCATCTCGAGGGTCACGTCGGAGTGGGGCATCAAGGGCGCCGACTTCTTCGCCAGCGCCACGCTCATGCGCCCCTACGAGGGCGGCGACAATTCGCTCCACGACCACCTCAAGAAGGAGCTGGACTCCAAGACGCCCGCGGAGCGGCAGTACGCCGTGCAGCAGCTCATGAAGCAGAGTCTCCGGGACATGCTTGCCGACGAGGAGAAGTGGCCCAAGGAACTCATCTTCATCGGCAGGAACATGCGCATCGTGCAGGGGAACAACCAGTATCTCGGGTCGCCCGTCAACAGGGTCAAGATGATGGGCGAGTGGGCCAGCAGGAGCCTCTTCCAGGACAAGAATCTGCCCGCGAGGCAGAGGCTGGCCAACGCATGGCGGCACCTGCTCTTCAAGACGGTCATGTTGGGCACCGACGTCGCGTTTTACTTTTTCAAGCTGAGGCAGTGGCTGGGACTCGGGGGCGGCATGGAGGACGAGATGGAGAGCAGGATGAGAGGCATGGCGCAAGACTACGGCATAGAGTTGCAGCACGGCGTGTTTGAGGGCTGAGCGTATGCACTCGGGGGCTTTGCATCCGTCGATAGACAGACGTGGAGGAGGATAGACGAAACACGGCTCTAATAAATGCTGGTGCCGGACTCGCGGGAGCGTCCAGCCGTGCACATGCACACGCACATGCACATGCACATGACGAGGCGGCCGGATATACGGAGCACGTTGGACGACATGCCAAGCAAGCATGCATGCAGCTTAAAATAGGATCCGCGTCGTGAAAGGCTTGCTGGGAGCCCAACCCGTGCGATGCGACGCGCGCCGAGTGGCGGACGTGTCAGACGTGCAGCACGAAGCTGGCCGGACGCGGGAAGTTGCATGACGCGGATCGACACGGGGCACCGGCCAAGCTTGTTCTTCTTGTGCTTGTTCTTGTTCTTCTCGTCCATGGCGGGCACATGCCCAGCTACTCTTGTACGTAAACGACGGGACGGATGTACGGCGTACGTGAGACCGCGCACGAAATGCGCAGTAGACGATCCGCACTCCGTACTGTCGCCGGCGGCACGCTGGCTCTGATTGGATCGGGATCAGTTATCTATCCATCCATCCATCCAGCCAGGCGGGCAGGCGGGCAGGCGGGCGGAGAGGGTGGCCGAGGGACTTGCTTGGGACGCGTCGCTCACCGGGTTGCAGTGGTTGCTCCTGTAATTTCGGTTCATGCAAAGTGCGTCCCTGCTGATTTTCCTGGGTCTATGAGCTTTTTTTTTCATATTTTATATATATTTTTTTATATTTTTTTTGGCTCTACCCGTCAGTTTATTTTCCCCTGTGCCCTACCGACTGCTGAGCCTTGGGCATCAGCGAAATTGTCGCAGCGCGTGGCCATGGCAAGGCCGGGGGGTGGACGGAGCGTGGCGTCATGGACTGGGAACAAAAAGAAGTGGGGACTGAGATGGCCGACGCCGAAGAGGTATAAAGTACAGACAGAGTGCTGAGTGCACAAAAAAAAAAAAAAAAGTCGAGGGATACAAACGGACCGACCCTCGTCACACGTTTACCTCCACCCAGACGGCACGAAGCCGCAATGTGGTTGGACAATGCGCCGTATTGTGTTGTCCCTGCACTCCGTTCCACGAGGCCATACGCTACCCTGTGCGGAAAGATGAAACGAGTCGCCGGCCAGAAGACGTGGGCACGGGAAATCGGAAGTCGGAAGTCGAGCAACTACTCCGTAGGTGGTCGGGCGCATAAGTACTCCGTTATTTCTGGCCACACATCTGCGACAGGCCGTGTTCCCATGCTGTACTTGTGCTCCTTCGTATAACTAATCTGCGGTGGCGGTGCATGAGTCGATTGTGTCCTGGGTAGACCATGCTTCGTACAGTACAAGTACAAGTCCGTGTTGCCAACTCATCAAGCCGCGACCCAGGCGGTCAAACAAAGTTCTCATGACACGTGCGTCGTGAGTAGCCTTTTTTTTCCATGACCATAATTGAGGCGCCGAGTCGTGCAAAAGTTCCGTGCCACGAGACGGACATCATTGACACGTCCATCCGCTTCGTGGCTGTTTGCTCCGATGAGGGTGAGATGTGAATGATTGGCGCTCCAAGGTCGTCCATCCGTCGCGTACGGAGTAGGTATATAAACATGTCGGCAGCGCTCGCCCGCCTGGTTCCCGCGGCTCTGTGAGCTCTGTTCGTGATTGTCGTGTGCGCAAAGTAGCGACATACAACGACGCAGGAACGCGTGATTGGTCATGGCACGTATCGACTGTTGACACGATATCGCCCACGTGTACGGAGTGGTAGCAGATACACGCAAAAAACCGCGCTTTACTTGAACGAGTAGGCGTTCAGGAACATGGAGACGGCCGGTCACCAAACTCTGCTCTGTATCAAATTGTGTCTAACCCTAGAATTAGTGCACGTACATATCCTGGGCATAGGGACCGGCCCTTGGGAGGCCGCGTAGATGCCTGTTAAAGGCTTAGATGCCAAGAGGAAATGGAGAGTCTGCCAATTTCGTTTGGGCCAAATGAGCACCAAAGGAAAGCTGCCAATTGTGTTCCAACTACGGAGTAGCAGCCTGCTAAATTTCTGCCAATCTCCAACCCTAACCCCGATGCACAGAGTTGAAAAAAAAAAGAAGAGCGCTGACAAGGATCAAACGAGGTGCAACTTCTCACAGACGAGTTGTACCTCAAACAATCCATCTCATTTTCTGCAGGGGCTGCTGTCCGCGGGACAAAGGCGGGTGGGTCATCCTTTCGTCGTGCAACGTCTGAGAGGTTCTGAAAGGAGACGGGCCCCAAGACCTGACACGGCTCAGACCTCACACGAGTCAAACGACAAGCATCGTCGGGGGCCGAAAGCGACTTGAAACTTGACATGTCCACGATTACTATTGTCAATGGAACATGGTCGATTGCTCGTCCGAGTCTAAAGTCTAACATCTGGACGAGGAGGAACCTTACGCAAGTGACTCCCCACATGCAGATCTTGGAACTGTCTCGAGTTCACTCCTACTCGCTAGCGTCTGTGTGTTCTCTCTTGGCCATTGGCGATCGTGGTCCGATCGTGGTCTACCGAGTTCCGTACGAGTGCAATGCCGTCAACAACTACGTACACTGAATCCTGTCCATGTGGTGCGTTGCAAGCCAGTGGCGCACAATAATCTTGCTCGTGAAAGGGGCGCCTCCTCCACGCACGCTGGGACTCTCCCCGCTGCAAGCGGCTGTGGCTCTTTGGTACCTGGTCTGACGTCCAAACATATTTATTGCTCTTGGCTGTCTATCGTAGGGCACCAGCTTGGCGAAGAGTGGCCGCACAACACATGTTTGAGCTCGGCTGGATGGCGCGGAGTTCAGCCAGAATTGGTTCTTGGAGAGAAAAACTCGTGTGCGGGGGAGCACGAAGGCCCGAGCAGAGTGGTTGAGGGATACTCACGAGGCCGAGTCGAAGAGCCATGCGCAAGACGAGAGTCAAGTTGCGAGTTTGGAGTGAGACCATCATGCATGTCTTGGGTAATCCGTGCTCAGAACACAGAGGGGACGGACAATCGGATTGTCATCCATGTTGTCAGTGATTACTGTGCATCGTGCATCGATGGATGCGTCGCTGCCCTCTTGCAGGCGAGGAAGGAAGGAGCGACTGTATGCAAAGCTGAGTACGTACAATCTGACTCCTCGAGTTGCCGCGACAGAGGAAGGCGCGAGTCCACGGGTAGAGATGAAGAATTACGAGCATCACAGAACCATTTCCCTCATCACCGCTTGCTACTCGGGGCCTCCGATGTGAACTTGCACTGCCTCCAAATTCGAAATGGCCGGCTACGGGCCTGCGAGCTGCCGGCTTGGGGCCTGCTTTTCTTTTCTTTTCAGGCGATCGCCCACACGTGTCGTCCAATCTACGGAGTACTAACCAGGAGCCCTTGGCGACCCCCTGCACTCACGACTGCGAGACGAGATGCATGTTTAGCATGCTCACCACGTTACCATCTTCGCAGCCTGCCGATTCCACAACCGCCAACTACGTAGCTGCTTCTAGCGTCGAACGCGCGCCCCAGTTGCCCCTAACGTCTCCGCCGCTACCGAAACCTTGGCTCCGCCGTATGGCCACTTCGAACTCTGGGGGGCCGTTGGCCGTGGAGGAAACGGCTGGATTTCTGGCTGGACCTCGTCCCCTATTCCATCGCCCCCATTCGACGTCTACTTGGCTGGAAGAGACGTTGGCTGCCTAATAATTGGCCAAATGGATGGGCCCTGCGTGCTGACACGGGGACAGCATTTGAACTGGCCCAGACTTGGCTTGGTTGGGATGCTTGGGATGGGACCGTGGAGGGCAGGCATATCGATCATCATGCTCTCTCATCTGGCTTGGCTTGGACTTTGGACCCGGGCCCCGGGAGCAGGCATGATTGGTGCAGGATGGATGGCCCAGCTGGCTTGTGTGTGCGTCCAAGGCTTCTTTCTTCTCGACTTCTGGACACATCAAGCTGAAGCTTGCTGGGTGGCCCCCGTGCTTTTGCAGTCCCCTGAAATACTCATTTTCACGGGTCACATTTTTAACCTTTCTCGTCACTCATTCGCACAATCTCCCGTGGGCCGATCCTCCCACTAACCAGTTCGTCGACCTGCCGTGTTGTTGTCCGCGTTCGACACTTCCGGCAGTTGTCATCAGCCCGCCGCCGTCCGCTCAAGCCAGTCGAGAAATAGCCAGGGCCGTTTGTACGTCTGGAGAAGCGATCCCCTAATCTCCACAAGGCTCAAGGCTCCAAGCGCCTCTGCCCAGGTGCTCGCGACTCATTGAACCCCCCCCCCCGAGGCCAGTCTTCGGCTCGTGTCCAACTCTCTCATTGAAGTTGCCCTCAATCTCTTGCATGGGCGGCGCACCTACGCATTCCTGTTCAACACCACCAAATCCCCTCTCCGTGAACCAGCCGCCTTCGGTCATCAGCCATCTCAGCCATTCATCACCAACCGCCGGCTATTGTAGGTTGTGTATGCATGCCCCTTGGCTTGTGAGAACCTGAGCGGCACACCCCTTCCTCCTAACGACGCACATCAAACCAATTTGGCCCCTGGCTGGTTGTGGTTGCGTTCTATTCCTCCCCGCCTCCTGTACCCTCTGACCTACGTGGACCGCGCGTGGTCCCGTGGCCGGGCTTGTCATTGATGAAAGCCATCACACTCATTTCGACGCCTCCTGCCCATGCCTTCCCAGTTTCCTCCTGTAATGAACGAATCGCGACAACGTCGTTCGAGTTTCGGAATGTTGCTTCGACGGACCAAAAGTGGTGACTTTGGCAAAGGCAGCAAGAAGGCTCAGGCCCTCAGAGAGGCCGAGCTGGAGCGCCAGCGTCAAGCGGCATCACGAGTTCCTCCAAAGCTGCCCGAATTCGCCAACAACTCCGAGCAATTGTCAAAGGCCATCCCCCGAGACTTGCAACCCGCCGAGTACACGTACAGTCTCGCCACTTCGGGCCCCGGTGGTTATTACGGGCGCGCCTCCAACGAATCTCGCCATTACATACCCAGCGCTGCTCCGCCAGTGCCACCGATTCCAAGCAGCGCCTTCGACCCTTATGCTCGAACTGAGAGCATGACTCACCGTGGACGGTACAGCTATGCCAGCAGCGCCATCAGCTCCATCAACAGCCCTAGGAGGGTTCGTAGAAGAAAGGACCCGACTCCGTTTAAGTGAGTTGCCCCTCCATTCGTGACCAAGTGTCCAGGTCACTCACCCGCCATTCCTTTTGGCAACTTTGGCACTAGCCCACATCGTTGTCTCAATCTGCTTCATTGTCTCTAACTATGGGGAATGCAGTATTCTAGTCATTGGGACTGCAGGTGCCGGCAAGACCTCATTTCTCGAATTTCTCAAGACGGCACTTGCTCTTCCACCTAGAAAGCGGCCTAGGAAGGTTGACGACGATGACTTCAAAATCCCAGCTCCGGCTTCGGGAAATTTTATTCCTCACTTCATGGAAACCGAGATTGACAACGAGCGAATTGGTTTGACTTTGTGGGACTCGGAAGGTATTGAGAAGAACTTGGTGGATTTGCAATTGAGAGAGCTGAGCGCTTTTCTTGAGAGCAAGTTTGAGGAGACGTTTGCAGAAGAGATGAAGGTTGTGCGATCTCCCGGCGTTCAGGATACCCACATTCACGCAGTCTTCTTGGTTTTGGATCCGTCCCGTCTCGATCGTAATATTGCGGCCTCCCGAAACATGGCAACTCGTTACCAGGGCAATGATCCACGCACTCGGGCGTCGGGCGCCCTTGACGATGACCTCGATCTCCAAATCCTTCGCAGTCTTCACCGCAAGACCACTGTCATTCCGGTTATTGCGAAAGCCGACACTATTACGACCAAGCATATGAATGTGCTAAAGAAGTCTGTCTGGGACAGTATCAGGAAGGCTGACCTGGATCCGCTCGAGGCTCTCGGATTGGACGAGGACAGCGACAACAATTCCGACAAAATTGACGAGGAGGAGGAGGAAGCCGCTGTTGTAGATGACGGCGAGGCAATTTCGTCTTTGGCGAGTTCGCCGAACTCCAAACGATTATCAACACAGTCCATCCGTCGCCACAAAGCCCAGGAGGAGACAAAGGAAGACGAGATCCCATTCCTGCCCCTCTCCATCATCAGTCCGGACTTGTACGAACCAGCTGTGATCGGCCGCCAGTTTCCTTGGGGATTTGCAGATCCTTACAATGAGCAGCACTGCGACTTCACCCGTTTGAAGGAGACGGTTTTCTCAGAGTGGCGAGGTGAGTTGCGTGAGGCCAGTCGAGAGCAATGGTATGAAGGATGGAGAACGAACCGCCTGAAGCTGCGAGACCTGCCCTATCGTCATCGATAGAAGGTGCAATTCGCTTGTTGTCACGAAAATCCGATACCACGAAGCGGCGCTCTAGAGGAAGAGTAACATGCAAAATCTACGGGGCGCCGCTTCATTGATTGGCTACGTCAGTTACCATTATGGATGTTGTTATCACACCCTACCTGCGACTTGGCGAGCTTCGCCATTTGCCGGTGCCGATGCCACGTCTGAGCAATGGATTGGATTTTGATCTCCCGGCACTGCCCGCTGGAGCTAGTCTCCCGAACTATTTCTTTGTCTACACAGCCTCGACATACCTCTGCCTTTTCCTATAACCATTTCTATTCCCGTCTGACTAGATATTCCGGCGAGACGGCGCCTTTTTTACCGACCGTCACCAATCAGCGTGTATCACACAGTTGCCACAGACTCATGACAGCCTGACTGTCTGTATTTCTGTGAGTAGTATCGGACCGTGAGAAAGTCTGAATATGCCGGCCCCTGTGCAAGAGGCAGGTTTCCTGTCTCTCATGTGGCAACATGTTTTTCACAAGACTGGTCCGGGAAACAACCGTCATGTCTATCCTAACCAACACGTCAACGTTGTAACTTTTTTTTTTTTTTTTACCTTCAATTCTTCTCACCGTCGACATACCTGCACGGGTACCATTATCGACCATTTGTGTCAGTATTTTCATTACTTCTTTTTCATCTTTTCGTCAGTATTTTGCTTTCTGTCTTGGACAAAAAATTGATGAAGGGTTTCGCGAGGATTTCAGACCTGGAGGAACGAATAGAAAGTGTCATGGGGGTGGACGGAGGCCGGGTCTTTGACCTCGACGCCAGGAGTTTGGCGACTTTCCAACAGGATGAATGGATTTCCTGAATGGGAGCAAGAAGTACTCCCAGGTCCGTTCCTTGAAACTCGAGAGCAGGAAATAAGGGAGGGGGGAATGTAGGTGTGCGAAAAGACCAGGCCGGGGGGGCGGGGGGAGGAATCGAGCGGTATTGACGAGGCTTGCCTCAGTAGTTTTGATGAATTTGACAGATTTTGCACATGATGGCGATGAGATGGCAGATTGGCCCGTGAGAGACTGGAAGAACTGGCCGTTGAACAAGGGCAGTCCGGTCATGATGTGTCATGGTGAAAACAGCATCGGCCGGCGGGCCGCTTTCGCATCGTATCCTACGGCGAACAATAGGTGCGAGTGCGGCGTGTTGTGCCGGTGGGTTACTGAAAGATTTTCATTTCCTTTCGCCGCTTGATTGGCGATTCGTGCCGCGACTCGTCCAGCGTCGGAGTCCCCACGCATCGTCTTGGTGACGCGAACGAAGGCCCGGGCCGTATCGCACTTGAACAACTACGACCTGGAAAAGGTCACCTAGAGAGGGCGCGAGAGTCGGCCGTCATCAAACATGCAAAAAAGTCAATTACAAGAAACTGCCGCGTGGAGCGCGACGCGAGCAAGGCCGAGAAATACAGGCGACATGACATTGGGGTACAGACTTGGCAGAAACTCTCTTCCAACAGGTGCTTGCCGTAAAAGTAAAACGAGAAACAAGACAGAAAACAAGGGAGAGACGAAGAGGACCAACAGCAGCAGCAGCAACGGCAACGACGGATAAGCCCCGGACGGGATGAGCATGCACGACTGATGGACTGGCTTGGCGCAGGCGGGTCGGAACATGTCCAACATGTTAGATATCCGTGTTGATAGCCTTGCCGTCTTGCTTGTCGCTTTCCCTCCTGTAGGGGTTCTTGCCCAGACTCAGCAGCCTGGCTATCTCTTTCCTGCTGAGGGTGACGAGGTCGAAGCCGGAGGGCAGGACGGCGTCCATGATCAAGAAGTCGACCTTCATGTTGCGCGCCTTGTCGCGGTAGGCCTGCTGGTTGCGGGGGTGCTCGAATTCGTGGTTGTGCTCTCTCTCGATGGCGGCCCAGGCGGCGTGCCTCTCCTGGACGAGCCTGAGGAGCACGTTGCAGTCCCTGTCGCTCCATACGTAGCGCTGCTTGGGGGGCGACGCGATGGTGTGCGTCGTCGTTCCCGGCGTTGCGGCGGCGCCGGTGGTGGTGGATGACGACGACGGGGCCGAGGAGGACAGGTGCTGCGACGAGTTGAGGGCGCGGGCGCGGGCGCGGGCAATGGCCTCGGTCTTGAGCTGCTTGATGGTCTCGTAGTCTGGCTGTTCGGAGGAGGGTGGCAGCGGCGAGGGCGAGGTTGGCCGGGGGGGCGGCGGCATGGACCGCGAGGGCGGGTCGGCGGGAAGACGTTGGCGTTTGGCGGCGTGGGCGGCGGCGGCGGCGGAGGACCGGGTTTTGATGCGGGAGATGCGAGATTCGGGGACTTGGCGCGTGTCCTCTTCGAAGTCGTCCTCGTCGTCTTCGTCATCGCTGCGGTCTCGCTTGTGCGCCGCATCTGGGCCGCGGATCTCGTCGTTGCGTAGCAGGTCCCTCGTGGCATCCTGTGGATAGTCGTCCGGCGTGGACGACGCTTCCTTGCTGCGTCGCCGGTGATGGGAGGGAGGAATCCCCTGGATGCGATCTGGTCGGGATTGGAGGTCTCGGAGAGACCTTGCTCCCTGGAATAAAGACGCTCTTTTGGGCAGTCATGGTCAGAAAATGAACCCTCTGGGGTGAAGATGTAGGACAGGAAGAAGAAAGGATGGGATGGGATGGGATGGGATGGGATGGGATCCTAAGCGTACCCTCGTTCCTCTTCTGTAGGGCGCATAATTGGCTGCGATTCTGTAATAGAGTCAGGAATAGTCTCTTCGGCATCGTGCCAAGATTCCCTGCCCGTGTCGGGTTGCCCGTTGAGCTTTGCTCCTTCACTCAGTTCGGCATCCTTCAAGTCGATATACCATCGGACGAGACACTGTGACAGCTTGTTCAGTGTCTGACCCAGGGGGAACTCTGCGCGCATCCGTCCCAGACCGTGGTCTTTCCTATTCTGGTGAGCGAGTTTCAATAGATACCTTGCTCGCTTTGAGATCAGCTCGTCCTCGTCATCGCTAATCTGTTCATATCTTCTCGTCAAGCTCTTGAAAGGTCCATGTTCAAAGAGAAGAGCAAAATCCTTGCTGTCCGTGTCTTTGCAAAACACAGACGCAACTGTCTGCTCCACATCAGGATGCGCCCCCTGAGCTGCCAACGCCTCAATCAGATGGCACGTACGGAGGTCCAACGCTGTCCTCCAGTCATCTTCAGTACCATCTTGGGAGGTGAAGAGATGAATAAACGCAGAGTCAAGGACCGCCAGAGCGTGTGAAGCGTCCTCGATGGTGCCGTCCTCGATTTGCCGGATGCCATCGAGGGCAGTGACAATGTTGGCGCGTAAGAGGGCGTTGAGAACTCCAGCATCGCTCCCCGTACGTTGGCTGACTTCTCCTGCCCGGCCAATGTCGATGAAGGGAGAGTGGTCGCCGGATTCCAGGTAATTTTTCAGATTTTTCAGGAGAGCGTGAAATGTAATGCGCTTCGACTCAAGAAGCGCGGCAAACACCCTGTCCTCATAGTCGCCGTTGACAAGACGACGATGAAGGTCATCCGTGGCTCTTGAGAGGTCTGGTAGGAGAGATACCATGATTTGATACCGCTCCTCATCGTCTGCGTTGGGCGAATCGTCCTGAGACGGCGTCTCTTTCTGTCGAGTCTGGAAATCTCGCGCTTCTTCTTCTTCTTCTTCTTCTTCTTCTTCTTCTTCTTCTTCCTCCTCATCCTCATCCTCGGCCATCTCGCTGCGCGACTTGACCCTCGAACTTAGGCTGGCAATGCTGGCTGCATCGTTTCGTTGATGGGCGCCGCGGCGAGGAATAGGATCCCTGGAGAGAGAACCATATCCTTGCAATGCGACGATGTCCTTGTCAGTAGTGGCAGATTGTCGCGTGGTTCGCGGGCTCGTCTGCTGTTCAGGAGACGCCACAGTCTCAGAAGCAGGATTGTTTCGTCTCCGCCCCCTTGTGCGCGTTGCCATGATTCCGATCGCTTTACCGAACTACCCTTCCGGGAGGGGAAGCGAGATTATACTATAACGTGAGGCGACGGTGAGAACTGACAGCGTCAAGGAGCCTGGGAAGAAAAAAACTGCATCGAGTTCTCGTGCCACTGAGCCGAGGTCAGTGAAGCGAATCTCCCCGTTGCCGCCGACCAAGAGGCGCCTCGGATGAGCTGAAGTAGTTTTCGTACAGCGCGACTGTATGCCTCGCCCAACTCCTGATGATTTTCACGGACTCGACTGCGCGCGAGACAGTTGAGGAGGAGAACCCTAACCCGAGGTCTCGTGAACCTAACCCCTACCCTAAGTTTGCAGGTTTTTTATTTTCGGCTTGGGAGAATCGTGGGCTCCGACCCCATTGTCTGTGCTATGATTGGCTCCATGTGGGCTCCGGTCTTGGTATGCGGTCCCACCTGCAGCCCAGCAGCAGCCCATGATTGGCTCGTGAGACGAAGAGGAGAGATTGCGTGTTGTTTGGTATTGAGCCGATCGATGACTAAGTTGCGCGCGCTCTCATAGAGTCATCACACACGATACACACAAACACGCACAAAAGAGGAGGGCGCCAAGGTTCAAGACAAGACTTGTCTCGAGGCCTCTCGTGTGCCCTGACACCCGGAGTACGGAGTATGTAGTCGTAGTCGTAGTCGTAGTACTAGTCGTAGTAATAGTCGCAGCAGCCGCATTGCCATCATTGATCAAGACCGCCCTCAAGACGGAGAGCCACATCGCCGTCGGCATCCACGCAACCACTTTCAGTCCGGCTGGAGGGACGATCAGGTAAGTTTAGCCAGCATCTAGCGCCTGGCACGTGCAAAGTGCAAAGCGCACAAATTGAAACGAGGCTGTCAAGCAGGCATGGATATTTTCCGCACAACACAGCGACGACAACAACCACTGCAGTCGTCGGCCGCATTGCGCCAGTCCAGACTCCGTTGCGTGACTGAAAGACTGCTATTGGGCAACATGTGACAGTATTTATCATGGACCTCTGCCCACCTTCCCACGCGGTATTCTGACTGGGACGGCATATGCCACGCGCGTCACACCACTTTCCGTCCCTCTTTCCCCTCCAACTTTCGACACCGCATCTGTCTTGCATCATTCGGGATGTCTAGGAACCGGGCCGTGTCATTACCGAAGGCCCCATCTTCTCACCTTGCTAGCATCGGCCGAGGGCTCGAGCACGAGCAATTGTCCGTGCCTGTGAATGTCCACCTCCTCCCCGTCCCATACGAGATAAATAGACAGCCCTTGGAGGACTTTGTATGCTCGGCTGTCAACGCCAGGATTTGCTTTGTCAGGCCGTCAAGTCGACTTCTTGTGGGTGGATGCAGATGGCCTGTCTCGACCAAAGATGCCCAGAAAATAGGCAGAGCGCATCGAAAACAACCAGACCTGTGGGGATAAGAGAGTCCCTTTTTAGCATGAGCCTTCATGGGAGAAGAATGAAGCCAGGGGAATTTTGATATCTTCGGTTTCACATGTGCACAGTACATCCATGTGCAAGATGAAGGACATCATCCCAGGTGTGCTTAAAAAGGGATATACTCACGGTGAATGCGATGTTGCCCCAAGCCATGGCGTTCCATCCCGAGGGAGTCATCATCCGTTCTTTTCCTAGGCCATAGCAACTGAAAGCCACATGCCCAATGTCTCCCAGCCAAAGCGCCCACAGGTAACCCCGTACAACCCGGACCTCAGACGTTGAATTGAGGACGACGAGGCCCACCAGGGCCATGAGCAGGTACAGATTGCCGAGCTGCCATGCCAGGACGATGCTGTTCTCGGTGACAGCGGCCACAGGAACCAGCTTCTGAGGGATCTGTTGGGGTTGCTGACGGCACCGAGGAAGCCAGCCACGCTACCTCCCGGTCAATTAGCTATCTTGGCTTGTCTATCGGGTGCTGTGCATTGCGCATTGTGCCTTGATTACTCGACCTGCTACTTTGCCACACTATGCCTGCTGCAAGCCGCGGGAAAGGGACAAAGGCACCGACCGGATAGGGGGAAACGCAACTGCGGGTCTGGAATGTTGACGGCGGGTGTCTTGGGGTCGGAGCCCGAGATTTTGATAATTTACGAGGACTCCAATGGCCACGGTACGGAGTACTCACAGTGAGATGGGTTCGATAACGGTGAAGGTCACCCGAGGGATGGTCGGCAGACGCGAAGCCATGCTGCGAGGCGATGCAAAGGGAACAAATCACTCGGATCTGACAGACCTCGGAGATGAGCGTTTCGATGCCGCAGGGCTAGAAAAGCGGACAGGTGGCAGAGTGGCAGGCGCTGGACAAGGTGACTGGGCAGCAAGAGCTGACACTCGAGGGCGCGAGGTGAATTAGTCGGTCATTAAAATTACTAGTTGATGATGGCGTGTCGGCATCGCAGCTTGAGCAGTTGTACGAGTTCCAGGTCCAAGTCTGTCCTGGAAAGCCAGTCCAGTCCGACCAAAGTTTGATACGAATGCCTTGCCGTGGTCCGCAGCCAGTCCGAGGTAGTGGCCACAGCGGCGTGATGGCCAAAAACAGAGAGGCTGACCGACGCTATGGCGAGGATCTTGGCGCCGTGGGCATGGTAGCAGGCAAGATATTGAAGACATCGACGCCTCGCCACTGCTTGGTATGCGCATCGAACAAAGGCGCTTTGCCGCTAGCCCAGTGTCACGACTTCGTAGGGAGTACTCCGTACGCGTGGTCGGATTTCTGTTGGCTGGAGCTCCGTGGTGCGCACTGCGGACGCCCCCCAGTCACAGTGTGCCCCGACCCTTCCAAGCCATTGGCATCAATGCATCTACACCGGCTGTTGGTGGTGCTCGCGGCCATTGTATCCTCCTGAGTCCTAGTTAGTTGGTTAGCACTTGTGCCGCTGGTCTGGACTCTGATCTGGCCCTGTCATGATGGGTGCATAAAATGCCCGCGAGCGTCACCGGCACGAGTTTGAATCGAAGCGCAAAGTACCATCAGCACAACTGCGGAACGGAGTAGGGGCAATATTGGTCTGACGCTGCTGATCTGGACGGCCAGATGGAGACATCGCGGAGACGGATGCACGTAACACATGAAATATATTGACGGACAAGAGCGGTGCCCAATGCGCCTCTGACGGATGCTAGTTGACGTTTTCCGCACGGCTTTGGGAACGGCGGCAGGCCTAACCCGGGTCAAGAGTGAAGATGCAGCCGTGGGCTTCAATGTTTGAAAATGCCTTTCAGTCGAAGCCTCTGTGCTGATAAAAGTTGAGGTTCTGTTGCCGCCTGCCGCCCGCTCCTGCCTTCAGATGTCGCCGACCTGGTAGTTACATTTGCGTACGAGGTAAGTACCTACTTAAGGTACTCCGTAGGTAGTGACTACCTGGGTAGGCGGCCAGGCGATTGGTTCCTCGTTCCAGCGCCCACCTGCCCTTGCCCTGACTGCCCGACTGACACCTGCACGGCGTCCTGGGGCAACTGAAAGCCGCTGCATGCCTGCGTGGCAGCCACGACCGGAGCTTGCTTGGCGCCGGCTGCCGAACTGTGAACACACCGGCCGCGGCGTGCTCCAGCGGTCCTCCAGCTAGCGCCAGCTTGCGCCAGCTTGCGCCAGCTTGCGCCAGCCTGGCTCCAGCCCCTTCCCAGTGGCACCCCCCACCAGCCGACCCCACTTTTCCACCACTGAACCCTCCGCGCCGCCGTCCGTCACCCTCTGCCCAACATCGTCCCATGTGAAGGTCCGCTTCACGTGCTTGTCAAGTTGTGACCAAGCAAGCTGCATGCCACAACAGGCGACACCACCGAGCCGCCTGGCATGGCATTTCTGCCGTGAAGCGCACGCTCGCCTTGATCAAAGACACAAGTCACGGTCCGAGGCGCCCTTGTCGGCTTCCATCGATATATATCTTTGCCCCCTCCCCCCTCTCCCCTGTCCTTCCGTCGTTGGACACTCGCCTCGTTCCATCTATGACCTCCTCTGCCCAATGCAATATAAGCCAGCAGGCACATACAGCCCAAGATGGCCACCATCGAGCCTCGCCTGATCCACTTGTTAAACGAATCAACATCTACACCTCAGCTTCACCATGCTGACCTGCCTCCGCTGCACGCTTTGCCGCTGCCGACTTCCACAGAGCGACCTCTGCCGCCGCTCGAGCTTGATGCCGCCTATCGGCCAAGCGGCGCCTCGGCATATCCACTGCGCCTGTTCCTTGCAGACCACGACGTCGCGGAGCCGCTTTCTCACGGCCGCTCCAAACCCATCAACGACCTGAGTGATGCCTCCGACGATGGTTACAGCAAAAAGCGCGCCCGAAACATCCATGTCAAGGATGACTTCGTCCAGCTGCCCCAGCCAATGAAGCGACAAAAGTCGGCTCAACAGGCGCCTGCCATGCCGCCCATCATCAATGGTCTACTCGAACCTCCAAGCCATCCGGCTTTGTTTCCTCCCATTGTGTCGAATGCCTATGATGAGAAAGTTGTCAGTCAGATGAGGCTACTCAATGAATGTGCTTTACAGGGAGCTGTCGAGGATCGCGCCAGGCGGTCACCCGAGGCCGACAAGTCGGGCAAGAGCAGGAAGCGGGCTGCCAAGCCTCGCAGGAAGTGGTCCGAAGAGGAGACAAAGCACCTGCTCTTGGGCGTGAATCGACATGGCGTTGGGAAATGGACCAGCATTCTCGAGGATCCAGACTTCACCTTCAACGACCGAACTGCCGGGGACCTGAAAGATAGGTTCAGGACATGCTGCCCCGAGGAGCTACGCAGTTCAAGCAAGTCCTCCTCGCAAGCTGGCTCGCCCCGTGCAGCGCCTCAAGATGCTGGACGTCGGACCAAGTCGGGTATTCACTCGGAGAACATTCTTATCGAGGACTCGCCCTCGCCGAAAGAGGCTGGCGAGTCCGACTCAACGCCCAAGCCTAGGAAGAGCCGTGCCCACCGCAAGAAGCTCGAGGACCTGGCCGAGTTGGGTATTCACGGCCCGTTCAAGAAGTCGCATAGACGTGAACGCCGACCCTTTACTGAGCAGGATGATCGTGAGATCCTCGAGGGGCTGGATATATATGGCCCGGCCTGGACCAAGATCCAGCGTGACACTCGCTTCAACCTATCCAGCAGACAGCCGACGGATTTGAGAGACCGCGTCCGCAACAAGTACCACAGCATCTATCAGCGCATTGAAAAGGGAACCTTCAACTCCAAGGACGATGCTCGAAGCAACGTTCTCGAGCCTTCCGTCACCATGTCCATCGACAGCTCTCTACAACGGTCCAAGGAATCATCCAAGGTTCCTCGATCCAGCCACAACGCCAAGGAGGATTTGCCAACATGGCCATTGCACGTCGTTGACGCGTCCAACTGTACCCAGCCATCGCAGACCTTTGATTTTGGTGAGACGGGTGGGCCACACTTCATGGGTGGTGAGATGGACATTTCGAGACTGTTGCTTGATGACTCCAGGATGACTCAGGCACCTGCACGACATGCTGCAGACTATTCTCCCGATCCATCATCGCCGCCAGCCTATATCACAGAGCCGCGCCGCGACAGGCACGCTAGCCATTCCGTCCGATGTTGAGATAGATACCCATTTTATTTCTTGTTTTTATTTCTTTTTATTTCTCCCTCTACGTCAATGACAAAGGTTGGGAGGAAATCAGGAAACTTTGCTATTGGGTCGAATAGCATTGTATTTCTACGAATTGTTACGAGCCTTGGGACGGAGTTGGGGATAAATTCATCGATCAAAATAGAGGAGTGGACTAGACAAAGGGAATGTCCATGTTGAAAACGAGCATCGCATCGTACAACGGGGACCCGCCGGCTGTTTTGAGCTATAATACTAGTACTACCTCGGCGTTTTTGGATTTTGGAAGATTTGGCAGGGTTCCTCGGGAGAGAAACAATGGGCCATTCTCGGGGCAATCGGATTGCAGCTGACCGACGCTGGGCTTCAGGCTGATCCCACCCCGTCCAGGTAGACATAGTTAGGTCAAGGGCAGGAAATAATGAAGCAGAGCATCCCATGTTGAATGCACGTGCCAGCCCCGGCGCAATTGATTGGAACGTTGCTCCTGCTTATCTAGAGACGCCAGGGAAAAGGCCAGCGACGGAATCTCACATGCTAAAGGGCCGAGTGTTTCGAGGAGACCACGGTCCGGTATCAGCCCAAGTCTTGGATCAACAAGCGCCATCATGGTTCGCGACGCTTTCGAACCGACCAGGGTCGTGCAGACGGTCGGACAACAAGGATACGGGAGGGTAAGGGGAGAGATAAGAGGAATCACGTGCGACATCACATGCTCCACTTTTGGAAATTCGCTTCTAGTGGCATAATTGCGGGCTGGTAGGGCACGAAGCCCCTCAAGCGCAGTCTGCGGGCAGGGGAAAAAAAAAAAGCCGTGGGCCCCGATATTTGCACCAGCGGCAAGTCGTTGGCTCAACCCTTTGACCTTTCCTCATCACGCCCATCGCCAACAGGTAGTCGACAAAATGGCCCGCGGAATGTAAGTGACTCTGGTCGGCAATTGCAATTCCACGAGAGGGGGACGACAAGGTCAAGAAGTTGCTCGACGGTCCTTTTTTCTTCCTGCAACCGTCGTGCACAATTCTTGACATTTGCAGTCCGCCGGTTCGAGGCACACCTTGTCTTCCGAAGCTGGGTTTGCTAACTCTGTTGCAACAGCAAGAAGCACCAGAAGCGCCTCAGCGCCCCCTCGCACTGGCTGCTGGACAAACTGTCCGGCACCTATGCCCCCAAGCCGTCGGCCGGTCCTCACAAGCTCCGCGACTGCCTGCCCCTGATCATCTTCATCCGCAACCGCCTCAAGTATGCCCTCAACTTGCGCGAGACCAAGGCCATCCTCAAGCAGCGCCTGGTCAAGGTTGACGGCAAGATCCGCACCGACATGACCTACCCCGCCGGCTTCATGGACGTCATCGCCATCGAGAAGACGGGCGAGAACTTCCGCCTCGTCTACGACACCAAGGGCCGCTTCACCGTCCACCGAATCCAGGCCGAGGAGGCCGAGTACAAGCTCGGCAAGGTCAAGCGCGTCCAGCTTGGCCGTGGCGGAATCCCATTCTTGGTTACGCACGATGCAAGAACGTGAGTTTTTGTTTTTGTTTGGACAAAAACAAACCCTGTTCTGTCAGACATCATTCAGCCGTTGGATCAAGCTTTGGTCGATTCCTTTCTCAAGGACTCTTTCTCGTGTGTCTTTTTTTCTTTCTTCGAATCCACGTGGTTTTCCACACCCGTTTTCTGCCATATCGATTGATTACATTGTCACGATGTAATGTGCTTGGTACACATACGATTTTGGGGGCTGGGAAAAGAAAATAACGTGGACCGGAAAGACGAAAAGAGGCTCCGAGAAAGAGACGAGAACGTGGCTTGTTGCGACGGCTGTAATGTTGTGTCCCCTCAGAGAAAGCTCCCAGATGGCTGACTGCAATCTCCTTTTGCGCAAATCTAGCATCCGTTACCCTGACCCCCTGATCAAGGTCAACGACACCGTCAAGATTGAACTCGCCACTGGCAAGATCACCGACTTTATCAAGTTCGACACGGGTGCCGTCGCCATGGTCACTGGTGGTCGTAACATGGGCCGTGTTGGTGTCATCACCCACCGTGAGCGTCACGACGGTGGCTTCAACATTGTGCACATCAAGGACGCCATTGACAACAGCTTCGCTACCCGTGAGAGCAACGTTTTCGTCATTGGCCAGGACAAGCCCTGGATCTCCCTGCCCAAGGGCAAGGGTGTCAAGCTCACCATTGCTGAGGAGCGTGACCGCCGCCGTGCTTTCGCTGTGTCCCACTAAGTGTTGCCTTTTTTTCCTCATGCTGCCATGCATGCTAAGCAGCGTAATCGGAAGTCCTGTGGGTTAGGGAGTGAGGCGGTAGGGAATAAAAAAACAGACTTTCGTTTGGCATGTGGAACTGGAGTCTCGGATTTGACGAATTTCTTCTTTTTGGGGCCCATGATGATCCCTGGAGAACATAGCCGGCCGCGTGTGGAATACGAGTAAAAGAACAATTAAGCCAAGCTGAGACGTTCCTTGCCAAGTGATGTTCACTCCGTATGACTGCCACGTTCAATGCTACCCGGTAAAGAATGCTTCTAGATGAGCATGCCATATGGTCTTCTCGTGCCGGCTCTACTTTCTGAGAGAAGATGGACGGGCACGGCCTCTGAGTTCAGAAACGCCCATCGGCCTCTGCGTGCACATACAACATACACCGCTCGTGCCTGCGTCAAGTATGTCGGTTCACTGTGGTATCTCGGGTTGACGCCAACGTGATGAAGCAGCGCTTGTATGAGGCAGCCATGCCCACATTCATTCAGTTTCTTGACACCACAAAGCAAGCGAGACCTCATCGTCCGCATGTCATGGTTGGAAACAGCGGCCAGAACGGTACATTGTGCGTGGAATGATGATTGGCGTGGGTGGGTTTCTTTAGCGACTTGATGGGCCTGACAAGGGCCATCGTGATGCATGAGCAAATACCGCGACGTCATTATCGGTTACCGGCTCGGCCTCCGAATCCTCACATCATCATCGTCAGAGGGACGGAGCATCTGACGCGACAAGGCATCTTGGAGAGATTCCGGGCGCCCGGAGTCTCGAAGCCCGAGTAACGTGGTAAACAGACGGTGCTGGGGAAAGTTTCGTCCTGCTCCACGGAGTAGGACATCCCGGCCCCAAGGGGGGAGCGAGGACGTCACAGCCCACCCGTCCAATGAGCCGACAGGGGGTTGCTGCCTCCCGGACCACGTGCCGAAGCGCTTGGGGGCCGACCAACTTACTCACAGCGTCACGGCCCGAGTCGACGAGCTCCGTCGTCGTAGACCGAGGAGGCCTCGCACTCAGCCTAGGTGCGAAGGTGTGTCCGAGAAAAGTCGCCCGACTTCGGCAACGCGTTATCCGTGCTGGTCGGCCAAGTTTCTTCACCTTGGTTGGAGCTCAGTCTCCGCCCGAGAGGACACCGTCCCCAAGCCCGCGGCGTTTGAAGCCATCGGGGTGCCCGGCTTCGCAGTCATGGTTCCGTGGTGGTGAGCGAGGGACGGACTGTGTCGGTGTCGGACCGACCGTGGCCTCTTTTGCAGCCAGGAATGTTGCTTGCGCGTCTACGCGGGAGAATAAAAGAAGCAAGGGGCTGTGAAAAATGTAGAGCCTCGTTGCCGACAAGATGGAGTTACCAAGAAGAGCACGGAGTGCGTGCATCGATGGGCGCCTCGTCATGCTTACAGTTCTCGTCACGGACGGACCAGGCCGCTCCTGCCGGCATAAATTGTCGCACAGCACACAAGGTGGGATGGTGTGGTGTGGGCACCGCCGTTTTTGGGCGCGACATCGGTGTCTGAGAGATGAGAGACGGCCAGGCAGGAACGCCACCCGCCAAGTCAAAATTCCAAGCAATCCCCCGGGGTAGTTACCATGAGATATGTCTTGCGGCCCCTCTCGACAATTGGAGCCGGCCACCTGGGCAGTCGAACCATGCATGTAACGTGTTTTTAGTTTTGCCATGGGTCCGGAGCCCTGTTGCACCTGTTGCCCTGAAGTTGTCGTGTCGTCTGTCGTCTATGGGCCCTCGAATCGTAAACCGCGGCCCCTCCGAGGGCAAGAGAACAATTATAAAGTCAATGCGCACGCAGACCTCGGGCCATCCCTGCTTCTCTCTGCTTCGTCTCAGACTACCCGCCGCTTCTTACTTGGACCGCAGCTCAAAGACGACAGACAAGATTCAAAGCAAAAACCCGGCCACACCACACCACCACACCACCTACCGTCATCATGTCTGGACTCAAGGCCGGCGACTTTTTCCCCGACGGAGTAAAGTTCTTCTACGTCGAGCCTTCTGGCGACGACATCAACACTTGCGGGATTCCTAGGGCCCTGGATGCCAGCGCCGGTATGCTCCGGGCCTCCCCGTCACGAGCTCCTGGAGTGGGCTTTACGCGACGACGAACCAGCAGCTGACCGGTGCCACGTAGAGTTCAGGAGCAAGAAAGTCGTGCTCGTCTCCGTCCCCGGCGCTTTCACCCCCGTCTGCTCGTCCGCTCACCTCCCCTCGTACGTTGCCAACCGGGCCGCTCTCGAGGCCAAGGGTGTTGACATGGTCGTCATGATTGCCTACAACGACCCCTATGTCATGTCTGCTTGGGCCAAGGCCCACGGCATCACCGACGCCTTCATCATCTGTGCCTCCGACCCGGGCTTCAGCAAGTCCATTGGCTGGAACGATGGCGAACGCACAGCTCGCTACGCCATTGTCGTTGACCACGGAAAGGTCGTCTATGCCGAGAAGGAGGACGGGAGTGGCATTGAGAGGTCTGGCGCTGAGGGTGTTTTGGCCAATCTGTAAACTTGACGAGGCGCCAACGGCAGAGCAGCATTAGATAGACTACCGCGCATTTGATGGATTTACGATTAGGACGAGCAACTGATGAGCCTCCAGACGTTGAAAAGATTGAGGTTTCTTTTCTTTTCTTTTCTTTTTTTTTTTTTTTGACAATGACGGCCATTCACGTCGGGGTCATTCGGCAATTGCCAAGAGGCCGCGGTTTGAATTCAACTAGGACAAGCTGTGATCGATCCCTGGCCACACATAGATAGATGGGCCCAGCAAGCATACAATGTGCCCGCCATGACAAATGGCTGTCTGTAACAATACCTTGCCGCCCCAGTCATCGGAAACCACAGAGTATGCAACGCGACAAAGGAGGAACCAGGTTTTGCTTTGAACCGTTGCACAGGCATGTCGTTTGCTCAACTACCAATGCACCCTTTGGCATTCCATGCACCCGAGAATTTGTAGAAGAACCGGCCGGAAAGGACACAAGAACCACATACTCCAGCACTCTTCCAAGCTTGCTCTTGAATTCATGCCGCTTTTTGCACCAAACCCCGCAAGACAAAAATTTCAAATCCTGGCCTAGCGAGTACGGGCGGCAACCTTGACTGGTGCGCCCTTGGCGCCCTGCTTGCTGATGTTTCGCTGGGTCTGGCCCTTGCCGGCGGCGGCGGCAGACTTGGCCTTCTCGGCCTTCTTGGCAGCAGCGGCAGCGTTCTTCTTCTCTTTGCTCTCCTTGATTGCCTGGGCGCGGGCGGCAGATCGGGCCTCGGGGCGCATGGAGCGGCGCTCCTTGATCACGTCCAGGGAAGCACCGACAATGGCACGCTGGGACTTGACCGTTCGACGGGTGCGCTTCTTGGTAACTTCCTGCAAGGAGGCGTTAGTAGACTACTTGGTTGTGCGGCGAGGAATCCCCAAGTGCATCCGTCCGACGAGGACCTGAGTATTCGTTGCTGTCTCCCGAGCTGGCTGGTGTCCCTTGAATTTCGCAAAAAAAAAAAAGAGAAAAAGCCTCGGGCCTAGGCTCGGCAACGTCTGCTCGGTCCCGTCTCGGAAACAAGCACCGGTTCACGTAGTCGGATCGTACCTCAGAGATGCCCTTGCGGTGCTGTCGGCGGTACAGGACAGTCCAGGCAATGCGACGGGGGTTCTTGCGCTGCAGGAACAGTGACTCCGACTTGCCATTCTGGAAACGGAACACTTTGCTGTCGCCACGGACATAGATTTTACCCTGTTAGACGTCGTGTTAGCAGCTATGTCTGCCGAACCTCGGCCAATCCCCCCCTCCCGCTCGTCATGACGCCTTGCGGTCTGAAATCAAGGGTGCTTGCTTGTCCAAATAACGTATATTCATTGAATGCCACGTCTTAAACCGTCTCTCCTCACTCTTTGTTATGTGCATCAATTCGTCCGTCAAGAAACCGATTCGCCACCGGAACACATCCATGACGACAGGGAGCACTCCAAAGGGGAAAAGTATCAAAACATCGTACCTTGCCAGGGTAAATTCTCTGGCCCGAGAATGTATCGTCGTAGGTACGCATCTTGTCGCGGTTGTGGGTTTATAGCGACAAGGTGTATGTGCGAGGACCGTGGATTTGGCGGGTTGGCAAAGTTGAGCGGCGTGATACGGGCAATTTCTCGAATTGGAGGTGTGTGCCAACATGACTAAGCGTCTAGGGCAGGCGAGGCGCTAAAATTGTGGCATGCCAAGGCACGTGAGTGATCACATGGGCGTTTCGCGAGCGACTGTGATTCTGACTCCGACTCTGGGTGGTCAATTGGTGAGTGGGGCTCCACCTTGCCGAAAAGGTGACCCTCCTCCAAGGCCGAGTCTGTACAAACTTTATGAGACGAAACTCATATACATCGAAACTTTGCAAAGTAATCAAGCCTCGACCTCCTCTTTTACCGACTGGAGCTGTCGGCCCCGTGAGACCAGCCGCCGTGTTTCTTAAATGACATCCACCTCAAGGGCGAATGCCATCGCGCAGACCGTCATATCGCAGTTCCGAAAGCTACCAGCGAAGCGAAAGCCCGCCGTCCGAACTAACGGGCTGCACGAATGGGTTCCGTTGAGCGGCATTGTCGCCGAACAAGATGGAGAATGGACCTGTCTAGCCTTGGCGTGAGTGCCTTCTCGCCGGTCAAAGGCACAGCTGGAAAGACATGGGCACTAAAACACGCGGCGCTTTTTCTTGCTCCAGCACAGGCATGAAGTGTCTTCCGGCCTCGAGGCTTCATGAGGCAAATGGAAACGGGATTCACGATTGGCACGCCGAGGTTCTTGCTATTCGGACATTCAACCGGTTTGTCATGGACGAGTGCCGATCTTTACAGAGAGAGAAGCGTACTTCAGTTCTGCAGGCAAGCGGCTCGCATCAACGTAGACCCTTCCGCATCCGAGACGGCTTGAAGCTTCACATGTACTGCTCGGAAGCACCCTGTATGCCTGCCTTCCTCACGTTCAATTCTAGCATGAGGATCTGAACAGTTTCCCTAGGTGGAGATGCAAGCATGGAGTTGATAATGGCAGCCCAAGACGACGCATCGCCATGGGATGTCCCCCCGTCGCCCGCGACGACACAGTCAGGTCCAACCACGACATCGCTTCCGGGTCGAGCCTATTTCTCCCAGTTGGGTGTTGTTCGACGCAAGCCTGCACGGGGCGATGCCCCTCCCACCTTGTCCAAATCTTGCTCCGACAAAATCGCCCTCAAGCAGTGCACGTCGCTCCTCTCATCGCTGACGTCGCTCTTTGTCGATCCGGCCAGCGCGTATATCGACACTTTGGTGCTCCCCGAGTCTCAGTACTCAGCTCAGGGTTGTCAGAGGGCGTTCTCGGAACGGCTAAGCAATTTGACGAATGCGTCTTGGCTAGGGGGCTATCAGTTCCGTCCGTTCAAAGTCGAGACCACGGACGAAGAGTTTGAGTTTTCGCGAAATAAAGTAAGACAAGACTCTGAAAAGATGGCGCCGAGTAATATTGCGGCCGCATGGTCTGCATCGGGGGTGGAGGAGACGATACTAGGTGGTGTCATCCAAGGGAGGAAGCCCTTCGACCCAAAGGGTGCGAGTAACATGTCCAGGAGACAGTTGTGGGCTGCTGCCGTGGAAGTATCTAACAGTTTAGATGGCCACCAAGACATCAGGCAGCTTTTGAGCTCCAAGACCTACCAAGATGTCAAGGACGGGGACTTATTGGCGGATAGACGACGTGTCAAGGACCTTGTTCGAACGACTGCGTTGGCTGGCTGGGTTCCAAACCGAGGCGACTCAAGTTTCTCACTGTGTACCAGTGCCTGAAAACCAAGACGAGAGAGAGAGGGCAAAGGCCATCCGTGAGCAGGTATTGGTTGACAACATAGGTCACATCATTAGAGATTTGGCATTTTCCCTAAATGCGATTGGGGTCTTTGTTCCAAACCCCGAACCAGCTGAAGACAGTTTTCATGCTCCCGTCCCGCCTACATCCACCGTCAAACCAGCAGTGTCCCGACCGTTCTTGCAGCAACTCCTTTTTTGCTCTTTTGATAGAGAAAACAAAAAAAGAAAACAATGGCAAAATGTCGCAGACTAGTTTCCTGCAGCAAGCAGAAAATATGTGATTGGGGTCCTTTCCACGACGGAGAAGAAAGCAAACCAGAGTAGGCCCAATTGAAAGAAAAGCATCACCAAGCACCTAGTACTTCGTTCCAAGGCCAGCCTGACAGCACTTCATTTCAGAGGAATATGCCACCCTAGACCCTTTCCATCCCGTCCTAAGCCCCTTCCCCTCCTCTTCTTCCCGTTTGTCATGGGACAATGTTCGTGCTGGAGAGGAAATCTTCAAAAGGCAGATTTTACTCGACCTTGCTCTCAAAGTTCTCGCCTTCAACAAGGTCGGGAATTTCGTCATCGTCCTCCTCGCCCTTTTCGCCCTTCTGCATGTTCTGGTAGCTCTCGGCGAGCTTGCGGAGCGAAGCGAGGGAGTCCGGGCCCAGCTGATTCAGGATCCCAGGAACAAGCTCAGTGAGGTCCTTGTCCTCGCCATTACCGTAGATAGCAAACGTGTTGGAGGGGACAGCGGCATGGACTGTGCGCATCGGCGGGATGTCAGCCGGAGAACCTGGGGTCTGCTTTCGGCCCGTGGTTGATTTGAGGTGGACAGATATACGCACCCTTGGGAGCAGAGAAGTGGATGACGTTGCCATCGGACTTGAACATGTTGACCTCCTCAATAGCCTGGATGGGCTGAGTGTTCAGCTTCTTCAAGGTCTGCTGGAGCTTCTTGTCATCGGCGCCGGACCGAGCGGGCGCACGCTTGACCTTTCTTCGGGGCGTGCCTTTGCCGCTGCGTATTTCGGAATCAAATGATTTGATTAGCTGTCCGTGGAGTGACCAGATTGTTGAAACTTCAACGGGCGGATGATGATGCTAAAAATATAGTCGGATATGCGGTGGGAACTTACCCTAAGTGGACGAGTTAGCAATCCCCCCAAAAGTTCCCATTGGCACTCTCCAGCAACTGAACTTCCCCATGGTTCGCTCTACTCACCAATACGGCCAGCCTGGCCAAGCTTCTTGAGGCGCTCCTGGACGTCAGCCATGCTGAGAGGTTACGAAGGAAATGGAGGAGGACTACATTGGCCCGCCGCCCGTCAACTTGTCAGCTTCTGACTCATCGCACAAAACCGCTGCCAGAGTAGGGATTCGGGTACAGGATCAGTCGGCGCCGACATCAAGATCAAATAGCCGAGCTACAACATTGGTTGGGAGAGTCAACACGTACCGAAAGAAGATGAGGGGTTGCGTCAAAGAGGCTGATTTGTCGCCGAAGGCATGGATTGGTGATGGAGCAAAGAAAGAGTCGTTTTTGTGCGTTGCCAAGAGTTTTCGCGTGTGGAAAAATGTATTGCCCGAAAGGATACCCCACTGGTGCTCAACTGCTCAACGCCGTTGGCTGTTGGCTGGGCCAGACATCTGGGGCTAGCTAGCGCCCCGCCCCCCGAAGAACGTTCCCAATTTCAGCAGGTGCTACTGCGTACGCCTGCTACAGCTGTAGGGCGTTTGCGGCACTATTGTGGTTTTGGCTTTTGTCCTCTTCCACGAGGCAGTCTCAAATCCAGATTCAGCTTGTCAGAATTCCCAGCACATCCATCGTCAGTATATGAAAATAACTTCACATCCACTGACTTCACTCGGAAAAACCAGCAGACAGTCAGGTACATCATGTAGCAATACACTTATATCAGCATAGATCTATACCCAAGCCTTCACGTCCCGTATAGAATAGATGTAGATGCTCCGTGAAGCTGCCGAGGCGGCTTTCATCATTGTTGAAGCATTTGCGCTACTTTGGTACTCCGCTTTCTCCATGACTCAATGTACCAAACTTGCTAGAGGCGCGCGCTTCTTGACATCTGAATCACATATCTACTACCAGATGTGAATATGAATATGCTTCTCCTAAAGGGCTTCAATGGCTTATTATTTATGGTGTCGCTCCTCTTCCTCCGCTCACCACGTGTCGGGGCCGAGAGGCTTGGTTACATTTGGAATGAACGCCCTTGTCACGGCTTTGCCATGGAAGTCCAACGTGTCCTGCCAGACAGTGGTCCCCCACCAGTCCGGCATATCCGTCATGCTTAGGCCAAGACCAAGGCCAGTAACGACGGTACAAAGAGCAGTGCCGATATCGAGGGCACCAGATAAAGCATACGTGTAACGACTCCACCATCCAAGGAAAGCCCTGCGGATGAAGAGGTTGAAGACGAGACCAACAATGACCCACTGGAAGAGGAAGTAGAGGGTAGCGGGAGGAATCATGCCAGCGGCACCAAAAAGAGCAGGCGTAATGACATAGCGTGCCCAGCTGCGAGGGTACCTCCGGGCAACCAGAAACTGGATGACGGGGCAAATAAAGCCAATGAACCAGAACCAGTTTGTCCAAGAGTAACTATTGTCCAGAAATTAGCTCTTACAGTCTGCAAGGGAGTGTCTTGAAAAGCGTAAATACTCACATTCCACCGGCACCAAAGACCTTCTTTGGGCCAATGACACCCCAGATGACACTCGCGTTATAGAAAGTTCGCGCGTTAGGGCAGGTTAGACCCTGTTTCTGATCTTCGGTGCAGATCTCGCTAATGTTGCCGCGAAGGAAGTTGTAGGCGGAAATCTGGACAAATGATAGCCAGATGACAGCAAACGCCTGAGCAGCAAACATGCTGCGAGGAGGAATCTTCATGTAGTGGCCGACCTTCATGTCAGAAATATAGTTTAATCCGTTGTATGACAGCATGTACCCGTAGCTCTTGAACAACATCATGGCGACGGGACGCCCGGGCATCATGTATCCTATAATCATTTCGGTAATGATGTTCAAGCCGGTCTGCTGGTTGGTGATGGCCTGAACCATGCCAATTGGGATGAAAAGAATGGCGCCGATAAGAATACACACAATGTATGCCCACCAGGGTAGATGGGTGTCCCAGACTTGGCAGGCAATCATGCCAAAGGCGAAGCTGACTGCAAAAATACATGCGAACCACCATTCGGGGGCTTCCTTGTACTTGCGCATGAGCTTCATATGCACATCAGGCTCATCGTGTTGTGAGTTTCTAGCACGGCTCCATACGTCCCTTCCATAGAAGAGGATGACGTGCATCACAGTAGATATAAGTGCAGCAAAGCCTAAGCCATAAGAGAGGGAAAAGGTAGGACCGAGGAGAATAGGTGAGTATTGCTGGTAGGCAGTCTCGTTGACTGTAAATTCTCGGGTGAGGATACGGGTCGTGTTATAGGACTTTGCATATCTGTCGAAATTTTTGTTGGCGCTGATAGGAAGGTATCGGTAGTATTCAGGCCCAGCAAAGGCCAGACCAGCAGCACCTATCGTCATAAGACAGATGCCAGCACAGACGTTGAGAATGGCAAAAGCAGGCGTCTGGAGCGGTGAGCTTAAGAAAGCAGTGACGGTAGCCCAGTCAAGGGACATTGGCATAAGACCGAAGCCAGTGTTGCCACCAAAAACCTGGTTGACAGCAACATTGTTTGGAGCAATCCAAGTAGGCCACATGAAATAGCTCAGGAAAGGAGCAATGACCAGAGGAAACCATTCCCACGCAAAAGTGCAGCCGGCAACAAGAAGGAAGAAGCTGTATCTGCCAATCTTCCAGCCGTTCGTGGTGGAGGGATCGGACGGGCGATGGTCATGAAGAGAGTACATGACCGTGCAGGTGATGAGCGTAGCAGGCCAAACCATTGACGACGGCCAGATAAGGAACCTTCGAGCAATACCAGCGACGCCAAAGCCCATGGCCTGGGTGGAAAGCATGAGAAGAATTTGGAAGCCCCACCTATGTTCCAACATGTTAGCGGAGTAGAGCGATGAAGAGCTAGCTAGCTACGCGGTCCAGTCTTACTTGAATTCCTGCTTGTAGAAAATTTCCTGTGCAAGCAGAATGTCAATGGCGTAGCTGAGAGAGCTACCAGCGGCCGTCATCATGGTGATGATGGTATGCTCCTTGGTATTGAAGGGACCGGGATTGAGCTCAAGAGTGTGACCGAATATTTTGAATGTCTTGACGGGCATGAATTTGGCCCAGCCGCAACCAATTCTGAGACAAATGATCAGGACATGGGTGAGGCTGGAGCGGCGCGCAGGCCGTAGGATGAGGACTCACGGGTAGGCGATCAACTGGACAACAGTAGATGAGATGGAAATCGGGGTGCGACGCATGCTGAGCAAGACGTTGCAAGCGGCCACGACGGTGCAGAGAAGAGCTCCAATAGTCCAGGCCCGGAGCGTGTTGACGGGGACATCGTGGTCAACGGGGGGAACCTGCGGCCAAGCTTTGTCAGCCCGTTCAACGACAATCGGATTGTCGCTGCTTGTTTTGCTGCAGCAAGGGCTCAGGCGAGCCGGTTGAGGATGGACAGAGAGTCCTGGCACATACCGAGTTGCGGACCTCGGCGTAAGGCGAGTTCTCCTGAATCAGCGACTCGTCAATGGCAGCCTCCTTCTCGGCATTGCCAGAGGTGAGAGCATCGTCAATGTTGTCGAGCTTGTCGACGTCCAGGAAGGGATCCCACTGGTGCTGGCGCCTGAACCGGCGCAGCTCGCGTTCTGTGCCTGCAGCGTTGGGGAGGACATCGGCGCCGGTTGTCTCGCTCGCAGTCTCAGTCGACTTGACACCAAAGCGTTCCTTGAGGCCCATGATTGAACCACGTTCTGTGCTGGCACCGGTAGATCAGGCGTACAGGTGACAGGACGGCGGGCCGGGGAGTCTGGACGAACACAGAGGGGGAAGGAGCGAGGGGCGTCGGCGTTTATATCCAAGGGGGGCACCGAACGAGACGTCAAGGAAAATGAAGCACGGGAGCACGACATTTCCACACAGAAAGGTCAAACCGTCCGTCCTCCAACCCACCGCCACAGCCACATCCTTTTTTTTGGCAATCATCTAGAGGGCTCCGTAGCCGGCCGAGAACAGACAGCACGGCGCTGATTCCGTAGCGGTACGGGGCACCTTGCACTCAGACATGGATGGTTGGTGCAGCAAGGCGCACGAAATCGGAAGACTGTGAGGAGCCGATGACCGAGACACAGGCTGTTTTTGGAGCGTCAAGCCAAGTCCCATCGGCTCTGCTTGCCTGGAACACTGTGGGCGGTCAGTTCTCCTCTCGGTGTCTTTGCATGTGCCGCATCTGAATTGGGCGTGGGCAACCAGCTGGTCGTGCAATGGGGGCATGATGGAGGCAGGGGACTCGGAGACCCCTGGAGACTGGGGTGCCCATCACGATTTCACGACAACCTTCACACCCCAGGCTCAGCGGTACGACAGAGGGCACGACGGGCTCATGTGGTACTCGGTACCCCCGCTTCCACACTGGCCTCGGCGCCCTCAGGCCTGACCACTCTGTGCCAGTCTCCAGATGACAAGACTGGGAACCGGAGTGATGCGCCGACCTGCCCAATACGGCTGCCCAGCGGTTCGGTTTTTGTCCATCTCGTGGGCGTATTTGAGCTCCTCGGCCACTTACTTGGTGCTGATAGCTGACCTGCGCCAGCAGTCCTTTAGCTTCGATATTACGTACCGAGACCTCGCAGCGAGTCAACTCCTCAGTACCGACTTCACCACCAGGACCAGGTCTGTACTGACCAGAGTGGATGTTTCCCTTCCCGGTGCATTCCTAGTGGCTTTCTTATCTGTTGGGAGGGACGGACGGAGTAATATGCGACGGCAAGGACCTTTTGCCAACCTCGCAAAATCGAACTAGGATGTTATCTAGGATGTTATCGCCACCAAATTGTTACCGAGTACTCCGTACTCCGTACTGGGCTAGTGAAACGACCGTGCTCTCCGGTCAATGTCTCTACTGGCCACTTGGCACATATATCTGCCCAGGAATTATCCCACCAACCCTAACCCTACGCAGTCGCTCAGCAGTCCCTGGACCTCCCTCCCCGGCGGTCTGGTCTGGTCTCCCTTTGGTCTGTGGGCCGCGTTCGATTTCAGCTTCGGTGGCGGGCGATGCAGTGAGACAGGTCTCGCCACATGGTCGAAAAGCTGGACGGATGCGAACGAAGGCACTACTACTCCGTACTTGGCACCTAATCGACCACCTCGTCACTTGGCAGCACAGAGACGAAACGCACGACTTACATACAGCCACATACAGAGGACGGCTTGCGTGGCGGCAGCCCAACGCACTCACGAGTTTTCGACTCGAAGACTCGGCTAGCAAGCCAAGCTTCAATGCGCGTAAAGTCCACGGCCCGTGCGCGTGGCTTCTCGGCTCAATTCACGAACTGACCACCAATCGAATTGGTGATACTATCGGCGCCGCGCCGCTGAACTAGCCTCTAATTGGCAGCCAGAAATCGTAGCGGCTGTTGGAAAACCAATCAATCCACTTGCCATGGTTCCCCAGACCATGATGGAGTAAAGGGTCAAGACGCGAGAGAGGGTCAACGGTATCGGGACGAGTGACCCCAGACGAACTTTTGTTCAGTCGCAGACAAGCCGGTTGGGGGCTTGTCGCGTGCGACCTTTACCACTACTGCCAGATCTTTCGATTATACGGAGTACGAAGCGCGGAATGCGACCGGTTGACGTTTGAAGTGGCCAGGTTCAGTGGCGTTTCGTGGGCGTCACTGCGTCGACACAAGCCTCTTCTTTCTCCTTCTTCTTTCCAACAAGGCCGCCTCTTGTGGATCTTGACAATCAATCAATGGTACGGAGAAGACTGTACGGAGGACCAGTTACAGATATCAGGTCGTACTACGGAGTACTCTGCATAACCGTCGTCTCATGCTCCCTGGCTGATGCTCAAATAGGGACAGCTCACGCTTCTCCTGGACCAACGCGCGGGCTGCACTATTCCACATTTGGTGTTTTACTTTGGTTGAGGATCTCATCGAAACTGGAGCAATGGCAACCTACCATTCAGGGCCCAGGCCCGCATCTAATGCGAACCCTGCTTGATGCCAGTACACAGGGGTATTTGGGTAGGCAAATGTCGACAGTTTCTTTGCCACCTGCAGGTGGCAACGGCGTACGGTAATCACGGACGCCGGGTTTCCGAGTTTCTCGTGTCATAATGCTCAATCTAGAAGATTGTTACTAGTGTACGGAGTACGCTTTCCCCCAGGTGCTCACTGCTGACAACCAGACGCCATGGCGTACTGCGGATCTCTGGGCATCTCGTATCGCCAAGGAATTGTCGGCAAGTGATGAGTCTGCCGCACGATTGGGTGGTTTATGCAATTCTGTGGCTGCTGCGAACAGCAAACAGCAAACCGTGATTTCCTTTTCCCCCCAAAGGCAGCCGTCTGGGTTCGAAGCAACTCTGCGACTGATCGCGCAATTCATCGGTTATCTTAGCCTCGCCAATGCTTGTACGCTCGCTGTCGACTTCGTATTGCATTCCATTGACATGGCAATTTCCTCAATGAAGCCGGCGCGCGTGCACAATCTTGGCCCCTCCCAAGGGGCCCAGTCGGCTACGAGCCGTCACTGTTCCGAGTTCGTCAGCCAGCATTGCGCCGGCTGCCATGGCCCATGTTCGAGTACAGCAACTTTTCCGTGTCGTCGGTGTGCAATCAAAGCCTGGCAGGGCCACCCCTGGTTCGTTGATCCGGACCCTGAACTGCTCCTCTTCAACCATGGCGAGGTCTCGAGTGGTCCAATTCGAGGGAGGATGAGCAGCAACGCAAGTTTGAAACGAAGAGGTGCTGGAAATACTTTTCAACTCTGGCAACATTTGACTGATTTCCCTGTCGAATCGTCGGCCATTTTGTCAGGTTCTCAGTACACTACCATCAACTGTTCCACAACCACACCGAGGCCATGACCGCAATGAGGTGCGAGAATAAAGTCAACAGGAAGAAGATGCAGCGACCGTCGTTGGGGGGAGAGGGCAGTTTGTCGTCGGGACTATCGCTGGTTGACGGGAACTTTTTGTCTGCTGCCAAGACGCTTGATTCGGACGAGGCGCAAAGAAGTCGGTGTGGTTGGTCATAGCCCGGTTGTGCCAACCATGGACCATGGACTCGTTGATGCGTGGTACCGCCTGTGCTCCGTACAACTTGCGCTCGAATAACTAGTAGTACTCGGTCAAGATCCCAACGAAGATGATTGTCGAGATGGGAGAGGGGGGTGTGGAAGATGGCCATATCCAGTCATGAGATTGATTTCCTTCCTCCCAGAGTCTGAGCTGGCTTTGCGATAGACATGGAACTATGATGGAGCTGGATCACGTTGGCAACCTGCGTTGGTTCTTGCCACGCATGCACAATATCTGGATTGCCAGAAGGGAAAAAAAGTTCCTGTCACGGGGCAATAGTCCCGCCGCAATGAAGATGGCTGCGGTGAAACGCCACGTCTCGTCGTACACCCGGACGTTGGTTCTGTTACAGTCAGTGGCGAGGAGGGGAGTTGCAGTAGCTGGCTTGAAGTCGAGACGGCAATCTGGTTCGTTCTTTTTTTTTTTTTTTTTGCTGTCCATGGAACCCAGCAAGCATGGAGCACACGGTAGGCAGATCTGAAGTCGCATCGACATGTCAAACCTGACATTGCCACCTCAAGCCGCCTCCACCCGCCGAGCCCCCTTGTCCAGTTTCCCCAGACTGGATTCCAACTAACTACACGTCTCGACCCGTTCGCGTTGCCATTGCGTACTATTGCTAATAAATAGTCTGCAAAAGGTCCCATATGCCCATATGCCCGGGCCCATGTCATTGTGTCCACGTGCCCCATGTGCCATGAGGCTCTTGGAACGAACAGGGTCAGGGTAGCCACCAGCGACGTCCTGTAGCCGTGTTTGCACTCCGTACAAGGACAAGCAATGAGCGACGATGCAGGCGCGGTCCCGCAAGAAAAGTGTGTCCTCTCTGGCGTTTTACGCAAAAAAAAAACCGTCTCTCCCCAACCACTGCTCCTCGACAAGCGTCCAACAAATCGACGGACGCATCTGTGCCCCCACGATGCTGCCCCCCCCTCGAATTTCCTCGTCGGCATACGCAGCACAGAGGTGCATGTTTGCTCGCCCACTACTTGGCGGCCAGGCCGGCCTCCCGTCGCATTTCGTCGCGGCGAGCATCCGCCTCCTGCCGCTGCACCTTGGCCGCGTCAAGCACGGCCCTCTTGCGCCTCTCTTCTTCCTCCTTGACCACGATCCAGACTGTGTTCGGAAAGCGAGCCATGTACGCGTCAGCACACTCGCTTCCCCCATACGCGTCATGCGTATACACGGGCCACGGGCTTTGCCACCTGGTTGTTGAGGGGGGGAGCCCAAAAAAACAAATGGTATACACGAACTCGCAGGGGGGCCAAAAACTAACTCGGTTTATCCGACTTGGAGTACTCCTTCAGCCTCGTCACGAAGTCGTCGAACTCCTGCTGCCGCTCCTCCCTCGTCTCGATGCTCTTCTTGCGCAGGTCGGGATTGTACTTGGCGCGCAGCTCGTCCTCGGTCGGCGTGAGCCTCATGGTCAGCAGGGGGCCTCCCACGCTGATGGCTGCGCCGCTGTTTCCCGTTAGCTGCCGTCTGCCACCTGCCGTACGTCGTATGCCGTATGCCGTATGCCGTCTGCGGCGTGTTTTTTTCTCCTCCCTGTCCCAGCGGGAGAGGAGAGAGGGGGAGAATCACTCACCCGACTAGGACCTTTGTCCAGAGGCGCCAGTTGGTAGGCTGTTTAGGCGGCATGGCTGGCTGGACTGGACTGGACTGGACTGCCTCTGCGTCCTGCGCTCTGTGGGGATACAATACTGTCCACTGTCCTTGGGCTGTTCCGTCGCGTCGGTGAGGGCGGTCGGTCGCTTCCTCTTCCTCTTCTTTCTCCTTGGTCGTGGTTGAGTCGCTGCGATTGCGACGATGCCGAGCCGTGGACGTTCTTTTTTTTGGGATGTCGGTGGCGGGTTTTGAAGGAAGGAGTGGCTGCGCAGCGCCGCCTACCCGTCGAGTCGAGCTTGTGTGGCGTCGCTGCTCCAATCTTGGCACGTACGGACGGAGTATGGGGTACCGGGGATTACGTCATCATGATTTGGCGCTTCGCATGGCCTTCCGCATTTGCATACCAAGTTTTATCGTTGGGTTGCTGCACTGACTCGGCGATATTTTAGGGCTGCAGTCTCGATCTCTCCGGCAGATCAGCTGCTTGTGCGGCTCTTGGCATGATCATTGTCGAATTGAAGCTGCGCATAGTCGTGCTTCTTGACGGCATGGCTACCCTAGAGCACACGACCACACACCCCAGCCCAACCCGACATTCTTGAAAGTCGACAGTAAAATGTTGCGCTGGCACTGATGGTAAGCGGTTGCATCGAGGCAGGAAGAGGCACAAAGCATCGTTCGCTCGTGCGATTTTTGTCGTAATAATCCAGCGGGGGGTCTTGAAGAGGTCCAGGTTACGCTACCTTGGAAACTCGAGGGACTGACCAAAATCGTCTCAGTTCCGCCGAATACAAGCTCCACCTGTTGCAACAGAGCGTCGTGTAAATCTCCCAAGAACCAGCCGTCACGGTGTACTGTTCCTCGCACACGCTGTTGCCACGGTGTCTGGGGTCGGGGATCAAGATGCGCCTCGAGGAGGATTCGCTGCTCGAGACTCCCCATCCACCCCGACACCCTTGCTTGTATTCTCTATAGACTGGATCGACGCTCTCATCTTCAGAAGCCCATCCTTGGTATGTCGACATGGAATAGTTAGCGCCCACCTAGACCTAGACACATGTTGAGCAAGTCCATGTTTCGCTCAACATGCGCAGCTCTGTCCGGCACGACGGCCAACGTTGTGTGGCGCCGACGGACCCAGTTTTAGCCGCCGGATTTAGTGCGGATCGGAGCGCGACGCCGGGCCTGCTCCGCGATTCCTCGTCGAAAGGTACATGCGACGACGACGCTGCTGCTGCTGCACCGCACTCGGTCGACCATTTTGGCGCTAGAATGCTGAGGGTCCCTCATCTTTCCTGCCCGCGTGGCGAAATCTCATATGCTGGTGGCATTCAAATTAACCCCATAGATGCGCCTTGGTGAGTCAAGCGCTGGCATGGCAGTCCTGCGGAGTACGTAGTCATTTCGACTCATAGTGGCGCAGGGTCGAGTGGGGCCGCGTCCAGCCTCCAACACGGGCCCCCGACGCTCCAAGCCTCCCGAGACTGTTGCGTCACAATCATGTTGCAACAGAAAACCACTCCGCCATCAAGGGCCCACGTCTTGGGTATCAGAGTGTCGGACAAGCCAGCCATGTCTACCCACCCGAAACGGGGAGCATGTTGGCAAACACTTGACGGCTTGTTGCGCTGGCTCGTGAGTCACACTGGCCACACTGTCCTCCCAAAATGGCAATTCGCGCCGCCGAAACGGGGACCCGGACCCGGACCCGGACGGACCGGCCGCCCCACTGTGGCTGCGGATTTGTTACCACGAGTACTCCGTACTCCGTATCAAGTACAAATAACGGTCCGTCTGTCGCACCTGCCCCCAAGTTCGCCAACGACGACATCCCAATCGACTCGACCCCATCTTCTCAACACCACGCCCTGAGCCCCGGGTTTACAATACGAAACCGCACACATGGCCGGCATGCCAGACGCAAGCGTTGCCGCGGACCAGCTGCCACTCGCCGTTGCGCAAGCCCCGTCCTTCTGCAGACTCTGCCACGTGCAACTGCTTGGTCTGCAAACATGGCGAGCTCACGTGAAGAGCGAGGGGCAGCAAGTTGTTTTTCGCTCGTTTTGAAAGAAGAGACAGACAGAGAGGTATGTATAGCTAATCTCTTGGTCCCCAGCGTCTACAAGCTTCGATTAAAGGTAGCAGAGCCCGGAAGAGTCATGTCGCCGCCACCCACCCCTCCTCACCCAGCAGGTTCGGATAAAGAGCCCGCAGCACCGTCATGCGGTCCAACGGGCGATGTGCGGAAGTGCAGTGCTAGCCAACACCGGCAATCCATTGGCGACAGGGAGGACGAGCCGTCAGCACCGGAGTTCGATCCTGGCCAATGCCTCTTCTGCGCGCACGGGTCGGCTGGGTTGGACGACAACATGGCACACATGGCCGCCGCGCACGGCTTCAGCGTGCCATTCCGGGAATTTCTGGCCGTCGACCTCGAAACGGTCGTGTCGTTCCTGCGTTTCATCATCTGCGGCTACCGAGAGTGCATAGCCTGCGGCGCGCGGCGGAGCAGCGTCGAAGGCGCCCGGCAGCACATGGTGGCCAGGGGCCACTGCCGTTTCAACGTTTCCCCCGACACCGAGGAATTGTACGAGATGCCGCCGTCCACAAACGCCGTGGCTGAACAGACGCGACGCGACGCCAGCGTGCCGGTCCGCTTGCCATCGGGGAAGCTCATCTCTCACCGGAAGAAGCTCGACACCCATGAGCGTCGAGCCGCCCGCCGACCGATACGGAACCGGGAGCGTGATCCTGTCACCTCGCGCTTGGAACCAGCCTCGGATTCTAGCCTCGCGGTTCTCCAGCGGCGCGGAGGGGGCGGAAGCCGCGAAATTGCGTGTAGCTGTGAGGCCCTGCTTGCCGCGCAGCTTTCGAGACTGCGAATGACGGGTGCTAGAGCCCAGCTCAAGGCGGAGGACCGGAAGCGCGGAAGGCTTGAACGAGCGAACAATACAGTCCTGTTCAAACATTATAGGCTGGACGCAGGTGATGGCCGGATAGGACGTCAATTTTAGGATGCAGAGTGTTGACTATTACGCGTAGGCGTGGATAGGGCTGATCAGGAGCCCGGCGCTAAAGATTTCATGAGACGTTGTTTCTTTTTGGAAATGTGTTTTGAACAGGTACCGATTGCACCATCAAAACAACCGCGCAGGTTGGACAATGAACAAGCTCGACTCACTCTATCAAACATCCATCCTGGCATGGCGTGAGACTACTCCTCATACATTGAATTGTATTCAAGACTTCCTTTAGCGGTCAACGGCGTGAGATGTTGCCGGGCGCACTAGTGCTACTATTGTTCTGGAGATGCCAGCTTCAAATAGTTCGTTCTGTAGAGCTTTCGCAGATGTCAGGCCCTGGAGGTTGAATTGGTGAATGAGGGCAAATTCCTCGAAAGCAAGAGGATATATACCAGAGAAACCCCAGTCAATAACGGCGATCTGTTCGCCAACTTTGATGTACTTCTATGTAAGATCGCAATGTCGCAATGGCAGAGGTGAAACGTCTCCCCCTGCATTGCGACCCGGTTTGGATGACATTTTTCTTCCATCTTGCCGTTAACCCAGCCTTCCAGCTCGAACAGGTTGTGAAACCGACGACCTGCCCCGCAGTCGGAGAAGAATCTGTCAACGGAGATCTCTCGCTCAAACGGCCCTAGGGGATATTTTTTTTTGGCGGTGGAATATCCCAAATATGGTAGACCGTGGTCGTGATAGCCTTGAGCGTTTGCTTGGCTGCTTCTCCATTCTTGTTTGCTTTCCTCCAGGCGTTGTAATCCGGTGCCAGTATATGTTCCATGACAATATATGTCCCAGCGCTCCCCCCAGCCTTTTATGCTGAAAACGTTGAAAACCGCAGGAATGTGGGCGATACGAGGGTCGGCATTCTCGCGTACATATTTTAGCGTGGCCACTTCTGCCAACCTCACCTGCCAGCCGGATTTAACCCAAACCCGGTCGTTGTAGTGCAATGCCGGTGGTCCTTGGTTCCGTCACTTCTTTACAGCGAGCCACAACAGCGTCGCGCGAAGGTGCTGGGTTTGAGGCACTTCTTGGGCAAAGCATGCGGTGTGTTCTGGGAGCTGCAATCGGAGGAGTCGCAAGCCTCTGCTACTTGCAAGCCAAGAGAGGATTGATTCGACACTTGAGTAGTAGGGGTCAGGACTCGAGGAATTCACGCCCACGCTCGGCGCGGACGTTGTCCCACCCGAGCGAGCCTCCGGTCTGCAGTGAAGTGGGCATGAAAATGAAGAACGAGGAAAATGACCCAAGTTCACATAACCCACCACCAGTAGGTAGACGTGCAAACAAGAGCGTCGGTTCCTGCTGAATTGTAAGAATGTACAGTTGACACCTGCCCTTTCCCCCCTTTAAATCCTGTTATAGAGTAGTTATAAGGGGGAAGTCTAGCCTCCTTGGAGATAGTCCTAGCTTTGTTCTTGTTAGGGCTGCCGGGAGAGTTTGAGGATAGATGGCAAGGAACCTGTACAGGAATAAAATAATGTGATATGCTGTGCTGGTTTTGAAACGCCTTGCGGCATTTACCACACCGCCTCCGTTCGCGCATTTCAAAGTGTGCCTCGTATTCGCTTGGCACAATCGTCGGCACCTCAAGCAGGCAACAGAGGTCGAACAGGTATGCGAGTCTGTCGAAGACCACAGCAGTCTTTTCTTCTCTCGCAGGCAGGGCATTCCCATTGTCCCTTAGATGAAGGAAATGATGATCATGGCTACCCAGTGGGGAGAGAACAACCCAGAAGCCATCTTTGAGTTTGAACTTAATCGGCCAAGGGCAGAGAGTCTTTTGACTGTAGTGAAGTGTACTTTCCAACTTCTTGCGCAGTAAAAAATCGCAGGTTACAGTCTTCTGCTCGCTTACGCCAGAGGTCATGGGAAAGCCAATGATGGAGAACTTGTGCGACGGCCCCAGGCGATGGGCTGATTGGTAGCAATAATTCCGCACGCCTGGAGCAAACCAGCCTTCAATCTGTTTCCAGACAGAGTATCTTCCTGCGCCTTCTCTTTCTTCCAAGGGATTGCTGTCTCGAGGTTTCTTTTGTAGACATGTCTACTAAGCTGGAGGAATGCTTAGGAATGATGATAGATTGACTTCGGAGGGACATCGCGTATAGTGGCTTGTGTCGCGTGCAGAAGCTGCCAGGCCGCTTGCGTTTGTGAAACATCTTGCTCTTGATAGGTACCTTGATTGGCAATGGAATGAGAAAGGCAATTTTTATACAAGGCTTACCGACGCTTGGGAGTGGTGGCAGGGTTGGGAACCGGATCACGCGCCGCATCGACGTCCTCAGCGCTCGGGCCATGGGTTTGACGCCACCCGGGCGGTTGGATCGTCCCCATGGTGAAAAGCAACCGATTTCGAAGTGATCCAAGGTGAAAAGCGTGAGAAGTTCAATTTGGTCAGAGTTGTGGTCAACTTTGAGGCTTGCCGAACATTTATTTGGGAGAGGAGGTGCTTGCACGACCCGGCATTCTTGATTGGATTGGCTGGGTCGAGGGGCTCCCGGCGGTGGACAAACAAAACTTCCGGCCAATCTCGGTTCCTTTCGAGCGCATTTTTGAGGACGAGGAAAGAGCGTACCTGGGTCCTTGGACGGACGCCAGGGAAAAACCGGAGGCTCTGCTTCAGTGCTTGCACTTTTTTCCTTTCCTTTCTCCGTGTTTACCAGCCAATAACTTCCCAGCATTGCGCGGAGCCATTGAATTCACCAAGAAAAATACACAAGAGGAGAAAAGAAAAAAAAGGAAAAACACGCCAATTGAGCCATGCTGCGGTCCAAGTCATCCAAAGCGTTGGCCTCGGGCCTTGTCAAGAGCTCCATACCGAGCACACCGAGACCGAGGGCCGGACGAGCTGCTAATGCTGCAGCATCCTCAGCCAGACACGGCGGCGCCGTTGCATGGACCCCGCAGCTACAAGCACAGCTCAACTCCCGAATCTCGTCGTACCGAAGCATTCACAGCACCGCAAGCAACATGGCTCAAGCTACGCGAACCGAGAGCGACGCCTTTGGCGAGATCCAGGTCCCCGCGGACAAGTACTGGGGGGCCCAGACGGAGCGATCCCTCGAGAACTTTCGCATCAACCAGCCCCAGGATCGCATGCCGCCTCCCATTGTCAAGGCTTTTGGAATCCTGAAGGGAGCCGCTGCGACGGTGAACATGCGATATGGCCTGGGTGAGTGCTGCGTGACGTGTGACGAGTGACGTGTGACGTGTGCCTCGACATACATGTCTTGGGTGGCCGGAGCACCATGGGATGGGTGCGTCAAGACCTCGATTCAATGTTCCTACTTGACGGCTGGCTGCCACCACCACCGACTCCGTGAGCGGATTGCACCAACACAATACTTACTTCTCCCAGACCCCAAGATCGGACAAGCCATCCAGCAAGCCGCCAAGGAGGTTGCTGATGGCAAGCTCATGGATCACTTCCCGCTCGTCGTCTGGCAGACCGGCTCCGGCACCCAGTCCAACATGAACGCCAACGAAGTCATCTCCAACCGCGCCATCGAGATTCTCGGCGGCGAGAAGGGCACCAAGAAGCCAGTCCACCCCAACGACCACGTCAACCGCAGCGCCTCCTCCAACGACACCTTCCCGACCGTCATGCACATAGCTGCCGTCCTTGAGCTCGAGAACGACCTGCTCCCCGCCCTCCGAAGCCTCCGCAACGCTCTCCAGGCCAAGGTCGACGAGTTCGAGGCCAAGAAGATTATCAAGATCGGCCGCACTCACTTGCAGGATGCCACTCCCCTGACTCTCGCCCAGGAGTTCTCCGGCTACGTCGCCCAGCTCGACTTTGGCATCCAGCGCGTCGAGGGCTCTATCCCCGACCTCCGTCTGCTCGCCCAGGGCGGCACCGCCGTCGGTACCGGAATCAACACCTTCCAGGGATTCGCAGAGGCCATAGCCGAGGAAGTCACCAAGATGACGGGCACCGACTTCAAGACCGCCCCCAACAAGTTTGAGGCCCTCGCCGCCCACGACGCCATCGTCCAGGCCCACGGCAGCCTCAATACCGTCGCCACCTCTCTGACCAAGATTGCCCAGGACATTCGCTACCTGGGCAGCGGCCCCCGCTGCGGCCTCGGCGAACTGGCCCTCCCCGAGAACGAGCCAGGCAGCAGCATCATGCCCGGCAAGGTCAACCCCACGCAGTGCGAGGCCCTGACCATGGTCTGCGCCCAAGTCATGGGCAACAACGTGGCCACCACCATTGGCGGCATGAACGGCCAATTTGAGCTCAACGTCTACAAACCTCTCGTCATCCGCAACCTGCTGCACAGCTCTCGCCTCCTCTCCGACGGCATGCGCTCCTTTGAGAAGAACCTCGTTGCTGGCCTGCAGGCCAACGAGGACAAGATTTCTCAGATCATGAAGGAATCGTGAGTCCTACCCCGCCCCCTCTTTCATTCAAATTCTTAGATGCCAGACCAGGAAGCTGACACGTCTAAGCCTCATGCTCGTCACCTGCCTCAACCCCAAAATTGGATACGACATGGCGTCCAAGGTCGCCAAGAACGCTCACAAGAAGGGCCTTACCCTGAAGCAGAGCGCCATGGAGCTCAAGGCTCTCACTGAGGAAGAATTCGACGCACTCGTCAAGCCGGAGCTCATGATTGGGCCCAGCCAACACAAGCCATGAGTTTGTGGGAGTCGAGGGACATGCTGCGTTACATTGAGATGCCACGAATCAAATGCATGTTAAACTCCAAGAATTAAATAAAAAAGCCTCTATATGTAGAACAAGAATCTAGTCGATTCGGTACAGCAGCGTGGCGACGTGGCAAGTGTAAAATTAAACTATGTCTGTTGTAGAAAGTTGTCATGTAAACGAGCTAGATATATGATCTGACCGGCATCTGAAATGTATGTTACCGGTTCCATGATGCTCAGATGAGTCGTCTTGGCCTGCATTATCATACGAATGCCTCTCTCCGTCCCGCGCCCCAGTCATGGGCTTCCCCGGAGGAATAGCTAGTGATCAGCAATCTTGGACGTCCGAGCAACACGCATAGTCTGGTCCTCTGCAGTTCGGGACCCAACCACCTCAACGCAAATTATTCCCTGGATGTAGTACATTTTCCCGCAGTCAAGTGACTGTCTGAACTCCCCGTGTATACTGGCGCCATCACTGCCTACCTCTTGCAACATCTAGTGATCCTCCAAACCAAGCATGGCTGCCAACTGGAAAACAGAAGCCTCGCCCGACTGCGAGTCACGGTTGACGGCGTACTCGGTAATGTCCTCAGTTATATCGCCCTCATCCTGCTGTAGAGTTTTGTCACTAGCTGGAATGGCGTCACTTTCCCGGACAGGGTCGTTTCCCTTCAAGCTAGTCGTGTGACCACCAGGAGCCTCTCCAATTTCCGACAGGCTAGAAAGAGCGCCCTGTTTCGTGCTGCTGTTTGTGTCGGCGTTGCGCAGCGCCGTAGCCGTTGCACCGCCGATAGGCTCAAGACGACCTTCCACGTCTGAGCGGCTGTTGAACAGACGAGCCCGCCGAGCTGCGGCCAGAACGGAGTCGCCTGGCTTGTACTTGTCACCCATGGCAAGTCGAATCATGACCCAGTGGAAGATCCAGGGAAAACTGATAAACGGCACGTTTTGCTTCGTGCGCTCGCTCGAGTCGGACATGTCATATTCGACGGATCCTTCGACGCCACCGATTCGCGCCTCCTCGACCTGTTCCGCGGTCACTTTATACATGGCAGCAACAAACCTATCCAGCTGGGGCCCTTCGCTGCCGCCAGCGACATTGCAGCACTGCTCTCTGAACCGCTGCTTTACAACGTTGAATTCGAGGCCCACGTCTTCCTGTTTCTTGTAATTGTTCGTGATGCCATTGCTGGACATGACCCAGCCCGTGTACAGTTCAAACTCGGTCTCGACATGGTGCTGGACCAACAGTCGCCGTATGGCAGAATCATACTGCGCCTTGATTGCTCTGGCTGCGGTGAAGGTATCATCGTCTGCTTCATATTTATCGAGGATTCTCTTGTCGAACGAGTGCTCCCATTCAGGACGGAATTGGAATGTGTGCTTGATCACTTCGTCGTATAAAGCCCCCAAGGCCTTGTGTGACCAATAAGTCGACCTTTTCTCAATGTGCGCCCTCAGGTCTTTGTGCGACTGATAAGTCGACCTTTTCTCCATAAAGTGTGGCCATTTTTTTGGTTGCATTTGAGCACTAAATTCTGCTGGTTCTCCGGTTTTCGCAAAGTCTACGGCTTGAGAATGCAACTCTGCCAGCCTCAAGCCTTAATCATACATGAACATATTAGCACTGACGGCCCACTGGTTGATTTTCAGTCCAAAAATCTGCTTACATCTTGGTGCCTCTGGTCCATACCTGTCCGCAAGTGCCAGATGCGCGACTGCAACGAGACCCAGAGAATCGTTTTTCATGTAGTTTATGAAAAATTCGCGTAAAGCATCAACCGAAACGTTCCCGTCCAGTTGTCGGGGCTCTTTGGCTCGGTAGTCCATGGGCTTGCGATTCCATTGCATGGGAATAAGCTCCTGATCCCATATGACAAAAAAGTCATCACCATCGAGGTCACCCCCAGAAAGCATGTGTGGGACCGGCCGATCTCCTTTTGACGGAAAGACGACAACATCTTTCAAGTGTCGAAGCTCGGGGTTATCCACGGCCTCGACAACTCGAATGTCTCCTGGGTGGAGTGATGGGTTTCTTCCCACTATGCAAAGCCCTTGTATGATCTTTGTTTTCCCGTATTGTTTTGGGTCCGTAAGTTGTAAGAAGATCTGGGGGAGTTTCTTGATATCCTTGTCAGCACTGCCTTCGGTCTCAGTAGAATGACCTCGCAAAGTTCCGCTTTCGTCCGCACACCCGAGGACGAAGGCGCTATTTGGCACGTGTATCCTTGCCTTTTCCTTCAAGAGGCGTAGTGACCAAGACACCCAGAGATTCAAAAGGTTTACAGTGAATGGATCCCGCACGTTATCTGTCTTGAACCCAGCCTTTAAAAGTTCGGCCAGAACCAATGAAGACTGATTTTCATCCACAAACTTGGTCAGTAATTCAATGGCCTTGGAGTTGTCTTTTGCTGCACTCTCAACCCAGTTTACTTGTTGCTTTAAAAGCTTCATGAAAGCCTCTCTTCGCACCCCCAGACTTTCCAATATTGTAATTGTTTGTCGATTTAGAGTCGCGGTCGAACAGGTCGCGCAGCGTACAATTTCCAGAGCCTGAAAGTTGGATTTGAACTTTTCTTGAGAATTTCTGATGTGAACCTCCATGCCTTGGGCCTGTGGCCAAACTGCAAGAACCCCTTTACAGCCTCCCATGCGAAATTGAAACGCCGTTGGCTGATCGAATATGTCTAGAGTCATTTCTTCAACTATGAGCTGAGAAAGAAACTTCGATATGCGCCCCACGCCGTCAGTGAAACAGTAATCATTGCGCTGTATATCGTCAATGCGTTTAATATGAGGCACCCATATGCCTCGGATATCCCGTGTCGTTGAAAAGCATTGGCCCAGACGAGCTGCATATTTGGCAACGCACTTGATGTGATCAAATTGTCCCATCCATGCGCGAATGTTGTCGCAGGATACATGGGCAGTAGGGCAGAAAAAATAGGCACTGCTCTGTCTCAACTGTGAGCTCCCAAACGCCAGAAACTCGTACCGTCGATCCCCAATGCGAATACCTTGGAACAAGGCTCTCTCGATGCGTTTCCAGATTTTGTCATTATTATAGTTTGATTTTCCAAGTCGGTCCAACTCGGACTCTTCGACAAATTGCACTCGAAGAAATCGGTCCTGCAGGTGGCTGTACTTCCGAACGACTCGGTTGGATGTCTCCACGGTCGGAGAGTTGAAGCGGATAGTCGTGGGGGTTATAGACGCTTTGCGAACATAGGTGCAATAATGCGGAATTCTTGTGGACGGAACAAAGGCTTTCGCATCTTCCATGCCGAAAAGTTTCATGGGATCAAGCAGTCTTGTGTTTTGGTCGACAAGGTATTCTAGCCGACGGGTTGCATCCAGGGGTTGGAGGCTGTTGAGTTCTTTCAAGAAGTCCATGCCGATTGTGTATTCGTTTAAAATACCCCGAGATACACACACCTCGAGCTGGTAGCGAACTTGAAAAGGCAAATGTATCTTTTGTGGCATACTAAGCAGAGCAGAAGGCTGGCTGGCCCGCACCGCCGATGGATGCTCGAGGTAATCCCACATGCTGGGGGCTTCTGTCATGGTGTCGAAGTCACAACTTGGGCGGACCAGTACATTGAGGCCTTTGAAAGCAGCCTGGAGATGCGAGTATGACTTCGAATTCTCTGCTCTTTCGGAATTAAAGGATAGACGGAAAGTAGTCCACCGCCCGATATCGATATGTTCGTCAGGCTGCACCTCATCGTGCATAGAAATTGGGTGCGTTGGTGGGTCATTATCAAATGGAGAAATCTCTGTAGCTCTTTGCCAAGTATAGGCCGAGTGCCATCTTTCAGGATTGCCTTGCAAGACTTCTAAGAGGTTGTCTACTTTCCCAAAATATTCTGGAGGATAGGGAAGAGATACAACCCAATGCCGTAGCTCCTTGTTGGCTGTAGTAGACTCCAGGATAGTTTTGATTTTGGAGATTGGAAATCTCACTTGAAATTCCTTGGAACTTTCCCACCCGCCGACGTGGGAGATGGTAGAGAACGAGGCGGTCATGACTTGCTTTGTCACATGGAGTTCCAGCGGTATGCCTCCTGGCGGTTCGATGGTTTTCATCACTCGCATCAAGGATGGGCCCAGCATACTGCCGAAGGCAAGAGAATCGAGCTCGAGTGTAATTCTGTCTGCACAACTGAGCGTCATGACCGATGGCTTCTCCACCACAAGAGACACCCTCACTTTGAGTCTTTTTGGATGCCGTTGAATATTCTGATGCTCGACTTGGACGGGTTCGCGGCCCCAGAAGCTGCGCCGTGGCGGAGGCTGAAAACAAAGCCTCGCAGATCTGGAGGCCCTGGCGCCAAAAATGTATATCCACAATATCTTGCCCTCTGATGCAAACCATCGGTAAATATGCTCTGTGGAAACGTCGGCGGGCAGGTCGTCAACTCTGATGGTTAAGTGCGGTCTAGTTTGCCATCCTTTTTGAGAGTCCGAGGACAGAGTCGAAGCAGCTCTTTGTCTGGCCGTTGCACGATGTGGAAACATACTTACCTACCTACCTAGACAGGTATGTATCTAGGTGGTTAGTTGCCAAGGGGGGGGACGATATGGGTCCTTGTTGAGGTTGAAGGTGAAGGCGTTCAACACGAACACAGGTACACAAACAAGTGTAACAGGTGAATCGTAATACAGCAGCGGATATTTAATATTGCGCTTCCCGATGTGTGGAGCTACGGACGTTTGTAAGGAGCGCAACCGGTTCTCTCTTTTGTTAACTTCTAAAATTTAAGTATTGCAAGCATACTAGTTATTGTACATTAGTTTAGTAGCTATACTAAAAATTTCGACTTGTATATTTAGTATCAATCCTTTTTCCATAAAGGTTTCAGAATTTAGCAAGATATGTTCAAGCCTAAAACGCTTCAATAAAAGCTAGTAAAAGTAATAAATTAAAGAATATAAAAAGTACTAAACTTAGTAGATTTAGCGAGCTATGTTCAATAAAGTAAGCCTCCTAAGATAACAGTAACTCGTCGAGTTTAAAGCAAATACGCCTTGAAGTCTTTAACAGCTAAAGATACTAACATTAGATACTAGAATTAGATTATTAAAATAAAGCCAAGTGCTGCGGCTTTGGCCGCCCAACGAGGCCTCTTGGGAGTTGTGACTTCCAAACAAACCTAAGCCGCCCTGGTCTTTGGCGCCATTGGCCGTAGACCCTTGTAGTATTACAGTTTACTACAAACCCAGTCACGCCGTCTGTCTAATGTTTGTCGTCACGTCAGTACTCACAACACTGTATATCGCCCTCAAGCTCTCTACTGGAGTTGGGCGTGCTGCAGGCCAACAAGTTTGTCCAGGTTGTCCAGGTTGCTGCTACAGCTATTCCCTTCGGCCCGAGTCCCAAGCAACACAGGATGGATGCTGGACGCTTTATCCCACAGGCAGGTGTACAGACATTCCGCTGACGACATTTAGCAATTACCTAGACTTTGAATGTACCCAGGGCTCATCAAATAGCTCTGCCGCTGTGACCCCCTCCTCTGGTACCCGGCAAAGCATCCTCTCCATAAATTCACGAACAAGTCTGCTTGGTCCTCTTCACCAACACACCTAGGCAGCTCGTTCTGAACTGGACGCGCACGGGGTAAGTTGGCTAAGAGAGACACGTGACGCCTGGTACTGGTACGTACACGTGCCTACAAGCCCCCAACGTCGGGCCCAGGCTCAGAATGTGAGAAGGGTGAACCGCTATAGGGCTAGCGCCGAACGGCACAGGGGAAAATGACGTTGCCGACGGCGTCGGTGCCAGCCAGTATGAAAACTTTGGAGCTGTTCGAGGGACCTGGCTAGAAGTGGAAAAGCCAGCGCACAGCACGCAGCAAGCAGCGTTGCATCCACAAACCCTGTCAAGTGTCCGCTGTACCTACTGATTTACCTTGGCACGTACCCGGTACGACTTCACCGGACCATTCACAGCCTTGAGACGGGTCATTCACCTGATAGAATACCGGGGTACTGGTACTCGCAAGCCACGCGACACGACCAGGAGAGTGGGAAGGCGCAACCCTGCAAAGTAACCAAATAACTAACCAGGCGCCCTCGTCCCTCGTCCCTCGTCGGTCGTCCCTCGTCCCTCGTCAAACCCGTCAAACTTTGAGTCCTGGATACACACAGCATCCCTTTCTCTTCCCAGTCTGCGTGTCTACTGTCCCTAGACTCGCGCGCGCGGATCTGATTCTGATCAAAAGGCCAAGTGCCGCTGCCGTGGGCTGACTACTGATCTGACGTATCTCCTTTCTTGCCTGGCCGCTACTTCTTGGTTGAGCCTGCGATTGTCCGAACCGAGTCGATTCTCCCACGTCCCACACCCCTTTCGAATTTTGCACCGACCTGTCGACTGCGTGCATAATATTGTCGTGGCACGCCGGTTAGTTCTGCTTCAACAGTCAATCGAAGCCACGCGCGTGTACGCTCACCTAACACTCGTATTTTCCTAGTTGCCCTCGCACGTCGTCCAAGATGGTCTACCTCCGACACAACCAGCTTCCGGCGCTGAAGGAGTACAAGTACTCGGCGGTCGATCGCTCGCTCACGTCCAAGTACATCCTCAAGCCGTTCTACAATAACTTCGTCATCAAGCTGTTTCCTATGAGCATGGCACCCAATTTGATCACGCTCACTGGTTTCCTGTTTGTGGTAATCAACGTCTTGACCCTCCTGTGGTATAATCCTACCCTCGACCAGGACTGTCCCGCTTGGGTCTATTTCAGCTGGGCTCTGGGTCTCTTCCTTTACCAGACTTTTGATGCCGTCGACGGTGCTCAAGCGTGAGTCTATACCCCACCGCTTCTGATGACATGCTCCTTGTGGCATCTCAGCGTCAAATTCGGAATGGAACCGGAGCCTGGCCTCCACGATGGAACGTTTGCAACTAATGCAACCTGTAGACGCCGGACGAAGCAATCCGGTCCCCTCGGAGAGCTCTTTGACCACGGTGTTGATGCTCTAAACACTAGTCTCGAGGTCCTCATTTTCGCTGCCTCTCAAAACATGGGCCAAGGATGGAAGACGGTTGCTACTCTGTTTGCTTGTAGGTCCGCGTGCGCACACTTCTCCTAATGATGTGCAGGGTTGGAAAGTCGTTTGCTAACGTCTCTCTGAGCTGCAGCGCTCCTTACTTTCTACGTTCAGACCTGGGATGAGTACCACACCAAGACTCTCACCCTTGGCATCGTCAACGGTCCGGTAGAAGGTGTCTTGATTTTGGTCGCCGTATATACCCTCACCGGTTTGCTTGGCGGAGCTCACATCTGGCAACAGAGCATGCTGAAAACTATTGGTATTCCCGAGACTCTGGGGATCCCCAAACTCGTTTACGAGCTCTCCTTCACCGAGTGGTACCTCGCCCAAGGCGCCGTCGTCCTAGTCCTCAACACTGTCGAGTCCTCGTTCAACGTCATCCGAGCCCGTCACAACCGTGGTGACCGCTCACGCGGAGCTCTTGTCGGCCTACTACCGTTTTTTGGCATGTGGGCTATGATCGTCACCTACCTGCACCTGCAGCCTCACATTTTGTACCACCACCTCGTTCCCTTTGTGCTTTTCGCCGGTATTGTCAATGCCTACAGCGTTGGACGGATGATCACGGCCCACCTCGTCAAGCTTCCTTTCCCTTACTGGAATGTTCTCAGCATTCCCCTAGCATGCGGCGTCATCGATGCTCTTGGACCCGTTTTCGTCAGACGATTCGGCGTTGGCTGGCCCAGCGCTCTTGGACACGATGAATACCAGGTTTCTTTTGTTTTCCTCATCCTTGGTATCGCCCTCGGTGTCTATGGCAGCTTTGTCGTTGATGTCATCGTGTCCATATGTGACTACCTCGATATTTGGTGCTTGACCATCAAGCACCCTTCTGACGAGTTCGTCCCGAAGATGAATGGCGAGAAGATACATTAGACAGCCGCTCTGTCGGGGTTGACTCTCCCAAAACCGGAAACGAAAAATGTGTGAGGGCTGCAGTAATGGCGCGGAACAGTTGCGAGTAAATATCTGGTTACACGATGAAGAGACGAACAGAGGAGAGATTTAGGGACACACTAGATGATGGATTAGGACGTGTGAGAACGAAAGCCATGGGTCACGCGCATAGAGATACAAGTGGCCAGCGAAAAGTGCGGGTTTCCGGTGCCAAGGAGCTGGATCGCACCATTGTCGGTGCCGTCTGTGCTGCTTTGTGAAACGGACACGGAAACCGCGGCGCTGCCGTGGACGCGGGAAAAGAAGAGGGAAGACGTCGTGTTGCAATTTAGGGAACAGACATGTTGTAAGAGTTATGAGGCACGTAGTCTTAAGCGTATCAGTTGCTTTTAGTTTTTACATGGCGTGGATCCTCTGCGCTGCATAATATCGGTCCGTCTTTCTGCTCGCATTCGGCTTCCGCATTGTATTATCAATACGAGACGGATGATGTCCTTGCTGGTCCGCACGAGTGAAGTGCGGGTGGTCACACGGGGCAGAGCTGTCGATGCAGGAGCACATTGTTTGGCTACCGTTGTCGCAATGTATTGACGGACGACGTGGGAGCAGCTCAGTGCAGGAGACGCGTATATCCCGGGGAGACGAACGAAGCGGTGCGGCGAAATAAAATAAGATAAAATAAAATAAAATAAAATAAAAAGAGCAGCCTGTATTGAAAGTGAACCTGGCAATACATGTCTGCGTGAAATATTAATAGATTGAAACTGAAGAACAAAATAATAAAACCAAAACCTCCTGCACTCCGTCCTCGACCCAACGCCTCCCGTGGCGTCGCCCCAAATTTCCACCAGGAAAAGATGGCCGTCCAGATCATGGCATCGGCTTCAGACACTTCGCTTGTTGGCCTGGTGGCCGTGGCCGTGGCCGTGGCCGTGGCCACGCATCGATGCTCTCTGGTGACGCACAAGCTCCCGCAAGTCCACGCCCCAACAGAGCTGCTGCCATGATGCCGATTACCCAGTAGTGCAAATCAGCAAACAATGGCCAGGGGCCATGCTTGGCGGACGACGTCGGACAATGATTACTGCCATTACCCAGCTTGCGCCAGCCGCGGTACCAAATGCAAAACCCATCAGGCGGTGGTGTAACTACAGCGCCGCATGCGCCGCCAAATACTGACGAGCAGCGAAAAGCACGTCTCATGTTTTAGCTCCCAAAACCCACAAGTGACAGCCAGTCCGACGCCTTTTGAATTCGAAATACCCCTTTCACCAAAACACCTTGTTTGAAGCCCTACTGCTCCGACATGACTTGCATGGACATGGCCCTACAACGTCAAACCTATATCAGAGCCAAGGCATTGTACGTGACCTTTTCAGCCCAAGCCGGTTGGGCGATTACAAAAGGTCATCGGTGCCACTCGCTACGCTTTGTTCCATGGCACTGACAATGGAGCGTTCCGAAAAGACAGGGCCTTGCCCGTCACACAGAGCACAGGATTTCAACCTTTCGCTGACATCACCAACGTCAACAAGGCCTCGTTTGTAGAGGTCGTGATTGATGATGAAGTCCCAAGTTGCGCCAGCAGCGAGCAGGCGCTCTCCATCGTCAGAGGTGACAATGCGATGTGAGGGGAACTTGTTCTGGTGGTGTTGAAGAACGTTGGAGTAAAAGTCGGTGGGGTTATACTTCATGGGGCCGGTTGTTGTTGGTTCAGGAGAGTGCGAAAGACGGTGTCCGTTGCTCACTGAGGAAGTGGCTCTCAGGATTTCGTTTTCCGTGGAAACCTTCTGCAAATCCCGCTTGAGTCTCTCGTTCTCCACCGACGCCTGCTGCTGCGCGGCCTCCATGTGGGCAAGTTTTGCTTCCAGATCCTTGACATGCTTCTCTTTCCGTTCACGGAACGCACGTTGGCTAAATATGGCCATGTTAAACGTACTTTTCTCCGGTAGGTGTAGGCGAATAAAAAGACATTGGGCACTCACGCTGCGCGATTCTGTGCTTTGCGTCGCGACTGAGCAGGCGTCAGGGAATCGTCCTCGTCACTACCCACCCGAGCATGGTTGCTGTCGTCGGCGCCATCGGACCTGGTTCCCAACAGTGCACCACTGAGATGAGCATTCGAGCTGGAAGCTTGATGGTGAAGCTGTGGGGTTGGTTGCTGGCCAGGATACGTCGCAGGATTCGGGGGAGTCGGCGGACCAGGAAAGCCTGAAGTTTGGTGTCGGGAAGGATTGTGGAATCCTTGATTGTATTCAAAGCCTCGAAACTGGTCAGGATTGGGAACACTGTCAAACACCTCCTGCAAATCGCGAATACCGGTTAGCGAAAAGATGACGGCATGGAGCAATACAAGTACGATGCCTGTGGAAGGGGTGGCAACTTTGGACAAGTGGGAGGAAGCGGATTGGCGGCGTGGTCCCAGTAACTCGGTCCAGAGGGGAGGGACAGCACGAAGAAAAGAGAGCGAAAAACGGGCACGCTATGGCGGGGAGCAGACAGCAGAAATCAATGGAGCGAAGGGTACTGACCGGAGGAGAAGCGGTGTTGTAGTCGTCGGAGCCCGTGGAGTGGGAGTTGGACGGCGTCAGTGGGGGAACACTCATGAAGGACTGGTGGTAGGGCTGACCAGCCGTGAAGGGGAATGGCTGCGACGAGAAGTCCATGGCGGTGCGCGGGTCTGCGACTCTGCGACTGTTGGCTCTTGTGGCTCTGGCAATACGACCCTGTTCTTGCAGAACTGAGGCGGCGGCGAGGGAGATGCAGGAGAGGCGAGCTTGGCGAGCTTGCGACGTAGACGACGTGGACGATGTGGACGATGCGCGACGGTGATGATGGGAGGTTGCGATTGTTGGGAGGAGGCAAGCTACAACGAGAGACGAGACGGAGAGAGCACGGGCAAGCAACCAGAAAGTCAAGCACAGCCTTGGGCGTGATGGGCGATGGTGGGCTGAAGTAGTCGACTGGTGCCCATTTGATGCGTGTCAACGGTGAATTGGTGGCGTTCACAAGCACGTATGGGATGGGGGAGCTGATGCGCAAGATTCAGGCAAGAGCGCCCGGGAGCTTCAAGTGGAAGGCGCGACGGGCGACGGGCGACGGGCGACGGCGGGTCGACCGTTGGGTGCACCGGGGTGGCGCGAGTTGATGCTCACGACGCCGGGACGAAAAGCCAAGGCTTCAGAGGCGTATGCAAGTCTCCAGCGCAGGCCTACAGCAAGAAAACCTGTACCAGACTCTAGTCAGCCCGTACGCTTGGGCGGTTGGCCTGGTACAAGAGGCTGAAGTGCTGATGTCGTCCTGTAGCTTCTTCGAAAGTACTCAAGTAGTTGGCGGGCCAGCAAAGAAGGCAACCGACGACGGTGTTGGTTGATTCGCCAACTCTATAACAGGTCGACTGCAACGTGTACGACCTACAAGGCACCTACTTAATAAGCATCCATGTACTTGGGGGTGTTTTGTGACGTCAGAGCAGATACACACAACCTTGGTATCTACCTAGGCTAGGTTAAGTAGGTAAGTAGGTAATTAGTAATGTACGAATGTACCCGGATAGGTCGATTAATTGATGCTTTGACACGAATTTGAAACACACGACTTTGCTGTGCTGTGTGTGCTTGGATACCGAGGTACTCCAGGAAGAGAAACCTAGGTGCCCAGGTACCCAGTACCTAAGCTGCGCCGTTCCTGGGTTCCACATTGGAGGTGCGCAAGTGGCGTCGCCGGGAATTTTAAGCGTCAATGTGGACCGCCGACTGCCCGCCAAATACACAAGTGGCCCCGGGTGTGCGTTGCTACCTTGGCGGAAGGACCGACCAGTGGGCGCACCTGCCAACAGCAGTCACGACTCACGCACGACTCACCATCGGCATCTTGAAGCAGGAATGACATTGTCCTTTGCATAACCAGCCATTGCAGAAACCCTGCGCCATAACTGCGCGTGTCATTTCCACAGGCAACCACCACTCCCTTGGTCGCATTCTTGTTTCACAGTTTCACAGCTCTGTACTCGTTAGACGCCATGTTGGATGGATATTGGGAGCCCAGGCCCAGCCACCAACCATGACGGGAACATGGCAACCAGGCGAGACTCTCCAATCCCCTCAAGCATGCGCCTCGTCCACGCCAACAAACAAAGGAACTGAGCAACTAGGCTATTAGGCTTTTGCATACACATTCTCGGCCTCAATATCGCTGGATCCGCTCCCACAATCCTCCCGGCAAGCGGCCCCGTTGCCGAAACCTCTGGCCTGCATGGCCGAACCGAGACCGAGTTTCGTATTAGATAACTACTACTTGTTCGCTCCACCCAAGGCAGCGTGGCCATGTTGAATGACATATCTGGCCCCTCTGATGCTGTCGGCTCTCGCTGTCCATTGTTGTGGTGGGAATGGTGATTATACGGGAAACAATCAAGCTGCGGCACCTGGATTCCGGGGCGATTGGGAAACAAAGGGAACTTAACACACAGCACATTGTGTACATGTGCAGCCAAGCAGTCCTCGCCCAAGCCGAATGAGTAATAAGATTTAAACGCACAGGCTTGGAAAAGAGGGTGGTGAGGGCCCTGCCGCCAAGTTTCTAAATCAAAACCATCACTTCAGATGACTGACAGCATCAATAGTCGCTCAAATCTTGTACGACGTTGAGTATGACAGTCCGTCCCGTGTTTCACTCCACAACCCAGGAGTAGGGCTCCTTGTGACCTCCAGGACGGGACAATACTGGCCTCGATGTAGTTATTATCGGGTCTAAAACATTGTCCTAATTGACAGTCAACATGAATGGACGCTCTCAGATATACATGCTCGGCGTCAAGTACTGTTGGCCAGACGCGCGCATGGCTGCTGCAAGGATCGCATCTTCGGCAGGCTTCGAATTCGGTGTACCCAAACATGATGGCCACAAACCAGACTTTGTCATGCTACTTTTGGGGCTGCGATTTGTGCTCGGTTGATTGGTTCTTGGATGGCTTATGCCTTCCGTCTGACATGCGGCATGTCAACCTCACAACGCCACCCAACTAACACATTGGCGGCTGACGCGACCTCTGGGCGCCTTGGAGACACAACGTGGTTGGTCTACCCATGTTGTCCCCAGTCCAGAGTTTAGGAGTAGTGAGATCGTGCAATCCTATCGATCGTGCGTTGGCCGCTAGTCAGTCTGGGACATGGCTCTCAGCTCAAGACACGGTCAGCCGTTAACCATTACAGTGTTAAACCCTGTCCTGTCGATCGCTCGCTTCTATAACAGGCCGAGAAGGTACACAACGGCGCCGTGTAAAGCCTTATTCAGAAGTGGAATCAACCCCGAAGCTTGTGCCACCGCACAATCTTGACATCATGCTCGGTATGTTGGCTGGTCGTCAACGTCGGACATGGTTAATTCCGCCGCCATGACGGAATCATCTGCCTCGAGCTGGCCATCTGTTATTGCCGCTCACCCGATCAAAGGCGCCAAACGCGAAGTGACTGGCGGACATGACAGCTAGTACTGTATGCCACACAACCCTCTCCGCCTTTGACCTCACCACCCACGTGGCCTCCGGCTTCCTACCTTTGACGACGGGATCTGTCGACCACTATTTGGGGCTCAACCAAGCCAACTGATGCCCTGGGCCAGCACCTATCTGCCGCTTGAAACATTGATCGCGGGTCAGGCCGTCAAAGGACCAATCTGTTGCACCTCGAGGGACTTTTGTCGATATCCCAGTACAAATGCAGCCTCGAGCGGCTACACCTTTGGAGAGATTTGATCTCATTTCTTGGGCTCGTATCGTTCAAACTTATTCCCCTTCCAAAAAAGGATATTCAGCGCCCTGTATCTGCCACAGAGCCGTGTGCATAGCCGTTGCGCACTCCATACTGCGACACGCTCTTCTACCTGTACCAGTCATACGTCGACTCGACCCCCGTTGCGCGGCTCGTGGCACCAGTTTCCTGAGAGTATGAGGCGAATCGTTGCGGCGCTCCTCAGGACCCTTGGCGCGGAGAAGAGCCTGCCTACCCATGAGTAAAAGCAAGGCCGATCCGGTTGCGCCGTTTGCGCGGGACTTGCGGCCACGACGTGGATGGCTTGGTTGTCGCTCGCTCCTGCGCGGCTCGTCAACGGCCATGCGTTCCCGCCTTCTGGGTGCTCCCCTCCCACCCCGCCCCTCCAGTCGATAGGCTCGTCCTCCCAGGTCGTCGCCCCTGGGCGTCGTTTTGCGCGGCCAAGTGAGTCCTGACTCCTCAGCACTGCTGTCATGCGGCATCGACTCGGATGCCGGATGGAACGGGATGCCGCTGGCCTCTTCGGCGGGCTCCACATTTCCGCCGTGACCACTGACAACAGGTACTTGAGTAGGTACCCGGGGAGGTAGGTGCAAGTACTTAAGGTAGTACTTGAGTACTCGGTACGTAGCTACTAGGTAAATACTCACTTCAATGTCAGAGGATTCTTTGATGTGAAAAATCATTATGCTTGTTCCTTCCAAGCAACGCACTGGACTGACAATACATCATCACCCCTGCAACCAAGTGCTCACGTACCTGCTCTACGTAGTACGGAGGAGCTGCCAGCCAAGGCAGACGGGAGCCACGTCTACATAGCTTCCTCTGCGCGTCACAGAAACTTTCGAGGATTGCTGTACAAGTCGGCAATGCAAGGCGTGCTTGATGGCAATGAGAGGCAATCACACCACGGTGACAATGCGAGTCCACGGCAAAGACAACCCCATGCCTCAGAGGGAGGACACTGTCGGAAACGCAACATGAGAGCCCAATGAATTATGACTCTATCTGCCCACGAGGCGTCACCTTACACGTCTGCCAACTCCCCGAGGCAGCAAGCAAAAAACAAAAAGGCACGCCCCGACATACTAGTTCAGTATCTGCTTATTGAGCCTTCTGAAACCAGGGCAGCAAATCAAACCACCTTGGCGAAACAATGCTGCAAGTAAAAAAAAAGAAAAAACAAAAACAGAGGCTCGTCGTCATGGAATGATCAAAAGACAAACGGGTGGGGTATATCATAGTGAATAGCACCGGGACGAGTACTTTTTCGGAGCACGTGATGGCTTCTAACCAAAATGCAAGGCGTCCGTTTTTTCGCATGTAAACAGGTTTATATGATGATCGCCGCGCGCAGCACAGCCGAGAATTGGTCGGTGCGGGTGGAAGGCAGTGGCTGCAACGGGCACTCCTCGGTTTTGTTGGAGGAAGCTGGAGTATGGCTCGAGGCGAGAGAGTTCGTTGCCGTCGAGGTTGAAGACCTTGACGGCGTGTTGGGAAGTGCCGCTACATCCCCCGTGTTAGCAGGCAGTCTGGCCATATGGGGCCGACACGGTCAATTCTTGCAGACTTACACGGCAAAAACAGGCAGATGTTCGTGTGTGCTGGCCGTCCGCAAGGTGTCTCTGGTCGTCTGGAACGAGTGCAATGGCCTGTCCATCCGGATGTCCCACACCTTGACTTTGCCGTTGCGGCTGGCACTGACGAGTTCGCGCTGACCGCCTCGCTGCATGTGTACGCTCTTGATCCACTGTCTGTCTGACTCGTCCTTCCATTTCCGCACCATGGAGTCTTGAGGCCGCTGTCTCGTGTCAAACACCCGGACTGCGCCGTCCCCGAAACCGGCAACGAAAATGTTTCCCGTCATTTGATCCGACGTCAGTGAAGTCACGCATGATCCCGATCGCGCAGGTATGTCCATGATGCACGTCTCGTGTGCCGCGTACCACACGCGAATGACCCGTACGTCTCCCGCGACGAGGACCCGGCCCGTTACCTGCTGCCAGTCAAACACCATGCCCGAGTTCACGTTGCTGGGGACCATGTGTGTCAATGCCCGCCATGAGGTTGCCAGCGCAATCTCTCTGTCCGAGTCATAGTTGCGGTATACGCGAATCACGCCGTCTGAAGAACCAGTCAACAAGAAGGCTTGGTCGTCCTCGTTGATGAACTTCATGTCACTAATCTTGGATCCCTGCGGGTTGCCGTTGGAGAATCGGCTCAGACGGCCTTGCTTCTTCCAGTCCCACACGTAGACAGTGTTGCCATCATCTGAAACGGCCAAGTGGTCCTCGTACTGGTGAAATGTCATCTTGGACGGCTGAGCGCCATTGTTTACGATTCCCAGCTGATTGTTCCACTTGTGCGTGCCCGCCATTTGTTTCAGCGGCTGTGTTTCTCTCAACATGGTCTCGTTACGGGCTCGTCTCCAAAGACGCTCGTTGTACTCGGTGCTGCCAGGTTCGTCTGCCTCGCTGGGTTTCATCTGTGGCTCGCGGAAGTATTCAATGGACCATTCGAGGAATCTACTCTTCAGGGGCATGCTGGGAGTACGAGAAAGGTCCCTCTCTTCGAATGCTCCCGTCGTTGGCTCCCGCGCCACGTTGTATGTCGCCGAGCTCGAGTCGCTCTGTTCCGCAGGGGCCGCCATTTGATCTGGTGCGAGCTTGGATGGTGAGCGAGGAGGTACCGGGCTTGCCGGCGTGCTCGGCCGTGATCTCTCCTCGCTCCCTTTGAACGACTGGAAGAGTAGGCTCGCAGTCCTGCGCAAAAGGCCCTGCGAGGGGCCGGGTTGCGTTGCCTGCCCGCCCACCATGATGGATTTCTGAGCAGCGTGAGCCGCACTTCTCGAAATGGCCGTTTGCCTTGCTCGTGTCTGAATCTCTCGCATCAAGAGCTGTGCCGCCTCTCCTACCGTCGAGTTGATCAGAGCATTGTGAATGTAGTCAACGATGATGGTCGCCTCTCGTTGAACCTCTGGGTGCGGGTCCACGCTAAGGATGAGTGCATGTTTCCAGCACGCCATGTACACGGTATTGTGGGAGAGACCATGGGCCATCGGTTTGATTGTCCCGTTCTTGTTGCGATTCTCTGGTCTGGCATAGTGCAGTCCCATCTTGTGGTCCTGGCCGTCGTCCTGGGGCGGAAAGATCAAGTACTCCTTCTCTTCTTGAAGCTGCTCATAAGCTGCGACCAGGAACTTGCTCTCGAATCGAGTCATGAAGTGGGACAGGAAGTCTATGAACTCCTTGCGAACCATGGGACTGCCGTCTGTGCCCATTTCCAGAATGGTCCAGGCAATGGACTCTTCAACACGTGCCACTTCGTCCGTCAAATCGGGAATCCCCAAAAAGGTGGTCATGGCATGTATCATGGCCGCGCGAACCTCACAGCAGGGGTCCCTCATAAGGTATGCCAGCTTAACATAGGCGTTCTCCCTGATCCCTCTCCATTTGGCCTCGGGGAGATCCTGCCATAGCTGGCTAATGCAGAGGCATGCCCACTGTCGGAGGAGGGGGTTATTTTCATTTTGCAGATGAGCCAGGCAGTAGGACATGATATCCGCCTGGTTGCAAACCATCTGGCCATTTTTGTAATCTTTGCAGAGCATCGCAAGAATGAAGGCGCACATGGCCTTGTGCTCGTCGCTGTCCACCACAGGCAGCCCTTCAGACGGCTTCAAGATCTGGGCAAAGTAGCTGTATCCGCTGTCCTTAATAAGGTCCTGTTGGCAAGATATATCCACAGCAATCAATCTCGCCCAAATGAAAACCATGACGGGTTTGAGCTCCGCTGCAGCTGACTGCAATAGCTTCAGAACGTAGGGGAAAATTCCTATGCTTAGGGCCAGCTGCACCGACCAAGGGCCAAGGTCCAAGAATCTACCAAGCAAAATGAGAGCTCGTACTCTGTGTTGCTGGCTGAGCAAGACCTGCAGAACTACCGGAAGTTGATCAGGAGGTTTCTGTGCCATGGCGTCGCCTCTTGTCAAATACACGTCAAAGGCTGTTAATTGTTCTGTAAAAAAAGTGGAATTCTGGTACTCGTACTCGACGCTCTCGCTCTCCTTCCTTTCGAGCATGGGCAACTGCGCCAGCGCCATGTCAACAGCCAAGTCCCACGTTTCCCACAGGTGGTGTTGATGGGTATCAGGCAGGGCTGGGTACGACTGTGGATGACAGCCGTACACGGTCATGACCCTCTGAGCCAGGAGGAAGTTCCTGAACAACGCAGCAACCATCAGGTCTTGACGGAAGAACTTGCGGAACAAGTCTCGAGGCAGCGTCGTCCATGCAATGCTGTCCGTGATTGCCGTGAAGATCCAGTTGAGTTCGCCGAGGGGTGTCCGTCTCTCTTGAAGACGCCCGGGGAGTTGCTTGGCGCGCTCTGGAGTAAGATTGGTCTTGAGGGGATTCTGAAGTACAAAAAACCAGAGCGCCATCTCGATGGGGGTTGTCAAGCACGCTGTGAATAAATCTGCTGGCAACTGTGGGTTGGTCGGGAGGTGCTCCTTGACTGCGCAAGCAGCAAGGTGAATGTAGGGCCGGAAGCTGGTTTTTTCATAATGGGGATCCCTGTCGGCTGCTTCCTCCTCCTCCTCCTCATGTTTCTCGACAAAGCGGTGATAATTGTTCAAGATGTTTCCGGCCTCGGAGCAATCCCAAACGAAGATGGTCGGAGCCTGCAGCCATTGCTGCAAGTCGTACAGAGAAACGGGGATATACTGTGTGTATGTCTTGTTAAACACCCAAATCTCACCAGATGCGGTGGGTTTAGGTACGCCATGGCCGTTGTAGTGCAGCAACACTCGTTCATCCTTGGCATTTCGTCTCAAGGATACGCAAAACTTCTTTGTTTCCTCAACTGACGGATCCAGGTACTGTTTATATCGAGCACGGATTGCCAACGTCTCGTACTGGGCCTGCAAGGCCTTGCCTATGTTCTCTAGCGCCTTCTGTATAGGGGGAACTGTGGGATCGGTCCAGGCTTCGAGTTTTGCTCCGGGGGTCGTCTTGAGCTGATCCGGGGGCTCGACGCCGATATTCAAGCACACCGCAAGGGCAGCGGAGACGGTCTTAAGCCTGTCTCGTTGCCGCCAGTCTTGCAACTCATACTCTAGGCGCTTCGGCTTGCCCGTGGTCTCATGGCGTTTATCGGTAAAATACATGTACCAGTTCTGGGATGACATGATTAGCGAGGGAGCAAATGGTCTCTTCGCTGACTCGGGCTTGCTTGCAAAACAGGTACTCAGCTTTGTCATGTATGCACGACTGTTGCCGATGATTGATTTGCACAACGTATGGATTCACAGCAAATGCCATGAACGGCACATTCCCATTTGCGCAACTCATCAAGGGCCAGCAGAGAGAGGTTGAGAACAGCACCCCCAAGCATGGGATGGACAGAAACATACACTTGCTAATTGTGAGATGATGTGCTCAGACTGATAATGATCCTCGAAGCCATGTCGAGCGCCCCATTGACCAACCTCCTCTTCGGTATCGGACTCTTCGACAGGGCGTGGTGCAAGTTCGCTTTTGGACCGTAGTAAAGGCGGCTTCGCACGAGGTTTCCGCGTCTGGTCTTCATTGTCATCTCTAGACTCGACAAATGCGGCGCCATTCTTCCTATCGGGTACACTGGAGGGGCGTCCGTTGTCTCCGGTGCCATTGGAGAGGTCGTCGCGATCGGGGCTGCTGTCACCTTGACCGCGGAATCTGGAGGTGGACATGTCTGCGTTGCCATTACCAAGGCCATTAGCGGCTGGGACCGACGGGAATGACCCGTTAAAGTCGGATCGCAGCGTCATGGTCGCCCAGTTTCCATGAGGCGGGCGAGGATGCTCGTCTTGTCGCGCGGACGACGACGACGCTCAGAGACGCGGGTTGCCCAAGCGTCAGGTGAAGATGGAGATGTGGAGGAGCTTGGTTGCTCGGCGGAGATGCTGAGGATGGCAACGTGGAACGGAGCTAGCGGGCGCATGTGGCGAAGGGCAGGCGGCTTGGGGCGGCGCGCTCGCGTGAGGGACGGGACGCTGGGGGCAGGCAGGCAGGCAGCTCCAGAGGCTCCAGAGTCCAGACGTCTGCTCTAACTATTGGCGCAGAGGGAGTGGGCCCGGGCGCCGAGTGCTCAAGAAATCAGCACAGCACAGGGCAGCAGCTATCCATTGACCGCCGTCCACCAGGCAGGCAGGAGGGAGGTGACTTGTGTGGGAGTTGCGGGAGATGCGGCCGGGCTGTTCGCTGCCAATTCCATTCCACCAGGGCTCGTCACCAATCCTCATCGAGACCGAGTGGCTGGCGCAGAGCCTGCATCAATCAACTTGATAGACCGTCCGGGTCAAAGTCAGCCGTCATGTCGTGTATGTCATGTCATGTCATGTATGGGCCGCATTGCGGTGAGCCCTGGCCTTGCTTGGCCTGCGTTCCCGTCTTTGCGCCTTCGAGAAGCATCGAGTTTTCCTACGCACTGATAAACAACAGGCTTGTCTAGCGACACAAAATCCCTGCTTGCCCCGTGGCCGAGCCCGATCTTCAACTCCATCGGCTCTTGAGCATCCTCGGAATGCCCAATGCTCACACGGCGACTTATAGAACCAGTCATGACTGCACTTGAGGTGGTCGCGTCCGCGCACCTCGATCAACTCTCTTGTCGGCCCCGACGTGTTTGTCAACTGCATCTAACTGTGCACAGCAAGTTGAAGCTGCCGTCGAGTTACTTCCTCACCGAGTACGATTGGCGCTTTGACGTTGACTGCCTCTAGTGTTTGGCGATTGGTGCGTCCGACACGCTCGTCATGACACATGACGGTCCAACGGCTCCAAGTCGGAATCGCCGTACGCCCAAGGAGCTGTCGACACAAGCGAATCACACACCAACGAAAACGGGCATTACTCCTACCAGATGATTGCCTTTGTCCCGCCTGGTTCGGTTTACAATCGACGCTGTCCACGATGAGCATGGTTTTGGCTTAGCGACATGTGTACAGTGTATCAATGACGCACACGCCTGTTCGAGACCAGCTCATGGCTTTCCCCAGTTTCTCCAGATGCCTAGTACTAACGGAGTTTAGAGTACTGCAGCCAACAACCACCAAACCTGAGCATTTCAAGTAATACCTTGCCTGAGAAGTCAGTACAGACAAGAGGGCTGGGCTAAGCTTTTGTTCTCGGCATGTCGGAGTCCTGCCACGTGCCCGGCTAAAACGTCGATTTTGGCAGGCTAATTGTCGTCATCTTCACCTTCCATCCTCTTTCATGCCAGCAAATCCAGGCTTCAATTGCTCGGCGGAGGTTTGGACCTGATGATTCCACAAAATTTCTGCATGCGTTCATATTCTCGCCGAGCTTGGCAGACCGTTTCGTCCTTGGTCGTGCGCCGGCACCGGCCTAAAACCGATAACCCGTGAGACGTCATGCCATCATGCTTTGAAACGGATTGGGAGTACATGAACCACCGTTGGTACTAGTTGATGGACGGCGTCTTCTACCGCCTCTCCAGCATTGGTCTCCAGCACAGACCCGTATTCATGTCACCTAAGGTTTTGCTCTTTCACAAAGAATCCGTCTTCGAGTCGCGAGAGGATGACCCACATGCCTGCCGCCTTTTCATGGTCTGACGGCGTGCTCAATCATTGACCTTCCCATTGACGCCAAGTCGCTGTCGCATCAACCTAGCGTGGGTTCCTCACTGTCGACCGTGACGGTTCAGCAACACTGGACAGGAAGTAATGGTAAGTGAGAGAATATTTGGCTCATTGTCTTCCGAAGCAACATCTTCTCGACTGAGATGACGCACGCAGGGCCAATGTCAATGTTGTGTGGCGTGTTAATTTTGCGCGGCTGTCGACTGCGACAATTTTGCGTCCGCCCACTGTGAGAGGCGAAGAAGGGGTCGCCAATTGAGTTGCTTCAGGTCGCAGCAGAGCATTAGTGAGGAGTGCCTATTTTCTCAAAGCAACACTACTATAAATGATACCGATGCATTAAGTGCCTGTTTCCTGCCCTTGACAAACATCGCTGGTAGGTAAAAACTTCTGCAATGGCCTACAACCAACAAAGATCACCAAAGTTGGGTCGAGCACAGGATTGGAGAAGGAAGCAACCCGATCCCCCTCCCCTTCTGGGTCAGCATTTATTGAGCTCTTGTATCAAGCGCCAAGTAGAAGTGGTTGAGAGCTTTGTGGAGCGATCTTCGTTTCATGCACGTTTTTTGCCGTGCGAGGTGCAGGTCAAGATCTCCCTACAAAGTACTTGGTGCCTCGGCCAGTCCGAGCCAATGCAAGTCAATCGATACCGTGGCAAACAATCACGGCAGGCTGCAAAGCGATGTTTCTCACGATCAAAGAGCACAAAGGAGGGCACATGCAAACGAACATACAAGACATGCACCTCTTTTCCGTGACGCCATGTCACTTTATCCCTCGTGCGGGAGGAGGTGCCTTGCGTTTCCTGTTTTAAGATTGTAGCGATGATCCTGTCTTTGAGTGAAAAGGGGACGAAGGGCAAGGGGAAAAAAGACGAACACGACGGAAAGAAAAGGCAATGCGCCAGAGAACTTTGCGTGGGCGGATGGGGACGAACCCTGGCAGCAGCCCCTTGATTTCCCTTACACGAAGCGTTGGCTCTCGGTTCTCTTGGCTGATCGGTTGGTGTCGCAAGAGAAGTTGACATCAGATGGGAATGTCTGGTCTCGGGATGAATGCGGGCCGATTCGTACGAGAGAGGAACTGGGTCTTATTAGGCACCTCCGGATAGGTATTCCCTACTCGCACAAGACTTGTGTGTTCTCTTCATGTAGTATTCACACATCCGATGCGGTTGAGGGCAGGCCAAATGTTGAAGCCATCCATGGCAATTGTACGGGCGGGTTCGAGTTTGTCCCTTCCCCTCCTTGTATTTTGTGGTGGCCGTGGCCCGTGACGATAGAGGGGCGGAGTAGGGTTAGGGTTATAGTTGCTCCGTACTTTCCTGGGTGCCGAGGTGATTTAGGCACGTAGCATTTATTACCCGTGAGACTTCAACAGAGACAACTGGGGAAAGGGGTCATTGTCGGGCGGAGCTTGCCCGTTTACTGAAACAAGGGTTGTCATTGGCCAGGGCTGTCGGAATGCTGGCTGCATAGGGGCTTGGGGGCTTAAATGTTCGCTGGCCCCAGGTGTCGGCCTCTAAGTGTGGAACATGGCGCGACGAATGCTCCAATAGGATTTGAGGGCGCTCCTAAATTTTGCTGGTCGTGCTGTGCAGCTTCTGACGCACTGTTCAGCAACAGACCCGCTCAACCGCCCTGACCAAGCTCCGTCTGCCCCAGTTGCCCCGTCCTCCCTGTTCTTCCCCAGTGGTTACATAGCGCATGCGTGCGCCAACTACGGAGTACCTAAGTACGGAGGAGGTTCCTCGCAGGCAGCTCCAATTGATGGCTCGACTTGCCCACGCGCGTGTTCTGGACATCGGAGCTGGAAATGGCACGGGGAGGGGGAGGAGGGGCCATCTGGCCAGCAAGGGGTTGGACCACCGCGTTCCTGCTTTAAATGAGATGTCTGCCACAGGGAATGCGGAGAACGGAGAGCGCAGCGCAATATTTCGTTGATCTCCGATACCCGTGACCTGACAGATTTTTTTTTTTTTTTAATAAGCGACTCAATTCGAACATGCCTCCCAGGTGGCTCAACATGAGAGTGCCTCGCTCCATAACATTCAGTCCGTCTGATGCATCGTGCGATTGTATGTATCACGTAGCAAGAGTACTTACGAATACTAAGTACCTACCTAGGTACTTAAGTACCTAGGTAGTTACCTATTATGTTAAAGTACTTAGTTAGTAGGTAGGCAGGTCCTTCCTTCAATATTGAATGCACACCTCCAATACCGAAGGTGTTCACTACGAGCTGCTCCTTCCCACTGGCAAAAGTTGGCCCTCCCATTTTAGCTCGTAGGCTGCAGCTCGTAGGTCCTGGTCCCTGGACCCGGCCCCGGCCCCGGCCCTGGCTCTGGCCCAGGACAGTACATATTGCAAAGTACATGGACTTCCCGAGCCATCGCCAACCGCCAACCGCCCCCCACCCGCAGACTCCTCGACCTTATGCTCACCCTCAGACAGCTCCCAGTGCACCAGTTGACCGACCATTTTGTCCGGCCTGTCGCATTTTCAAAGACACACATCCTCAGTCACTCCTTTACAGTATAACCGCAGTCCTACGGGCGTCGTCTGTAATAGCACTCCGTACTACTCCGCATCCGTGTCCTAGTCAACTCGGGAGCCAGCCCAGCCACCCACTCGTCTTGTCGTCCGAGGGCTCGAAGCCGCCACCACCACCAGTTGAAGCTCCGCCTGGCCTAGTCAAGTCTCGAGCCTCCCCTGACACGCCCCCGTCTCGTCTGGAATCTCACCCCCGAAAAAGGCGGCTGGACTTGAACCCGTTGACAACCTCCCAAATTCTACTCGGTAGAACTGGCCCGCCGAACTGAATGCTTCCCAGCCATCTTCCGACGCGAGCGCGCCGATTTGCTTCGCCCCCATCTCCAATCCTGCGTCGAGCGCTGTTACCGCCTTCGACCTTGGGCGACTGTTCCGGCCGGCATTGACGTCCGTTTGCTAGAGTGCCCTCATCTCGAATCGAGCGTTCAACGTCGCAACGCCCAGTCAACTGCCAGGGAGCAGGGAGCCCTCGCGTCGGACGACTCATTGGACGACCCATCTATCCGATCCGAAAATATTCTTTTCAAACCGATTCGATTTCGATCTCTTCCCTTTGACCTCGCCGGCTAGCCGGTCCCTGGTTAATCATGGCGTTCTTGTTCAAATCCAAGAAGAACCAGGACCGCGCATTGTCGAGTCGCGATGGTAACTCTGGCTCGCAGGGATCCATTCAGAGTGCCGGTTCTCGCCTGACCCGCGACGAGAAGAATGCCATTGCACAAAGAGCGACTCCCACGGGGAGCCTGAGTTCAGTCGACGAGAATGGTGTTGGGAGCCCGGAACAAGTTCGCCGGGGAGGAAGTTTAGAGCAGGCACAGCCATCATCAGATCTGCCCGTGAGCCACACAATATTTCACCCATGTTTTCAAAGTAACATTCGCACTAACTTGTCTTTTTCTTTTGCCGCACGGTAGCTTCGCAATGGACCACCAGTCTCTAATCCCAATGCCTCTCTCTACCCATGGTCGCAAAGGCGGCTAACATATACCCAAAACCATCCAACCCCTTTTCCCCGATATGGCGCTGCTGTAAATGCCACCGCGTCGAAAGAAGGAGACATATACATGATGGGCGGCCTGATCAATAGCTCAACTGTGAAGGGTGACCTATGGTTGATCGAGGCCGGAGGGAACCTCGCTTGTTATCCTCTAGCGACCACTGCCGAGGGCCCAGGCCCAAGGGTTGGTCACTCCAGTTTACTTGTCGGCAATGCTTTCATTGTTTATGGTGGTGATACCAAAATTGAAGAGTCCGACACTCTGGATGAGACTCTGTACTTGCTGAATACCTGTAAGCAGACTGGCACACTCTTCGAAAACACCAGGCAGAATCTAACAAGAATACTAGCCACGAGGCATTGGTCCCGTGCCTTGCCGGCTGGCCCGAGGCCGTCTGGGCGATATGGTCATTCGCTTAATATTCTTGGCTCCAAGATTTACATCTTTGGAGGCCAGGTCGAAGGCTATTTCATGAATGACCTCTCCGCCTTTGACCTCAATCAATTGCAGTCACCAGCCAACAGGTGGGAGATCCTCCTCCCAGGCGATACCTCTCCCAAGGCGCCGGCTGCCCGCACGAACCACTCAGTGGTCACATTCAACGACAAAATGTACCTGTAAGTATACCTCGCTTTCTCGCGCTGCTCAAAATAGCCACACTGTACTTACTTTGGTAACACAGATTTGGTGGAACAAACGGCTTCCAGTGGTTTAATGACGTGTGGTGCTACGACCCTGCCGTCAACAAATGGGCTCAGCTAGACTGCATTGGCTACATTCCTGCGCCTCGGGAGGGACATGCTGCCGCTCTCGTGGACGATGTCATGTATGTCTTTGGTGGTCGCACCGAGGAAGGGACCGATTTAGGCGATCTCGCGGCCTTCAGAATTTCTTCGCGACGGTGGTATACCTTCCAAAACATGGGGCCATCACCATCAGCTCGATCAGGGCACAGCATGACGAATGTGGGAAAATCGATCGTGGTCCTAGGTGGTGAACCGAGCTCAGCGACGACGACTATCAATGATCTGGGCATCATGTATGTTCTGGATACGACTAAGATTCGGTATCCCAACGATAGTCAGCAGGGCACTCAGAGGGTGACTCAAGGAACGCGGAGGCCAAGTGGGAGTGAAGCACCGAACGCCGCCGCCGCTCGACAGCTGCCCGCTTCCTCGAATGCCCAAGATCCACGGAAGTCAGGCCATCCGTCCGTCACGGCCGCTGCTGCAACACCGACTACTCTTGCCAGCAACCCTCCCAATGGGTACCACTCACCAGCGGGAGGCCCAGAGCTACAGAATCCGGTCGCTCCATCCGCCGCCGCCTTCAGTTCCCCATCCAAACTTCCGAGAGCTGGTGTTGCGCCAAGCCCCGCCGGCCCGCCTCCTCAGGGACCGACGCCGGCTAAACCTACCGTTGAGACTTCTGCCGTCGGGCGGGCCCGAGGAGCTTCCGCAGATCGTGCCGGATCATCTGGCTCTCCACAGACAACCATGGCGCCTCAGGTCGCAGGCATCGCTGGCGAGGTTGATACAGCAATTGTCAACGGACGACGAACCCCAACGCAGGCGTCGGCCGTTGTACAACCAGCACGAACTGGGTCCAGACAGGAATCATCGGCCAGTGACACGGGCAAGGTCCATCAGCGAGGCCACCGTCAGCTGCAAGGCTCGATAGACAGCTCCGCTGAATCTGGGGTTCGGGCTATTCGACCCTCATCACCGCCGCCACCTGCAAGACAGACGAGTAATCCTCTGTCTCGACGTTCTTCCGGCAGAAACTCCCAGACTGTTGCTCTCCTCAAAGAATTAGATTCGTCTAGAAACAGAAATGCTTGGTACGCTTCTGAGCTAGAGTTGGCGCGAAAGTCTGGATATGTGTCAAGTACCGCCATGGCCCCTCTCGATGCCAAGGCCGCCGAAACCTTTGACGACGATGACCGACCACTAATCGAGGCTCTGCTGGCTATGAGGACGGAACTGGCAAATGTGCAGAGCGCAGTAGACAAGCAAGCTATAGTGGCCGCCAAGCAGATTGCCGAGGCAGAAAAACAACGCGACGCAGCCATCCAGGAAGCCGTCTACGCCAAAGCAAAATTGGCGGCGTATTCTGGGGGAAGCTCGTCGAGTACGCCTCAACTGGATGGCGACCGAGACGAGCCGGCAGACCGTTCTGGTGAGATGGGCAAGAAGCTTGCAACGGCACTGCACCTCCACAGGGATCTGAAGCAACAAGTGGAAAGTCTCAAGGCTGAATTGTTGGCGGAGAAAAACGCTCGCCAGCTAGCTGACGATACCACCTCCGCAGCCCAGAAGCGTATGGCCGACCTCGAGAGCTATAGGCAGCAAACATCAACAGAGGTTGAGCGGCTCAAGGCGGAACTACATATCGCGCAGCGAGAGGCTCGAGCGCAGTCTGTCGCTTGTGCAGAAGCTGTAGCGAATTTGGAGCTGATCAAGGTAGAAAGAGGCGAGTTCGAATCCAAATACAACGAGGCCGTTGGCGCATCGAGGGACCACATCGTAACCTTCGAGTCGCTGAGAAGCGCCATTGCTGCCTCACAAGACGCTAGATCACACCTGGAGACGAAGCTTGAGGAGGAAAGACTGGCTCGTGAAACCGTCGAGGAAAAGCTCCACAAGTTGAAAATGGACCACGAAGCTTGCACAACGGAACTGGTGGCATCAACGCAACGATTACGTGATGCTGAAGAACTGGCCGAGAAGCATGCAAATGAAGCCCGAACCCATCGGGAGGCACTGCTCTCTGGCATCGGTAAGATCACAACCAGAGACTTGGCAGACGGAGGCCAGGGGAACAGTGAACGCGTCGTCGCTTTGCAGAACCAACTTGCTACTGCCAACGAGCTGGTGAGGAAGTATCAGCAAGAGGCCGACACCGCAGCCGACAAATTACGTAGCGCCGAGGAGCGAATCGCAGGGCTTGAACAGTATCAGGAGCAGTCAAGCAGGGAGGGTGTGGCCATAAGAAAACAACTCCAGTCGGCCTTGAGGGAGACACAGAGCCTGCAAGCTGGTCATAGCGATTTGAAGAACAAGCTTGCGGCCCAGCAACTCGAGACCAACGCAATGACTGTGCAGCACAATACTCTGAAGGACATCCTGGCGGAACGGGGGATTAGTCCGACTGGCGCTGTCCGCAGTCGTGGTCTGACAAGTACCCCGACTAACTCTTCGAGCGAGCAAAACCGCGTGCGAGACTTGGAGGCGCAGCTTGCCAACGCCACAGCGGCCCACGAAGAGAGCAGACAACAATTTGCATCGCAGCAACAGGAGTCGGAGATTGCTTACCGCGATAAAGTCCAACAACTCGAGAGCGACTACCAATCGGCGGTTCATTACGTCAAGGGAACGGAAAAAATGCTGAAGCAGCTCAAAGACCAACTGACTCGTTACAAGAACGATAATGGACGCCTCAAGTCGCAAATCGACGAGCTGCAAGGTCGACTGGAGGAAGCCGAGGTTGATGGACAGCGATCAGGGTCGCCGACGGCGGACTGGCAAGCAGAGCGAGACTCTCTGCATGATAGAATTGAGGCCCTCGAGGCGGAACTGAAGTCTTCTGAATCTAAGCTGGAGCAGAGACTTGAAGTGATGAAGAAGGAGCTGGCCGACAGTAAGAAGCAACACGACGAAGCTATCGGGGATCTTGACGCGCACAAGAAGGATCTAGAACAACTGCAATCAGAGAACACACTTCTTCAACAGCGGACCAATGACGCGGAGCAAAAGGTGGCTCTCCTACTTGACCAGGTCGAGCACTCGGTGGACAACTATCGACGGCGCAGTCGGCAAATTCCCAGCACGGCTGCTGTGGAAAACACGAATGGCGAAGGCTCTCACGGTCATAGTCGCAATGAGAGCTCCGAAAACGGGAGCGCATATGAGGGTAACAATCTAGATGCTAGAAACAGCGCGGCACTCGACAACCTTGCCAGCGAGCTTGAAACTCTGCGGAGTCACTGGGAAGCTACTAACAAGAACTACCGGTTGAGCACCAATTTCGACTTTGACACTCCCCCGGTCGGGAAGAAGGAGGATGAGGGCTCGACAAATGCCGAACTGAGTGAGAGTCTAGCCGACTGGAGGAAGAGACTCGACACCGAAGACCAGCACGCCGGCAGTGACAAGGCTTAGAAAAGGAGAGCCCGCAAACAAGAAGGGGGGGGGAGGCGTTCATGACCAGAGATTCTGGATATCGCTACGCATTTATGATGAAGACTACATATACCCGGCTGTCGCTACATGTTGGTCTCGCAAAAAGTACAAAGTTTTTTTTTATTTTTTGTCTTTATTCCTCATCTTCTTTTTGGCATTCATATGTTGTACCATGACAAAGGCCAAGTTTATCGAGGCAGTGGACGCAAGAAAAACCCGGAGGCTAGTGGAGTTTTGGAACTTGATGTTTTGTTTAATTTTTTTCCCGTTATTTTATTGCATTTTATTGCAGTTGCACCATCAGTCAGGGCTTGGTGTGAGGACGTTGAGTTCCGCCGAATAACGCTCCTAAATCGACAATGTTTTAAATCAAATTCATCCCAAGAGTTAGCAACTGTCACTACTCTCTTTCTTTTTCTTGCCCTCTGTACCAGTTATGTTTTCTTGGCGATTCGGACGTTTCTTTTCTCTTCTCCCTTTCGTCTCTCAAGGTTTCAACGAGAAGGACCCTGGCGCTCATTTGTCTGGGCACCTTCGTAATTAATGATTGGGGGCCCGAAGAGACAAGAGGGAGGGCCCGTCATGCCAAGTCTATGGTGGAAAAGCGCTGGGTCGGTGGTGTTTGACCTCTGCCAGGGTAATGATGGGCAGCTCAGCACGATGGTCATTGTGACAGTGGGAGTGGGAGTGGATGAGGGACGTCTTCGCCGGGTTTTCGGGAGGCTTTTTGTTTCTTCCGGCCTTGTTGTACACTCCGTCCGTATACGAACGATACATGAGTTGCGCGGGATGATGAATCGAGTCTGTTTCTGGGTTGAAAAGGGCCTTGTGTCTGGGCGTGCATGTTTTCCTCCTATCCACAGGAAGCGTGACTGGCGTTGAGACGAGACCTGGGGGGCGCTTGATCTCGGCTCGCCGTCGGATGTGAAGTTGATGTCCCAGGGCCAGAGCATCTCGAAGGGTATTGATACTCCTCTCCGCCTCACCCAAGGAAGAGCCGTTGCGCACAATCCGGCACGTGTACCTGTCACGCACGCACGGGGCCTTGGAGATTCCGCCAGGACAAGACAAAACCGACACCGTGTGTGCGATTGTCCCCGAGCCGCCATCGCGGCATGTACCTCAGGTAGGTATCTATCTATATATACACATGGGATATATGCACGATGCCCTCGACCTTCCCTCATTCCCCTTCCCTATATGCCATACGCTTTCCCAAAACGCCATGCTCCCTCCCGCGTGCCTTCCTGCCCCCGTACCAGATCATCCACCCGCCGCCGTCAGCCTCCTTTGAATCTTCAAGCACGTCGCGAAATCCACCTTTCTCCCCTCCTTGGGCATGTACTCCCCGCTCGCAATGCACAGCACTCTCATCTTGGCGTCGTACCGCAGCCCAGTCAGCAGCTTGGGCGTGATCAAGAAGTACTGGCTCGTGTGCTCGCGGCACGCAATTTCCACCATGCGCTCGTGCACCATGCGCTCGTTGCGAGGATCCATGCCCTGGTTGATTTCGTCCACCACGCGAAACGGCGACTGCGCCAGAGACTGGAGCGCCATGAGGTAGAAAATCGTCGACACGGCCCGTTCGCCGCCCGACTGGCGATGTGCCGTCAGCTGTTGCAGCGCTTCGTTCTCGCTGCCAATCTGTTAGCGTGTTGCCGCCGCTTCGGCTGCCTGCCTGCCCGTCCGCCGCGTCTCGTCTCGTCTACGTACCGAAACTTGACCATGATGTCCAGAGCCCATTGCGAGAAGTCGTCCTCCTTGTGCACGCGCACTTCGCCCGCGCAGCTTATCTGCTCGAAGTTGTACGCAAACGCGTCGTTGATCTGGGACACGAGCTCCTCTAGCCTGGGCTCCCACTTGCTCATGACCCGGCCAAGCTGCGCGTTCAACGCCTCGAGCTTCTCGTTGGCTCCCTCCATCTTGCGCTTGAGCCGGGCGATTTCCTCTGCGCGCCGTTCAAACTCTCGAATCACATTCGGGTTGGCGTCGTGGATGAGCTCCAGCTTGGCTTCCTCGGCTCCAATCTCCATCTCAACTTCGTGAGGCGACTTGCCGTCGGCGAGCTGGCCATACACCTCGCGTCGGGCCTCGTCCCGGGCGAGGAGCTCCCTAACCGTCTCACCCAGTCGACGCCCAATGTCCTTGGTGCGATTCGTCTCCTCCGCGGCTGCCCGTACGTTCCGTCTCTCCTCTTCCAGCTGACCCATTATGGAAGCATTGCGCTCCTTGAGGCCCTCGACATCGGAATTCGCTTCCATCAGCCAGATTTTTGCCTCGACCAGGCTCAGGTGGGCTTCGCGGATCTTGTCGGCGAGTTTCTTGTGACTGATGACGAGCTTTGCACGCTTGACGACTGCCTTGTCCCATTCATACTGAGTCTCCTGCATGTTCTTTCTAGCCTCTCTCAGGGCCTCCTCATGCATCGCCTTTTGCCGCTCTTCCGATTCTTCCCAGCCTGTTAGCTCTGACGTTCAACCTGGCGCATCTCGATCCATGCATAGCATACCTATCTTTACGGGCAGACTCTGCCACTTTTGGAATTCCTTTTGCAACGCGCTCTTCTCCCTTCGTAGTTCGGCCTGTGTGGCGTGTGACGTGTCAGTTTCCAGCTCTGCGAGGAGGCCATCGGTGTGCACCCACAATCTTGTCAGTGATTTCCTTCTTCTTCTCCTCAATGCCGTCGAGTCTTTCCTTGAGCTTGTCGTGCTCTTCTTTGAGTATCCCTTTCTCGCTGTGTACTTCTGCCAGGCGTCGCTCCAAATCCTTCTTCTCCTGCATGTCAACGGGCTGTGACGTCCAAAACCGTCCATTCGGAATGTTTTTGGTGATTGTCGTCATAGCCTGGGGGCCGTATTCTCTGCGACGGCGGACCGTGAATGTCTGTCTACCCGCTGCCCATTGGTTGATTTTGCCATTGTTGATGAGCCTGTCGTAGGCTTGCTCGTTGTGGTCCTCGAGAGCCACGCCCGACATGTGCAGTCGCTTCTCGGCACAAAGCATCGCCAAGACGGGCTCCGGCCCATCCAGACAGTCAATGGCAAATCCATCCAGACCAAGCTGGGTCAGTTCAGCACCGTCAACGGGGGCCTGAAATGCAGATAGAGGGCTTGAACATGTTCGGACCACGACCGACAAACTCAACACTCGATACAGCTGATTCGTGAGCTTCTTGTAGTCATTCTTGGTCTGGGCCGTAAAGCATACCAGGTCGTCGATTTGGAGGAGAGCTTGTATCTGATCCGTGTACCGCTCGTCTTTCACCGAGCAGCTGATCATTGGGGGCCCAAATACCTCCTTCTCAAATTCGCCTTGGTGTTCCTTGATCCACTCCCAGCCGGTCGATGCTTCGGGAAAGTACTTGCGCATGAATGAAATCTGCTGTCCTTGCTGGGTATCAAAAGCATCGAGCTCGGCTTTTATCGTGGAAATGTCGACGTTCAGACGCTTCGCGTGTTCTTTGGTCGCATCTCTGTCTGACGAGATTTGGCGATGCTCTGACTCCATCTCTCTCATCTTGTGTTCCTCGGCGCGGATTTTCTGGTTCCAATCCCCGGCGTTGAAGTCGGCTGGCCTGTTCCTGAGGTCCGCTTGGAACGCCGTGATCTTCGACCTTGAAGCAGCCAAGTCCTTCCTTTTCGATTCGAACCCCTTGCGCTCGGCGTCTAGCCTGTTGTTCATTTCCTTGGCCAGCTCCGCCGCGGCTGTGATTTCGCGAGCAGCGTCCTGTGCAGCGTGTTCGGCGTCTTTGACAGCCTTCTCCTTGACCGGTATCACGGCCTCTATCTGATGGGCATATTCTTGTTTCATATTGACGGCCTCAAGGGACGGTCCGCTTTCGGATTCCAGCAGCCGCAAAGCCCGTTCTGCCTCTTTCTTGCGCTCTCTCGCCTTGCCATGGTTGTCTCGCGCTTCCGTGTATCTGGCCAAGACCAAGGCCGCCTGCAGATCCCGGACTTTTTCCTGTATCTCCTCTCTTTCGCGGATCCTATCCACGTCTGCCTGGAGACCTTGCTGGCGATTCTCCATGGTTTTCAGGGCATCCGCATCGACGTGGACGGCGTTGGCCAGCTCCTTCTTTTCCCTGTGCATCTCTTGCAGTTGGCCCTGCCACAGGAGCATTTCTTCCGGGGCGGCGGCGCGAAGAGTCTCGTGGAGTAGATCAACGGGCGTACAGGCGGCGAATTCAACGACCCGGTCCTGGGGCAGGAACTGGCACAGATTATCCACCTGAATCTTCAGAGACCTCATCAGCTCCTGTATTTTCTTGTGACTCGTCTCTTTTCCGTTGAGCCACCACTTTTGACTGTTTTGTTCGCGGCGGATCTGGACTTTGATGACGTAGTTGCTCCGGTCTCCGGGCTTCTTCTGAAGTTCGGTCTCGATGGTGGCCGTGTCCTTGCCGTGTTTGACAAACTCCTTGACCGACCCTGCTCGTCCCAGGTGCTTCGGGCTGTAGCCTAGGCCAAGGCAAATGGCGCAGACGAGCGAGCTCTTGCCAGTCCCGTTGGGGCCGATGACCATGTTTAGATGTGGCCCCGGAAAGAAGTCGGCCTTTTCGTATGTGACGAAATTCTGGACCGTCACACGCACAATGGCGCCGGGTTGGAAGTCCTGCATAGTGTCACCGTTCGACAGGCCATTTGCCGGCCCTGCAGCCGGCGCTGACGGGCCAGCATCTCCCTCGCTGTCTGACGCGGGATCCAGTCGCCGGCGTTTGGACGAGTCCGAGGTTTGTGACCCAACACCATTCCTCGCGTCGTCGTCGCCGTCCTCTGCGTCTTCCGTATCAAAGCGCCTGCGGCGACTTGACGAAAGGCGCGGCATGGCGCCTCAAGGGCAGGGATTTCTTGCGGCTCGGCTGTGTGGAGGATGTGTGTTGAAGTGCCACCATCACGAAACTCATTAAAGTCGAAGATGCGAGACGCGAAGGTGGGGCCACGCGTTTGCTCACCCCACCAACGGACATGCAGGGCAAGTGGGGCCGATGCACTCTTCTAACGAAGCAGGGAGCTGCTTCGCTCTTCCACGGACGACGTCGAATCTCGCGGGCGGCTAATGGATGGTTGATTTCTTGCCTTCTTTGAAACCAATTCCCCTGATTGCGACACGATACGCTGTCGCCGGACCGTGTCCCGTACGGATGACTCCCCTGGTGCCCATGAAGGCGGCTGCTGACCGCTGGCTGTTATTGACATTGAAGGATCTTCCCGTCCTGCCGTATTGCACGTGGCGAGCGAACCGCACCGAAGAGACGCATTTCGAATGATCTCTTGCAAGACAATTTTCTTCCAAAGAAGCCGAAGTTGACGGACAGGCGTCGTTTTATCAACTTCTCGCCCACCTTTTGGGGCAATCTGACCAAGGTCTGGCTCGCTCGTCGTGCCCTGCGAGAACTGGATCGACGGAACTCCCTGCTGGTGCGGACTGTCAAGTGCACAGAACCAGTTGGCAAACCATCTCAAGATCTTGCTCGATTTGCAAGACACGGCGGGCCAGATCCTACCCACCTTCGAGCGGTATGACTTGACCTTTAATCAAATTTCACAAGTACATGACAGTACATGACTAAATACATACACCTACGACAGAGTGCGAGATGGCCTACCGCCACACACAAAATATGTCTTGTGGGTGCTCCTCTGTGACAGGAAGCCGACGCTCGCAATCCACAAACGTCACGAGCGCGTCTGCCTGGAGGCAAAGGCCCCAAAAGGAGGTGCGGATGTTGCAAGACTACAGGCCCGCTTCGTGGGGGCGGATGGAACTCGCACTATGCATGCCTTGCAAAATTACAAAGAGTCCGTGCCTATATGTGACGGGAATGCATATTCCTTTAGTTCTACATATCACGACGGGACCCTTAGACTTTACGCACACCACATTATGCCACCCATCGCGGCTGGCGGCTCTCCCGAGCACCACATGACGAAAATACGTGGCTTTGATATGACGGACAGTCGTGCAACTTTTGTCCAAGGTGCAACAGCATTCCGAAACGCGAGACAACTAGCTCAATCGAATCGTGATCCGTTCATTTATGCTGCAAACATGAAAACAGCCAAAGAGAGTGGCAATATCTACGACGAAATTCAGGAATCAATTTCATGGCAGGACGCACATGATGCGCTTCAGGAAGGAGTAGCCGACACGTGCGACGATGATTCCGAATGCGATTCACGGGCGAGTGACTTGCATGTCAATGCGCATGCAGACGATGGTTCACAGGAGCCTAGTCAGGTGTCGACAATACTTGGACACGAGGATCCGTCCTTAGTTGTTGCATCAAGTGTCGCTTCGAGCTTCAGCCATCAGCCGCCGGTGCGACCCAAGCGTGCTGCCAGACAACTTGGCTTGCCAAACAATTCCTGGGGGCGTCGCTCATCCAAGAGTCGAACACGCATAGCCGCAAGTGAACTAACAAGGGAGCTCCTCAGAAAAGCAGGAAGTAGAAGCCGATTGACAGACACGTCATTGCGTCTCGGAAGAGAGTGCACAGATTCGACCAGCAACGAGCAGGAAAGCGGGCTGAGACCTCCACAAAGCCAGGTGCGTTGCATCCAGCCGACTCCTCGAGTGAATCGAGCTGTTCAATCTAGGTTTTTTTTTCGAATTGGATACAAGTAGCCCAATCGGTCCAGGCTAGACACGAATCCGCCACCAATGTTCCTTGTAGCTTCCAGTTCGAACTGTATCTGCAGTATCCTATTTGCCACGTTGACCGCACCAGCATGAGTAAGGGTGCTGAGATGATCCATCAAGTATTACTTGCTGTACCGAGATTCTCCAAAAGTCCTAGTACCAAAGCACATTATCCATGAGCGACTCAATCTAAAATGATCTTCTCGCGGGCATGAGATCAGATATACTACACAGTCCTCAAGCCGAGGTTCTAGACGAATGGCACCGCTTGCCGGTTTTCTTCTTGCGCATGGTCCTTTTATAGTCTGGTCGCAAGTGTAGTGGACACAAATTGACAGGATCAGCTTATAATTTTCGTTTCCACGTAAACCGGCTCTACCACAGAGCCAGTTTTGATGGCTCAGCTGAAACAGGGATCCCGTACCTTGCCTTGTTGCAAGCTCAATAGGCATCATCAGCAACTTGCCAGTTAGACTTGCTTGAGATAATGCTTCAAGCTTGGCTACCTGTTCTGGTCTGGCGAAATATTTTGGTTAACATTTCAACGGTCCGTGTACGGAAGAGTATACTAACCGGTAGTTCTTTTGGAGTGTTGCCGCAAGGCCGACATTTTTTAGTTCTGCCGGACGTTGCTGGGATGACGAATCGCTATGGATGAGACCCCCCCCCCAGCTTGCTTTACTTGGTCATTTGTGACTGTGAATCCGGAGCCTCTTTCCACGACTTGAAGGTGACAATTTTCGATATCCTCACTGGAGAAAGATTCCATGTCCTCTTCTCCATATCGAGCAGATGAACATCAGGAGAGTCGCACTGCGAGATCGACATTCGACGCTTCGGTTGCGGGCTTTGGAGGTCTCTTTCTGCCGTTCGCCGCTTCGGGTTTGGCCTGCTGCCCAACCGACGTGATGAGGGTGGCGGCGCGGCAGACCTGCGCCTTGATCCGTCATCATCAGTGCCCCCAAGATCAGCTGTGTCTGCTGTATCCCTAATAAGCCGCCGCTACTCTGCTGAGTCTGCTCTCTGGGGTCGCCGCCAGAGCAGACAGCAGCGGCCTCGCGCCACAAAATGTCCGGGACGCTGTCGCACGCTTCAGCGCCCGCAATGCGTTGCTCTCTCGTGACGGCCTCGAGCAGAGTTTTGTCCTGCTGGAGATATGACCAGCATGTTTGCGAGCAGGAGTAGGAGTGCCTCGGGGCTATCAGGTCGACAGTGGTATAGTTCCTAAGGAATCAGCCACCATAGTACACCATGACACTTCAGTAACATGTTGTAGATCTTGCACAGGTTTAGAGTAACTGGGCAGAAGTCTCAAAATCTTAGGCATGACTGCTCCAAGGGACCAGATGTCCACTGCTGCCAAGTAGCGTTTATTGCTGCCATCTTCAAAAACCTCGGGTGCAGCATACGGGGTTTGGTCGCATTGAGTACGTAATTCGGCCGCATTTTTACATGGTCCAAAGTCGGCGAGAACTTGGAACAGCAGAAAAATGGCTCCCGCGATTTAACAAGGATATATTATCCGCTGAGATATCGCGATGCGCTGATTGGCTCTCATGTATAAGCGTCAAGGCGGAAAGACACTGCGTAAGAACCAACACGCTCTCAGGAACCGTATTATCATCCAATCGGGATAAAGGCCCTTTTGGGGTATAAGTTATCCCAGAACCAATTCTGGACAGGGATCAACGACCACATCAAACAGCTGTCGTCAAATCTAACCGCCCGCCTTCCTTTGACCTGGTTCATCCGGGAGTTCAGTTATCTCGCGGTCGTCGCGGCCATATTGATCTTCTTCTTGGGGTCCTTTATATAATGGCGCGATATCGAAAGAGCTGGTCTTGATTGCCCTTTCTGCATTCTTTTTGTCGTCCTTGTCGGAATTGGGGTACAAACGAGCAATGAGCTCTTCAGCATCCATGGTGTGTTTCGAGGGGACCCGGGAGTACTAGACGAAGCGAGGCGGAGAAATGAGTCAAATGACTACTGCCATGTTGTCAGTAGGGTTCCGTGATTGAAGGCAAAGAGTGAAATTCACGCCTTTCCCCCTCCTCTTCCTTCTCTCCTCACATCCAATCGTTTTTGCGGTCCTACACCTCCTTGAGGGCGGCTGCGTGGCTGTCATTGTTGGGTCGTGAAACGCATGTCGGTTCTAACTTTTCACGCGCCCCCGCTTTCAGCAAGAGGTTTGGATCACGGGAGGAACATGGAAATTGTCGCCTTAGGCTGGCCGCTGGACCCTCAAAGGCAACAAACACAGGTCTTGGAAACAAATATGGCTTTCGCGCCTCCCGCCTTGCAACGGCAGATTGGCCAGACGACGCCTTTGTCCGCCACGAAATGGCTTCTTCGCATATAACGACCTTGGTGATCTGTCTGCCCTGAGCGACGCACCGGCAAGGCAGAGAGTAACTCAATCGCCGGATGATCCGCAAAGGGGTATAAACAAATGGAGATGGAAGCCTATCACCACATTGTCAATGATGCTGGTCGCCTGCTGTACCAAATCGGCCCTCCTTGCATCGATTTCAAAAGACCCCAATGCGTATTATAAAATTCCAATGCCGTCTTGGCGACAACTACGATGCCGTAAACCTTTAGAGATGGATCACTTTAACGATTAAGATGCAGTACAAAGACAGTGGCACTGATGGCAGACTCTTCGAAAATTGCAACTCACTAATAGAGGAGTTGACAATAAAGATGAAGACGACGGCTTCTTGGTGTGTGCTGAGGAGATGAAGCGTGGCTTTATAGAAGTAGGCTGGACGGAAAGCGCGGCTGAAATTGAGGCCGACGTGACGATTTCAAAGCAGCCAGGTGAGAGATGGTGCCATATTCAAAGACGTCGCGACTGTCGGCGATAACACCAACGAGAGCTTGGATGCACCTGCTTCCCTGAATATGAAGGATCATCAAGGGCCCGTCTAGCCTGACACAGCTTCACCCAACCGTTCCATCTAGCAGAGGACCCTAAGCAACAGGACAGGTTAACGACATGGATTGAATACCTAGGCTTTAGGTGCTGGTGGCTTGACCGTTATGCTGCGTCTTTTGAGCGTCTAAAACTAAAACGTGACGACGCTTGGATTGAGCTAAAGAAACTAGGCGTGGTAAAGGACAAGGAAACTGCAGGATTTATTCGCACAGAGGCATCTGATATGCAACGCCAAAGTGATAAGGACTGCAACTGCGCATAGAGGGCTGTGCAAGACGCAAAAACAGAGGCAGAAGAGGCCTACCAGAAAACGCAGAAAGATCCTCATCGCCTAGACACTCCAAAGGAACAAGACATGTAAGTATTGGCTGAGGCTACAACAAGACTATCGAGTGCACGAGCAAAGCTCGACTTCATTGAACGGGGGAGTCATCTTCTTTCCAGTTTGTCCGTGGAACCTTTGACTGCAATCATGCGAAGGAAGACGTGGTCAACCAGACGAACCGTTTGGAGTGGGCTGTCAAGGCTGGACAGGAAGCTCAGAGATGTCACATCGACAGACATAAACCCGGAGACTTGACAAAGAGGGTAGGTAGTACCAGTATGCAAGATATTGAGCCCTACCGGAATAGGACTTTGTTGGGTGCGCGGTGCAGGCTGTGCATTCAGCCGCAGCCGACTCGGAATCTGTACTCTGTATCCTCGAAGAGAGTTACGGACGAGGAGAGACGAGGATGCCTCCTTCACGCACTCAGGCCCTAAGAGACCCAACTCAAATGCTCGGGCTCGGGGCTCGCAATTGAGCAACAATGAGCACGAGAGTTGCGCGCTCGGGATCACCCAACGGGGGTGTGTGTCAGCAATACATCAGTGTCAAACTCCAAGCCTACGAGAAACGAATTCCAGCATGCAGTCAACTGAGTTTAACGGGCCATATCAGGAATCGACCGCAAAAGCCCTAGAGACGAACTTGAGGGCCCAAGGGACCTGCCCAAGAGCGCAAGAGACCAACTTGAGAGCACGAGAGACGAACTTGAGAGCCCTAGAGACTACTGTAAAGTTGAGGACGTATCTTAATGTGTGTTGCCCCCGTGGCGGTTTAGCTCTCAAGTTCACCTCTTACGCTCTTAAGTAAGTTCCCAATGCTCTAGGTTCATCTCTCGCGCTCTTGGGCAGATCTCCGGGGCTCTGAATGTTACACGGAATTATCGGTCAAAGGCCTCCACCACATGACTGGCTGCAATGCACAAAGGTTGCAGCCATCACGATGCCCTCATAGGCCAACTATTGGGCTCGGGCACCAAGGCAGCAAGGCACCCCTTGGCTGCCTAGTGGTTACACTTGTTAGTTGACGGTTTTGTTGCCCAGCAGTACCCGTATGAACTCGATTACATGTTACAGCACCAGTGACAAACAAGAGCCGCCTGCAAGCCAGGACACTACACTGCCTCCGGGCCCAACCAATCATGTACTGGCATGATGGACGGACGAACCGCGATGGAATTGACGAGTATCTGTTGCATGTCCTCGCAGTGTACCGGTGAAAAGACGGCATCACACGCCGGCATAAGTACAAAGGCCCCGGGACAATTCATCACAATAGAGTTGGTTCGACAACTATTTGGCACTGGCAAGGTCCTGTGAAACCACATCGCCAAACATTATTGCGGACAGGAAATTTCATCATTAGCTGGGGATTTGCCAGTAACTTTTCAGCTTCAGTCTCTTCCCGTAGATCCGCAAGATCTGGCATCCGGGCCTGGTAGACAGATACTTGGTGTGATTCATAACGAGAGCACTCTCGCGATACCACATGCATTTTATTTGCTAGCCCTCATTCCCTGGGTACGCTGGTGCAAAGGCACCTAACTATGCCAATAGTTCTCGTATCCTGACTTGGATGTATCAACATCGCTGACGCTGAAGTCAATGCCTGGGACAAACAAGCAAACAAGGTAGGAAGAAAAAAAACCCACATGAAAATGAACGTGGAAGGATCCGACCCGGCTAGAGGGGCAAAAGAAGTAACGACGAAGCTTGCGTAATCTGGGAATCGAACCCAGGGCTCCCCGACGTTGCTCGGATGGCAACGGAGAATTTTACCACTAAACCAATTACGCTTTGCGCTTCACGCTTGACTCTGGTTGGATGACGAGTCGCTAAAGCAATTATAAGAAACCTTTGTTTTTCCAGCTCGCCGGCATTGGATTTAGCCGGGTTGGCGTGAAAGGGTCGGCGGTGGAAACTAGTTGGAGCGAAAAGTCCTTCTCTACTTGGACTTTAGTACCATTACATATGATGCAGCTCTTTTTTTCATCGCCGTGAGTGACTACTGCATCGTCTGCTCTGGCAAGTAAGCATTGGGTGCACAAAGCCAGTTGCATGGACTGCTTGCTCTTCCTACGTCCATGAAAAGCCACGGTGAACGCACATCCCAGCAATTGTGGATAGCATCGACAAACGTCATTAAAGGTAGAATATTATATTCCCCAAGGTACTAAGTGATACCAAGAAACGCCGAAATGACGAGTCCGGGGCAGAGGAAAAGAGTTTAGCCCAAGCAGTATATGTTTAGGTACGGCAAACTGGAGAAAACTAGTCTCGACAAAGCTCCTGTCTGTGGCTACACTGTGCCCAAGGTTTATGATTTTCGTGTAGAAGTAGAAAATGGAAACAGGGCAGCGGACCAGCATTTCCGTGGAGAACGTGGCAAATCCTCTTTCACTTGAAAATGGGGGGGATTTTCAGGCAATACATGAGACCTTGCACCATGAGCATCTGAGCCCAAGTCCTGGGACGTCGAGTATTGAAGCACAGAGCAACCAAGTGAAAATTCATGGAAATTTAGGGCCTTTGGAATCGGACGTCAGTCCGTGGGATGACATGGACTCGGACTTGAGTGGTTTCCGGCATGTTTCGGAATCCAGTATCAAGGTGGGCTGTTTGACAACTTTGATTCCTTTGGTCCAACGATGGGCAGTGAGCACGAACTTGCAGCGAGGTGGCTGGTCTAGCAGGGGGCGACGATTGAGTGCCGTGACATGGTAGTCTCAACATGATCCTGCCCATGACCGCGAAACGGTAGCAATGGCAACCAAGTAGACGACGACAAGGACAAGCAGAAAGCATCGTGGGGTACTCCATATATGCATACATATATATACATACACATATATGTTTATGCATATGGGTGAGGAAAAAACAAGGCGGAGGCGGGGGAATGGCGCGGTGTTCGCCTTGTCGCGAGCCTTGTGAGACCACCAGCTCAGCTCAGCTCGTTGGACCCCGCAGGAGGCTTCTATTTGTGGATTTCGTGGTTCGGTTTTTGGACGATGTACGGACAGGACTGGGCGCCATGTGATGTGATGGATGGCCAACGCTACTTAAGTAGACAGGATGCACGCGCTCGGCCTAGCAGTTTGTGTGAGGGCACAGAGCGTGACATATACAAGACCCTGATGCGGCCCGGCCCGTACATGCACGGTCAGACTCACGAACCAGACGCAACGAGTCCATCAGCCAGTTCATGATTCCTTTCCGCACCCTCTCCGGCAAACTCGTCAAACAGGCCGGATATAAATCTCTCATTCCCTCCTTTTCAGGACTTCATCCTCGGCATCAGCCCCGACCCTAGGACAACAAATCCACCATCACCAAAATTTGACAAACCTCGTTTCTGGTGCCAATCTAATAACCCTCAAGTGAGTCTTACCGCCAAAGCAGACTCGCCATGGCTGACATGAGCGAGGGCGCAAGGTCAAACATGTGTCAGCGACTCATTGAGACGACTGGCCACAGATGCGGGCATAGAATTGATTCCCTGGGAAGTACGGAGTATTGTGGAGCTCAATGGCTGCAACAATTGCAGCACCGTCCAAAAAACACAACAGTTGGGCAAAACAACCAAAAGAGACCCATGCCCTGATTGTATCGCGAATGGTGTTTAGGTGAAGAGGAATGGAAAATGGGAGGTGGCTTAAGACGCGTTACTAGCAAGTGAATGAGGGGGTGGGGCACAGGACTTGTATGTGGTCTCTCGCCAGTTTGAAGTCGAGTAGAAATTAATTGTCACTCATGCATGGTTCTTGGGCTTTTTTACCAGGCACTGAATCATTCTGAGCAGGTTTCGTGCCGATGAAGGGAGAAAGCATTGGAGGGCAACTATGCTAGTTGCTCGATCAACATTTCTTTGGCCTTGAAATTCAGGCACGCAGACATATATATACTAGTCAACCTTGTTATGGATCAGATCAATCCTCTTCTCTTCGCCTGCCTCTCTTATATGCACGACCTAACTTATCCTGCGCGCACATCTCAAAATATCCCTTTTCAACATTTTATTCTTGGCATGAGTATTCAACACCGGTTTCCCGATGTGCACTGGGTCTGGAGATGAGGCATCTCATTCGTCTACGAAGTCCATCCTCGCATCGTGGTCAAGGTCCCAAAATTCGGTGAATTCGAGCGGGAGCAATTCCGGAAAGAAGTCAAGATTGACGACATCCTCTCGAAACATGCGCCTTGTCCTTCCATAGTGCAATGTTTCCTCTATGCGGATAACGGCATTTTCCTCGAGTACATGCGAGGTGGACCCATTGGCATGTTGACCGGATATCTACTGACCACGTCACGAGATGTATCCCTTTGCTCTACTCCGTAGAATGCAAGACAATCAGGTCCGAGATCAGGAAACTGCAATTGTCACTTAACTTAAAAAGCTGGAACCTCTGCCCCTACGAAAGACATGGATGAACGGCCTTGCTCAAGCCGTCGCATTGCTCGAATCGCTCAATCTCTCCCATGGTGACCTACGACCCGAAAACATCCTGCTTGATCGCGATCGATTGAATTTGTCTGACTTTGATTGTACGGCGAAAATTGGGACAGACTTTGAAGCTTGCATGGCCCCGTACGGAAGAGTACTTAATAGCAACGAGCCGGATCAAGGACGACGTGGAACAGCCGGCTTCCTGGGTCCTCGAACAGAGCAATTTGCCCTTGGTTCCTTGTACTACCTGATAAACTATGGCTTTGAAGTTTATGGAGATGGTTGTCTTACTGAGGATCCCAAGGAGCATGGACCTAGGGTTGTGAACTTATTGCAGAACATGAAGTTTCCCGAGCTGGATGGTGACCCTCTAATTGACGATATAATTGTTAAATGTTGGCACGACGAAGATGTCACGATTGCGGAGTTGGCCGCACACATAAGGAAGCTCCTCCCTGAAAGATCCATCGAAAAGGAGAGCGACTCCGAAATAATCTCCACTCCTCGATGGCGTACGATTATTTGTCGTGTCATTCGTGGGTTATTGAACACTGTGAGATACTGGTGTGAATTGGTGCTCCGTCGCAAGGGCGCGAGAACCAACCCTAAAGTAGTCAACAGCGGAGAACCAGATGGTCACAGCTGTGACGTGGATCAAAACCACCCGGCAGAAGAGTTCCCTCCGGGGAGAGCATACTGCCAGGACCTGGAGAAGCGTGGACTTTTAGATTTGCTTTCGTCTGGAGAGCCCGAGAAACTTGGGTTCACTCTCGAGTGGTATAGGCATACTTGTTCCGGGTAAAATAAACCCCTTTCGGACAGACTAGATAATGGAGAATAGTTAGCGATAGCTCAAATTTGTAGGCACATCTCCCAGTTACACCTATCAACTATAAGGATAGTTCCTTTTAAGGCTCATCGCACATACTCTATTCGTTGGTGGTCATCTGGAAGCGTTACACTCTTTTCATTGGCAAACACCTTGAACAATGAGACCGCGATTTCACCACTAGGTGTGGTGGTTTTGCCCACTGAGGCTGGTGGACAATATGCCTGAAATCTAGGCCTCGCAGCAACTTCTCCTAGTGGGGCTATTGCATCAGCGTAGAGCTGTGTACCTCTAGAGTCCCCTTCCGCCTTACCAACCATGCCCTGCCGCAGCAAGGCTTAAAGCTCTTGAAGCAAAACCCCTTCCAGGCAGGAACCGGACGGCAAGGCTGCTTTCTGGAAACTACTTTCCAGACTACTAATACAGTAGTGAGAGTTGTAATAAAAGTGCCTATAAAACTTAAGACTATAGACTAACATGATAGTACATAGGTCGCTGCTTAGTCACGTCCGGCCTTGGCAGCAAGCACGGACACGGAGTACGTAAGTTACTTGTTTGGTGTTTGTCCAAGGGCAATCCCTTGAATTCCAGTCTCGTGTAGCCGATATCCACTCCACACGCGCCTGTACCGCTACCTTTGTCGCTGTCAAAAGATGGGCGTCCTGCGGCGGCAGCCAGTTGACAACATCATCTTTGGGACCGCGTGGTTGACGGTTGGCAGCAGCGAGAGAACAGACGAACAAGCCACTTGCCGAGTCTGCTCTTTTTGTCTTTTCCGTGCTCATGCTCTCGAGCACCGAGGTATATCCCTGGCGGCTTCAGATACGGATCCTGTTTTGGATGCAATTGGCGGTCGTTGGAATCTGCGTAGGTCGCTAGCAGGAGTTCAAGGAAATTACACGCCTTGATGTACTGCTAGCTCGTGGCCCGCTGCAGACGGGGCGTAGCGTCTCCATTGTAATAATGCAGGCGCGAGAGGATAATCGTGATGGTGTACGGAGCGCTCGATACAAGCCATCGCGGAAAATATGCAATTGGATGGGCCATCATCAATCACATGGATGCTCCATGCTCCTCGTGCTCTGCTGGTGCCACTAGTGAGCCAAGACCAGCCAAGCCAGTTGACGCACCATTGGCTCTGAAGTACCTGCAAGAGTGCCTTGTAGTCGGTTATAGGGGCGGCGCCACCACACTGCCAGCAATGTGAGCATCGATGCCATCGCATCTTCTGACATGGCTGTCTGTGGCTTCTTTTCTTCTCCTTTCCTTCTTTGTCTTTTTTTTTGTCCGCTGTCTGCTCCGGTCCAGTCCGCAGAACTCACAGTCGCCATCCGCGTGCTGGGGCAGAGTCAGGAAGTGGTCGGGCCCAAGTGACTGAGGCTGGTCTTTGCTGGCGAGATTCCATTTGTCGGCGTGGGCAACTGGAATGCGGCCAAGAATGGCGCTTCAAAATGGCTTCCATGGCCACCTTGTCACCATCACCAGTCTCCGTCGCCAATCCCAACTTCTGTTCCCTCGCGCTTCTTAGACATTTCCCCACCCGCCAGGTGCTCGCAGTGCCGACAGCTTTAAGCTGGCAGCTGGCAGCGCCGCTTCGTCATTTGTGCAGATGCCAGTCGCTTATCCCAGTCTGACTTCCCGAGTTCCAGTCCCAGCCAGTGCCAGCCAACTGAACATGCGTCTCTCCCTTCGTGTTTGGTCCAAAACACCAGCCGCCACTTGCTCAAAGAAAACATTGCATTCCAGGTCGATTCCACGTCGCTTGACACCACCCATCAATCATCCTACGCTTCAGCTCGTGGCCCAGAAAGTGGCACATTCTTCATCTCCCATCTCGAGTCTCGAGGGCTGTTTCGTCTAACTGGGTCTAATTGCCTTTTCTTGCTCCTCCCAACCCGAGCTGACGGCTCTCGTCTTTTGTACTTGCCCGATTTCTCCTTCTTTCTTTCCCTTTCTTCCTTGCTGTCGTGTGAGCGCCACCGACAATTCTCCTTCGCCGTTGTCGCACTTGACCTTGGCTCCTCTGCGTCCGACTTTCCACCGCATTTGCCTTTCGATAAACTTAAACCTGGGGGCCTGTATCACGGAAGAAAATCAACAAGGGAAAAAAAATCACCAGACAGCCAGAAACACGACGGCGGCGAAACTGAAATAGCTAACCCTCGAATATTATGTGCTAATTCCTACGACACCACCACCAACACCACCATGGCGGATGCGATGGTTGCCAAGGTTCGCTCGCCTCTGGCCGAGACGACGAACCGAATGAACTCTCCATTCCCTGCCTCGGAACAGCAGACGAGCAAGCCGTCGCGTTACGTCCGGTCTGACGTGGCTCATCTCCAGCTCAACCAACATCCCGCGCCGCACTCGAGACCAGGAAGCCGACAAGCTATGGCTCCGCCAAACATGACCCTCAGCACCCAAATGTCCGGTGTAATACATCATCCGTATCCGCAACCTGTAGAGGATGATAAGCGAATGTCCCAGGCTTCGTATGCGTCAACCTCGAGTAGCCGAAGCAAGAAGAACTACAAGACTCACATCGGGCCTTGGCAACTGGGACGAACGCTGGGCAAGGGCTCCTCGGCTCGCGTACGCCTCTGCCGACACAACATCACCAACCAGCTTGCTGCCGTCAAGATTGTAAACCGAACCATGGCCTACTTGGTCCAAGACAGCTCCATGGCCGCCCTAAGCAAGTGGGACAGCAGCCTTCCTGACCAAATCAACGGGGAAATGCGCGTTCCCATGGCCATTGAGCGTGAAGTGGCAATTCTTAAACTTATCGAACACCCGAATATCATGAAATTGTACGACATATGGGAGAACCGCTCTGAAATGTTAGCATTCACATACCTTTGTAATTCCCTCCTTGTCTCATCTACTGACGTTGAGCCAGATATCTCATTCTCGAGTACATCGATCAAGGCGATCTATTTACCTTCATCAACTCCAGGGGACGACTCCCTGAGGAACTTTCCATCTACTTCTTCCGGCAGATGATGAGCGCCATCTCTTACTGTCACTCCTTCAACGTGTGTCACCGCGACTTGAAGCCTGAGAACATTCTCATCACTGCAGACTTGCAAATCAAGATTGCGGATTTTGGCATGGCGGCGCTACACCAGACCGCCACACATCAGCTTGCTACAGCCTGCGGCAGCCCCCATTACGCTGCTCCAGAACTTCTGAAGAACAGGCAGTATCGCGGGGACCGCGCTGATATTTGGAGCATGGGCGTCATCCTCTATGCAATGCTGTCTGCCACTTTGCCATTCGATGACCCTGATTTGCGCGTCATGATGGCCAAAACAAAGAAGGGACAATATGAGATGCCCAAGGGTCTCAGTCCCGAGGCTGAGGATCTGATACGGCGAATGCTCCAGGTAAACCCTGACCGCCGAATTGCGATGAAGGACATCTGGAGGCACCCCTTGGTCCAGAAATACAAGTCTCTCGACGATTTCGGAGACAACACCGCCCAGTTGCCCGACACCCGAAAAGGGTTCCAGTATGCGCCCGTAGCCAGAGGCGACATTGACCCCCAGCTCCTCCGACAACTTCGATCCATGTGGCACATGTTCAGTGAGCATGATCTAGTCTTCAATCTTACATCCAAAGAGTAAGTGATCGGTGGCATCAACAGCAAATCCCGCTCTCATGTGCGTGCATGACTAACGGAATAATAATCCAGGCCAAATGACCAGAAAGCCTTTTATTGGTTGCTTTATAACTATCGGAACAAGCAGCTGGAGGACTTCAAACCAGAATTGGCCCACTCCATGAGTGACTACCATCATCTAAAGCCAGCCATTTGGAAGAGGCGTGTCTCGACCTGTCAATTCGAGAAACCCAGAGCAAATGGACACGGACGTTCTATTTCGCGCTTCACAGTCATCTCCAATGCCCCCGATACAGGAAGTGATGGCTATGATCCATACCGCAGCAATCGCGTACTGCAAAATCGCGATTCGCAAGTCACCCATGCAAAGATCACCGTGCACCGTGATGGCGAGATTGCAACAACTACTGCAACCGGACAAGCTAATAAAATGCGCAACGGCGCCAACGCGCGTCGCATGCGGGCAAACTCGACAAGAGCATCGCTTACAAGCCGACCACAATCGTCCCGTGGATCACTTGCGTCATTGCGAAGTAGTCGACAGGGAACTCCCAAGATACGAGTGCCTAGTCTCCGCCGTAAACGAGGTGTAGACTTCTCTCATATCCGCAAGGGATCAGATTCTGCTGGGACTCGTTCGCGGCTTGCCAACGGCAAGACAGGTTCTGACATCGTTGCTGGTAATGGGACACCTCATCGAGTACCAGCACCGGCGGGTCGATTTCCTAGTCCAGATTTGACCAAGACAGCTGATGGAACATATCCCAAGGCCCTGGGCGGTCCTATCAACCAATATTCCAAGAAGAACGGTGCTTCTATGATTTTCCGCGAAGAGTTGCGCAAATTCAGTAACACCTGTGCTAAGGACTGCGATGAAGCATTCAAGACCTCTATAATCGTTTACGACTCCGAGTGCGACTCGTCGACCACTGAGGGTGACCGTGCACACCGGGAATCCAACCCATTCTCAGTATCCCTCGACAGCCCTGCGACGACTATCTCCCCGGCGACTGATTCATCCCACGACTCGTGGCATAGCCGTCCTTTACCTCCGTTGCCCAAGATTACCAGCACGCAGAATAAAACCGCAGTCTCAAACAAGTCTGATGTGCGTTCAACTTCTCCGGACAAAGATGTTGCCAAAAGTGGAGACAGGAAAGACGTCAGTAAAGGTTCTGCTCTGCCAAGACAGGTTGACCGCCGAGCAGTCTCAGCGCCGGCTTACAGTCAGGCACATAGAAAGCTTTCTACACTGCCTTCGATAAATGAAAATGCTGGACTACACGGCGATGGAGCCCGTATTGTGTCCGCTCCACCCCAGAGCCCCATGAGACGGGCAAATGCCAAGAACCGTAGTATGGATTATCTCAGCAAGGTTGAACGTACAATTCGGGTTGTCAACTCACCCACGCATGGAGGCCCGCCCAGATTGCCGAAGCCAGTCGACACCCAGACGGCGAAAAGAGACGGGTGTTCTCGGCATCCCCTTCATCAGCAGATCTCGTACGATGATGTGGAATGCGACGATCACATTTACGATGTGGAATCCGCCCCGAAGAAAAAGAAATCGTCTTGGTTCAAGCGAGTCTCCAAAGCAGATTCCAGCGCGAGTTCTAGTGACAGCGGGGCACGCCGGGCAAGTGGTTCGACGGACTCCAAGCAAAATCGGTCCTACGAGGAGTGCAATGAGCAAAATAAAAAGAGAAACTTTTCGTTCCCATCATTTTGGAAGGGCAACAAGGATAAGGACACTGGCATGACTATCGAAGGTACTGATGAAGTCGGCTTGATTTTGATAGGGCCCTATGAAGACTAACAAATGTATAGGACTGGAGGACGTGGCTGAGAAGCAGCAAGCGACTGGCCAGGCAGTCAGACGAAGGCAACGGTCCGGTGTGATTCCATCAAACTCGGGTGACGCGCCATATATTGAAGTCAAGCAGAATTGGCTTACGCGCCTTTTCCGTGTCAAGCCAGCCACTAGGTACCTTTGCATGACCTTGACCCGTCAGCGAGCTCGCCAGGAGGTTGTGTTTTTGTTGCGCGACTGGCAGCGTTACGGCATCAGGGATATCCACCTTGATAAGCAGCGCAACGTTATCCTTGCGAGGCTTGGAGCTAAGAACTGTAGGCTCTCAACTATTTGACAACTTATTGAGGAGCCAAAACTGATTGAAGTGAGTAGACTTGAACTTGAGGGAAGTTGAATTTGCCGTGGAGATTATGAAGGTGATTGAGCACGGAAAGAAACAGCCACTTTGCCTGATACGATTCACACAAGAACGCGGCGCGGCAAGCACGTTGCACCGCATTTTTCACACGATGAAGGTTATGTTCGAGAGCCGACACCTGTTGGTCACTGATAAAACCAAGAGGAAGATGATGATCAACACATTCAACTCTCGTAAGCCGAAGCAAAATAAGCAACCTTGTAAGACTAACACGACAACATAATGCTCATTGATATCAAACCTGCAACAACCAAGGAAGGGATGTTTGCCAGTGTGTGAGGAGAATGGTGACGTCGAGTTGAAAAAAAGAAAGAAGAGCAAACAGTATATGAATATGGTGACGAGGGAACGGTCTTGTTGGTATGCGGTATGGGATTTTTCCCTTCTTGGCTTGTTTGTCAGACACAAGCAGGCTCTTTTTGTTAATTTTTTAATGTCCGTTTTGGTTCCTAGGGAAGGCGTTTGGATTGCGGACTATGGGAAAGCAAAAGGATCCCGGATGGGTGTACAATGGTGGTCAGGCATATATTATGATGAGATTATTGGTTCTACGGGGAGAGATGTTGACAAGTGCGGGATTGTTTCGCACGGTTAGGCAGGGTTGGAGAAGGGACGGAGTTGATACTCTTTGTTAGCGTGTGTATTACGGAGCAGAGTGACTGGCATTGCTTCGGCTAAGGTGTATTCCTTGTTGTTTTCAGTCTGAATCAACTACTTTCAGGTACTCGGTGGATTACGGCAGCAAGTCCACGATGGATGTGAGGTGCTAGCTAGGTTACGAGTGGTCAAGTAAATTGGTGTTGGTCGAGGACATGGACTGGACGAAGCCACGGAGTAAAGGTTCGTGGCATGCACGTCACCAGATGCGGCAATATGCCAGGGAACCGAGGATAGCTTGAGCGCCGGGCATCGCAGACTGTAGACCAACGCAGACAGGGCAGCGCCGGTGCTTGATCCTGCGCTGTGTGCTACCTGTCGCGGCCAAGGCCAGGGCCGGAAAGACTCGGGCGCGCTCCGGCACAACAGGACTTGGAGCCCTCGTATCCACCTTGGCGGTGGGGCCGGAGTCGCGCGAAGCCTCGGTTTGAATCGTCCTGTCTCGGCCGTTGTCTGGCCCTTTTGGAACGTGGGCACCACCCCTCCCTTGGAGGGGGGCGGTGGATTGGTTCGCGGGGCCTCGTCGATGTGATGGTATTGGCTGGGCCGGTTCGGGATGTTGGAGGCGTGGTTCCGACAGCTGTGACGGGTGCGTCACGTCGACGGCGTGATGGCTTTATAGTTGACGATGATCTGATGAGGATGGAACTGCGAGGGCCTGGGGTTGCCAACAGATGAAGGTGATTTTTGGGACATTTGCCAGGCCGGAAAGAGCGCTGGAGAGCTGCTTCGGCGGGTGCAGGTACGTGGGTGCCGAGGCGGGAGCCTACCAGGTACTTAAGTACCTACCCAGGTAGGTAAGTAGGTTAAGAAGTACCTACGTGGTCGGTATCCGTATGCACGCACGTTTAACTGGTAGCTACCCCGCGTTGGCCCCGATGACGCCCGCCTTTGGGACAGGTACGGGCAATGGCTGAGAAGGTAGCGCGGCGCAGGAAAAGACTGGGGGTGGTACCTGCATCTGTTGGATGTGTACTTGGGCCATGTGCGTCCGATGCGGCCCCCCCACCCACATCAATCAAGTCGGCTACGTATTTCCAAGACGCGACATCGATTCATCTCTGCGTCTCGCCAAAGCCGTCGACGTTGCGTTCCCCAAGCGCTAGCAAAGGCCCTTACAAATCAGACATTTTGCCTCTGAGCCCATCCCCGTCCATCTGTTTCATTGTTGTGCCTCCATCTCCGCCCGCCCGAGCGCAGACCGATGGCTGCCGAGAGCCGCCGCATGCCCACGGTGAGAACTGCGCCCGGCATTTTGCAGCTCCAAGTTAAAGGAAAAGGCCAGGCCCGGTTCTGTCCACGACGCAATGGCGGCGGAAAGTGGACTATATAAGAACGGGCAGAGCTGTCGTACATGCCCTCTCTCTCCCCTTTTTCTCATGAGGGAATCCATTGCATAACAGCTCCCCACGACGGTGACGACTCGATTCCATTGCCGGCCTGACGTGAAGCAGACAATAAACTCGGCCGTTGGACAGCTGCAAGGGTACAACGGGGTGGGTTCCATTTCGTATCGACCGCTGCCTCCATTATACCCGTTCTAGCCGCCAGCCTAATAGGTGCTCGGGTAACGAATATGGGAACCACTAGCCCTTTGGCCGTTGACACGTGAAAGCAAGGCAGATCCGGGAGACGCCGCCTCTACGTTTCCTCGCCCGGACACGCATCGTCATCCTTTATTTTTTTTCTTCTCCAAAGTTAATGCCATCTTCCATCTCGAACCACTGCTACAGACGTTGGACCTTGGCTCTTCTTCGTTCTCGGAATAGCGTCTCTGCGGAAAGACTCATTGCCTCTCAGCATCCGCTTCGTCGGCTTCACCCGTTGCGACAACTCCGCCTCAAACCACCACAATGGCCACGACCGATGCCATCCTCCAGGGCGTCTCCGTCCACGGCAGGGTGGACGAGACTCACCGCAAGATCCTGACGCCCCAGGCCCTTGCCTTCCTTGCCCTGCTGCACCGCTCCTTCAATGCCACCCGCAAGCAGCTGCTGGAGCGCCGCAAGATCCGCCAGGCCGAGATTGACCGCGGCGTCTTGCCCGATTTCCTGCCCGAGACGAAGCACATTCGTGAGAATCCTACCTGGAAGGGAGCGCCGCCCGCTCCGGGTCTGGTCGATCGCCGTGTGGAGATCACCGGTCCTACCGACAGGAAGATGGTTGTGAATGCTTTGAATGCTGATGTATATACGTACATGGCTGATTTTGAGGGTGAGCTCTTTTCCGCTTTCTTCTTCCAGCTATCACGCCCACCTTGTCAGCTTCGTTTCGCTTCTCCTCCTCTCTTCATATAAGCATGCATGTATCGCAGAAATCCAGACTGCTACCCCTGGGGTTTGTTTGCTTCATCTCCTCCGCCGGCTTGACACACACAATTCGTGTATGCCGAGGATGTTGAACCACAGCCGAGCTTGCTGCCGAGAAGAGCGACCAGACACGACGACGACCCATGGGGCTAACAAGTACATCAATCTTCCAGACTCCAGCGCCCCTACCTGGGAGAACATGATCAATGGCCAGGTCAACCTGTACGATGCCAACCGCCGCCAGGTCGACTTCAAGCAGGGCCAGAAAGAGTACAAGCTCCGCACTGACAAGAAGCTGCCGACGCTCATTGTCCGCCCCCGAGGCTGGCACCTCGACGAGAAGCACGTCACCGTTGACGGCGAGCCCATCTCCGGCGGCCTCTTCGACTTTGGCCTGTACTTCTTCCACAATGCCGTCGAGCTGCAGCGCCGGGGCTACGGCCCCTACTTCTACCTCCCCAAGATGGAGAGCCACCTCGAGGCCCGTCTCTGGAACGACGTCTTCAACCTGGCCCAGGACCACATTGGCATGCCGCGCGGCACCATCCGCGGCACCGTCTTGATCGAGACCATTCTCGCCGCCTTTGAAATGGACGAGATCATCTACGAGCTGCGCGACCACAGCTCCGGCCTCAACTGCGGCCGCTGGGACTACATCTTTAGCACCATCAAGAAGTTCCGCCATAACCCCGACTTTGTCCTGCCCGACCGCTCCTGCGTCACCATGACGGTGCCCTTCATGGACGCCTATGTCAAGCTACTCATCCAGACCTGCCACAAGCGCGGCGTCCACGCCATGGGTGGCATGGCCGCTCAGATCCCCATCAAAGATGACAAGGACGCCAATGACCAGGCCATGGAGAACGTCCGCGCCGACAAGCTGCGTGAGGTGCGCGCCGGCCACGACGGCACCTGGGTCGCCCACCCGGCCCTCGCCTCCATTGCCACCGACGTCTTCAACAAACACATGCCCACCCCTAACCAGCTGTTTGTGCGCCGCGAGGACGTCCAGGTTGGCCAGAACGACCTCCTCAACATGAATGTCCCCGGGCGCATCACCGAGGAGGGTATCCGCAAGAACCTCAACATCGGCCTAGGATACATGGAGGCCTGGATCCGCGGCGTCGGATGCGTCCCGATCAACTACCTGATGTAAGTTTTCTTGGGTGGGACCTTTTCACAACTCCCCGACATGACAAAAAAAGACGAAAACAAAAACATCATAGCGGCACAGGCTAAAAAGAATCAAACACACACAGGGAGGACGCTGCCACGGCCGAAGTCTCCCGCTCCCAAGTATGGCAGTGGGTGAAGCACGGTGTCTCAACCGCCGAGGGCAAACGCGTCGACAAAGCCTACGCCCTCAAGCTCCTCAAGGAGCAGGCCGACCAGCTGGCTTCCAAGGCAGGAAAGGGCAACAAGTACCACCTTGCCGCCCAGTACTTCTCTGGCCAAGTCACCGGTGAAGACTATGCCGATTTCCTGACGACGTATGTTGAAGCCCTCCCCGAATACCCTAGACCCCCTTTCCCTGCAGCGATTTCCAGGTCCCGACCATCCACTACCTCGAAGAGAGCCGCCAAAAAAGGCAAGAGCGAAAAGAAGAGAAGAAAAGAACAAAGTCGTGACTCTTGCAAATTCCGCGCTGCGTGTTCTGTTGCCGTACACAGAGGGTCCATTGGAATTGAGGCTAAATCATGAAACAGGTTGCTCTACAATGAAATCACGCAAGTTGGCGCCCCCAGTCCTGCATCCAAGCTGTAATTTGCAACACGAGAGGAAGGGAAAAGGACAAGGGGGGTGTCTGTGTGAGGAATGACGTGGGCGTCCCGAGATGGGTGTGACTCGACATGATTTCAGGTGTGATGCGAGAGGGTTTTCATCTTGGCACGGGAATTGATGTATGTATTTTGGTATCCTGTTTGAGGTGAAGAGCCTTTTCTGCCTTTC